CTCATTTTGACGGAATGCCTCACATCCCGATGACAACTCGAGAGGCACGCAGAGTTCATTGCTTCAAAAGGTGAAGATGCCTGACTCCTCTTGAATGCTGATAGGAATCCCAAAATCCCTGTGGCTACTGGAAAGGGTCCTTGGGTGCCCTGCCTCACCTCGAGAAGCGTCCCTTTTGCCCTGCCAAGCCTGGAAGTGATTCCTGGGGTGTCCCTCATTACTAGACAGGAGTCCTGACATCACTGAATAAACACGTGTTTTGAAGGGCCATCCCCGCCGTAAGTCGAGAACATACCCTAGGTCCCCGCCGTAAGTCGAGAACATAACCCAGGTCCCCGCCGCAACTCGAGAAAAACCATGAGACTTCCCCCTAGAGGCGAGATGAGGCCCCATTCCCCTGCAGTGCATGCAGAGCTATTCCGTGATCCCATTCAAACAAGTCAGGAGCTTCGACATGCTTAATGGATCTCGAGACAGTCCCCAAGAACACTGTCACCAGTCTAGACGGACCCTGAGGTCACACCAGCAAAGCAAACAGCTCCAAGTGCCCCAAATCAACTCGAGATGAGGCCCGATTCCCCTGCATTGACTCCAGAGCCATTCCCCATTAGCCATTCAACACAACCGATGGCTCAAATTCCTTCAGGCAACTCCAGAGATGCCCCTAGAACACTGTCCCAAGTCTAGAGGAACACCAACTTCAGCACAACAACTCGAGGAATGCTCCGTGTACCCCAAATCATCCCGAGATGAGAGCTGATTCCCTGGCTTAGGCTCAAGACGTATGCCAACTTTCCAGAAGCACCTCAGGAGGAGGCTTCTCTCAGCAATTGGTATGTGGGAGGGACACCGAGATCGCTGCCTCAAGTGCAATATACAGCGAGAAGCCCTAACTTGAAACGAGGTCGGATTTCCTTGCAGTGGCTTGAATACAGGCTCGTCTTTGATCTCAAAACATGAAGGGATGTCTGAATCCCCTGTTGAGACCTTAGAGAAAGCCGTAGGTCCTGCCTCATTTTGACGGAATGCCTCACATCCCGTTGACAACTCAAGAGGCATGCAGAGTTCATTGCTTCAAAAGGTGACGATGCCTGACTCCTCTTGGATACTGATAGGAATTCCAAAATCCCTGTGGCTACTGGAAAGGGTCCTTGCGTACCCTGCCTCACCTCGAGAAGCGTCCCTTTTGCCCTGCCAATCCTCGAAGAGATTCCTGAGGTGTCCCTCATTACTAGACAGGGGTCCTGACGTCACTGAAGAAACTCGTGTTTTGAAGGGCCATCCCCGCCGTAAGTCGAGAACATACCCCAGGTCCCCGCCGCAACTCGAGAAAAACCATGAGACTTCCCCCTAGAGGCGAGATGAGGCCCCATTCCCCTGCAGTGCATGCAGAGCTCTTCCGTGATCCCATTCAAACAAGTCAGGAGCTTCGACTTGCATAATGGATCGCGAGACAGTCCCCAAGAACACTGTCACCAGTCTAGACGGACCCTGAGGTCACCCCAGCAACGCAAAGCAGCTCCATGTGCCCCAAATCAACTCAAGATGAGGTCCGATTCCCCTGCATTGACTCCAGAGCCATTCCCCGTTCCCCATTCAACACAACCCGTGGCTCAACTTCCTTCAGGCAACTCCAGAGATGCCCCGAGAACACTGTCCCAAGACTAAAGGAACACCAACTTCAGCACAGCAACTCGAGGAATGCTCCGTGTACCCCAAATCGTCTCGAGATGAGAGCTGATTCCCTGGCTTAGGCTCAAGACATATGCCAACATTCCAGAAGCACCTCAGGAGGAGGCTTCTCTAAGCAATAGGTATGTGGGAGGGACCCCGAGATCGCTGCCTCAAGTGGAATATACAGCGAGAAGCCCTAAATTGAAAGGAGGCCGGATTTCCTTGCAGTGGCTTGAATACAGGCTCATCTTTGATCTCAAAACATGAAGGGATGTCTGAATCCCCTGTGGAGACCTTAGAGAAAGCCCTGGATCACTGCGTCATTTTGACGGAATGCCTCACATCCCGTTGACAGCTCGATAGGCACGCGGAATTCATTGCTTCAAAAGTTGACGATGCCTGACTCCTCTTGAATACTGATAGGAATCCCAAAATCCCTGTGGCTACTGGAAAGGGTCCTTGGGTGCCCTGCCTCACCTCGAGAAGCGTCCTTTTTGCCCTGCGAAGCCTCGAAGAGATTCCTGAGGTGTCCCTCATTACTAGACAGGAGTCCTGACGTCACTGAATAAACATGTGTTTTGAAGAGCCATCCCCGCCGTAAGTCGAGAACATACCCCAGGTCGCCGCCGCATCTCGAGAAAAACCATGAGTCTTCCCCCTAGAGGCGTGATGAGGCACCGTTCCCCTGCAGTGCATGCAGAGCTCTTCCGTGATCACATTCAAACAAGTCAGGAGCTTCGACTTGCTTAATGGATCTCGAGACAGTCCCCAAGAACACTGTAACCAATCTAGACGGACCCTGAAGTCACCCCAGCAACGCAAAGCATCTCCATGTGCCCCAAATCAACACGAGATGAGGCCCGATTCCCCTGCATTGACTCCAGAGCCATTCCCCGTTCCCCATTCAACACGATTGGTGGCTCGACTTCCTTCAGGCAACTCCAGAGATGCCCGGAGAACACGGTCCCAAGTCTAAAGGAACAACAAATTCAGCACAGCAACTCGAGGAATGCTCCGTGTACCCCAAATCGTCTCGAGATGAGAGCTGATTCCCTGGTTCAGGCTCAAGACGTATGCCAACTTTCCAGAAGCTCCTCAGGAGAAGGCTTCTCCCAGCTATAGGTATGTGTGAGGGACCCCGAGATCGCTGCCTCTAGTGGAATATACAGCGAGAAGTCCTAACTTAAAAGGAAGCCAGATTTCCTTGCAGTGGCTTGAATACAGGCTTGTCTTTGATCTCAAAACATTAAGGGATGTCTGAATCCCCTGTGGAGACCTTAGAGAAAGCCCTTGGTCCCTGCCTCATTTTGACGGAATGCCTCACATCCCGTTGACACCTCGAGAGGCACGCGGAGTTCATTGCTTCAAAAGGTGACGATGCCTGACTCCTCTTCAATACTGATAGGAATCACAAAATCCCTGTGGCTACTGGAAAGGGTCCTTGGATGCCCTGCCTCAGATCGAGAAGCATCCCTTTTGCCCTGCCAAGCCTCGAAGAGATTCCTGAGGTGTCCCTCTTTACTAGACTGGAGTCCTGACGTCACTGAAGAAACTCGTGTTTTGAAGGGCCATCCCCGCCGTAAGTCGAGAACATACCCCAGGTCCCCGTCGCAACTCGAGAAAAACCATGAGACTTCCCCCTAGAGGCGAGATGAGGCCCCATTCCCCTGCAGTGCATGCAGCGCTATTCCGTGATCCCATTCAAACAAGTCAGGAGCTTCGACTTGCTTAATGGATCTCGAGACAGTCCCCAAGAACACTGTCACCTGTCTAGACGGACCCTGAGGTCACCCCAGCAACGCAAAGCAGCTCCATGTGCCCCAAATCAACTCGAGATGAGGCCCGATTCCCCTGCATTGACTCCAGAGCCATTCCCCGTTCCCCATTCAACACGACCGGTGGCTCGACTTCCTTCAGGCAACTCCAGAGATGCCCCACGAACACTGTCCCAAGTCTAGAGGAACACCAACTTCAGCACAGCAACTCGAGGAATGCTCCGTGTACCCCAAATCGTCTCGAGATGAGAGCTGATTCCCTGGCTTAGGCTCAAGACGTATGCCAACTTTCCAGAAGCACCTCAGGAGGAGGCTTCTCAAGCAATAGGTATGTGGGAGGGACCCCGAGACCTCTGCCTCAAGTGGAATATACAGCGAGAAGCCCTAACTTGAGAGGAGGCAGTATTTCTTTGCAGTGGCTTGAATACAGGCTCGTCTTTCATCTCACAACATGAAGGGATGTCTGAATCCCCTGTGGAGACCTTAGAATAAGCCCTAGGTCCCTGCCTCATTTTGACGGAATGCCTCACATCCCGTTGACGCCTCGAGAGGCACGCGGAGTTCATTGCTTCAAAGGGTGACGATGCCTGACTCCTCTTGAATACTTATAGGAATCCCAAAATCCCTGTGGCTACTGGAAATGGTCCTTGGGTGCCCTGCCTCACTTCGAGAAGTGTCCCTTTTGCCCTGCCAAGGCTCGAAGAGTTTCCTGAGGTTTCCCTGGTTACTAGACAGGAGTCCTACGTCACTGAAGAAACTCGTATTTTGAAGGGCCATCCCCGCCATAAGTCGAGAACATAGCCCAGGTCCCCGCCGCAAGTCGATAAAAACCATGAGACTTCCCACTAGAGGCGAGATGAGGCCACATTCCCCTGCAGTGCATGCAGAGCTATTCCGTGATCCCATTCAAACAAGTCAGGAGATTCGACTTGCTTAATGAATCTCGAGACAGTCCCCAAGAACACTGTCACCAGTCTAGACGGACTCTGAGGTCACCCCAGCAACGCAAAGCAGGCCCATGTGCCCCAAATCAAATCGAGATGAGGACTGATTCCCCTGCATTGACTGCAGAGCCATTCCCCGTTCCCCATTCAACACGACCGGTAGCTCGACTTCCGTTAGGCAATTCCAGAGATCCCCCGAGAACACTGTCCCAAGTATAGAGGAACACCAACTTCATCACAGCAACTCGAGGAATGCTCCGTGAACCCCAAATCGTCTCGAGATGAGAGCTGATTCCCTGGCTTAGGCTCAAGACGTATGCCAACTTTCCAGAAGCACCTCAGGAGGAGGCTTCTCTCAGTAATAGGTATGTGGGAGGGTCCCCGAGATCGCTACCTCAAATGGAACATACAGCGAGAAGCCCTATCTTGAAAGGAGGCCGGATTTCCTTGCAGTGGCTTGAATACAGGTTCGTCTTTCATCTCACAACATGAAGGGATGTCTGAATCCCCTGTGGAGACCTTAGAGAAAGCCCTAGGTCCCTGCCTCATTTTGACGGAATGCCTCACATCCCGTTGGCATGTCGAGAGGCACGCGGAGTTCATTGCTTCAAAAGGTGACGATGCCTGACTCCTTTTGAATACTGATAGGAATCCCAAAATCCCTGTGGCTACTGGAAAGGATTCTTGGGTGCCCTGCCTCGGCTCGAGAAGTGTCCCTTTTGCCCTGCCAAGCCTCGAAGAGATTCCTGACGTGTCCCTCGTTACTAGACAGGAGTCCTGACGTCACTGAAGAAACTCGTGTTTTGAAGGGCCATCCCCGCCGTAAGTCGAGAACATACCCCAGGTCCCCGCCGCACCTCGAGAAAAACCATGAGACTTACCCCTAGAGGCGAGATGAGCCCGCATTACCCTGCAGTGCATGCAGAGCTATTCCGTGATCCCATTCAAACAAGTCAGGAGCTTCGCCTTGTTTAATGGATCTCGAGACAATCACCAAGAACACTGTCACCAGTCTAGACGGACACTGAGGTCACCCCAGCAATGCAAAGCAGCTCCATGTGCCCCAAATCAACTCGAGATGAGGCCCGATTCCCCTGCATTGACTCCAGAGCCATTCCCCTTTCCCCATTCAACACGACTGGTGGCACGACTTCCTTCAGGCAACTCCAGAGATGCCCCAAGAACACTGTCCCAAGTCTAGAGGAACACCAACTTCATCACAGCATCTCGAGGAATGCTCCGTGTACCCCAAATCGTCTCGAGATGAGAGCTGATTCCCTGGCTTAGGCTCAAGACGTATGCCAACTTTCCAGAAGCACCAAAGGAGGAGGCTTCTCTAAACAATAGGTACATGGGAAGGACCCCGAGATCGCTGCCTCCAGAGGAATATAGAGCGAGAAGCCCTAACATGAAAGGAGGCCGTATTTCCTTGCAGTGTCTTGAATACAGGCTCGTCTTTGATCTCAAAACATGAAGGGATGTCTGAATCCCCTGTGGAGACCGGTGGCTCAACCGGTCGTGTTGAATGGGGAACGGGGAATGGCTCTGGAGTCAATGCAGGGGAATCGGGCCTCATCTCGAGTTGATTTGGGGCACATGGAGCTGCTTTGCGTTGCTGGGGTGACCTCAGGGTCCGTCTAGACTGGTGACAGTGTTCTTGGGGACTGTCTCGAGTTCCATGAAGCAAGTCGAAGCTCCTGACTTGTTTGAATGGGATCACGGAATAGCTCTGCATGCACTGCAGGGGAATGGGGCCTCATCTCGCCTCTAGGGGGAAGTCTCATGGTTTTTCTCGAGTTGCGGCAGGGATCTGGGGTATGTTCTCGACTTACGGCGGGGATGGCCCTTCAAAACACGAGTTTCTTCAGTGACGTCAGGACTCCTGTCTAGTAACGAGGGACAACTCAGGAATATCTTCGAGGCTTGGCAGGGCAAAAGGGACGCTTCTCGAGGTGAGGCAGGGCACCCAAGGACCCTTTCCAGTAGCCACAGGGATTTGGGGATTCCTATCAGTATTCAAGAGGAGTCAGGCATCATCACCTTTTGAAGCAATGACCTCCGCGTGCCTCTCGAAGTGTCAGCGGGATGTGAGGCATTCCGTCAAAATGAGGCAGTGACCTAGGTCTTTCTCTAAGGTCTCCACAGGGGATTGAGGCATCCCTTCATGTTGTGAGAAGAAAGACGAGCCTGTATTCAAGCCACTGCAAGGAAATCCGGCCTCCTTTCAAGTTAGGGCTTCTCGCTGTATATTCCCCTTGAGGCAGCACACTCGGGGTCCCTCCCACATACCAATTGCTGAGAGAAGCCTCGTCCTGAGGTGCTTCTGGAAAGTTGGCATACGTCTTGTGCCTAAGCCAGGGAATCAGCTCTCATCTCGAGACGATTTGGGGTACACGGAGCATTCCTCGAGTTGCTGTGCTGAAGTTGGTTTTCCTCTAGACTTGGGAGAGTGTTCTCAGGGCATTTCTGGAGTTGCCTGAAGGAAGTCGAGCCACCGGTCGTTTTGAATGGGGAACGGGGAATGGCTCTGGAGTCAATGCAGGGGAATCGGGCCTCATCTCGAGTTGATTTGGGGCACATGGACCTGCGTTGCGTTGCTGGGGTGACCTCAGCGTCCGTCTACACTGGTGACAGTGTTCTTGGGGACTGTCTCGAGATCCATTAAGCAAGTCGAAGCTCCTGACTTGTTTGTATGGGATCACGGAATAGCTCTGAATGCACTGCAGGGGAATGGGGCCTCATCTCGCCTCTAGGGGGAAGTCTCATGGTTTTCCTCGAGTTGCGACGGGGACCTGGGGTATGTTCTCGACTTACGGCGGGGATGGCCCTTCAAAACACGAGTTTCTTCAGTGACGTCAGGACTCCTGTCTAGTAACGAGGGACAACTCAGGAATATCTTCGAGGCTTGGCAGGGCAAAAGGGACGCTTCTCGAGGTGAGGCAGTGCACCCAAGACACTTTCCAGTAGCCACAGGGATTTTGGGATTCCTGTCAGTATTCAACAGGAGTCCGGCATCGTCACGTTTTGAAGCAATGAACTCCGCGTGCCTCTCGAGATGTCAGCGCGATGTGAGGCATTCCGTCACAATGAGGCAGGGACCTAGGGCTTTCTCTAAGGTCTCCACAGGGGATTCAGACATCCCTTCATGTTGTGAGATGAAACATGAGCCTGTATTCAAGCCACTGCAAGGAAACCCGGCCTCCTTTCAAGTTAGGGCTTCTCGCTGTATATTCCCCTTGAGGCAGCACACTCGGGGTCCCTCCCACATACTAATTGCTGAGAGAAGCCTCCTCCTGAGGTGCTTCTGGCAAATTGCCATACGTCTTGTGCCTAAGCCAGGGATTCAGCTCTCATCTCGAGACGATTTGGGGTACACGGGGCATTCCTCGAGTTGCTGTGCTGAAGTTGGTGTTCCTCTAGACTTGGGACAGTGTTCTCGGGGCATTTCTGGAGTTGCCGGATGGAAGTCGAGCCACCGGTCGTGTTGAATGGGGAACGGGGAATGGCTCTGGAGTCAATGCAGGGGAATTGGGCCTCATCTCGAGTTGATTTGGGGCACATGGAGCTGCTTTGCGTTGCTAGCGTATCCTCAGGGTCCGTCTAGACTGGTGACAGCGTTCTTGGGGACTGTCTCGAGATCCATTAAGCAAGTCGAAGCTCCTGACTTGTTTGAATGGGATCACGGAATAGCTCTGCATGCACTGCAGGGGAATGGGGCCTCATCTCGCCTCTAGGGGGAAGTCTCATGGTTTTTCTCGAGTTGCGGCGGGGACCTGGGGTATGTTCTCTACTTACGGCGGGGATGGCCCTTCAAAACACGAGTTTCTTCAGTGACGTCACAAATTCTGTCTAGTAACGAGGGACACCTCAGGAATCTCTTCGAGGCTTGGCAGGGCAAAAGGGACGCTTCTCGAGGTGAGGCAGGGCACCCAAGGACCCTATCCAGTAGCCACAGGGATTTTGGGATTCCTATCAGTATTCAAGAGGAGTCAGGCATCGTCACCTTTTGAAGCAATGAACTCCGCGTGCCTCTCGAGGTGTCAGCGGGATGTGAGGCATTCCGTCAAAATGAGGCAGGGACCTAGGGCTTTCTCTAAGGTCTCCACAGGGGATTGAGACATCCCTTCATGTTGTGAGATGAAAGACGAGCCTGTATTCAAGCCACTGCAAGGAAATCCGGCCTCCTTTCAAGTTAGGGCTTCTCGCTGTATATTCCCCTTGAGGCAGCACACTCGGGGTCCCTCCCACATACCAATTGCTGAGAGAAGCCTCCTTCTGAGGTGCTTCTGGAAAGTTGGCATACGTCTTGTGCCAAAGCCAGGGAATCAGCTCTCATCTCGAGACGATTTGGGGTACACGGAGCATTCATCGAGTTGCTGTGCTGAAGTTGGTGTTCCTCTAGACGTGGGAGAGTGTTCTCTGGGCATTTCTGGAGTTGCCTGAAGGAAGTCGAGCCACCGGTCGTTTTGAATGCGGAACGGGGAATGGCTCTGGAGTCAATGCAGGGGAATCGGGCCTCATCTCGAGTTGATTTGGGGCACATGGAGCTGCTTTGCGTTGCTGGGGTGACCTCAGGGTCCGTCTAGACTGGTGACAGTGTTCTTGGGGACTGTCTCGAGATCCATTAAGCAAGTCGAAGCTCCTGACTTGTTTGTATGGGATCACGGAATAGCTCTGAATGCACTGCAGGGGAATGGGGCCTCATCTCTCCTCTAGGGGGAAGTCTCATGGTTTTCCTCGAGTTGCGACGGGGACCTGGGGTATGTTCTCGACTTACGGCGGGGATGGCCCTTCAAAACACGAGTTTCTTCAGTGACGTCAGGACTCCTGTCTAGTAACGAGGGACACCTCAGGAACCTCTTCGAGGCTTGGCAGGGCCAAAGGGACGCTTGTCGAGGTGAGGCAGGGCACCCAAGACACTTTTCAGTAGCCACAGGGATTTTGGGATTGCTGTCAGTTTTCAACAGGAGTCAGGCATCGTCACGTTTTGAAGCAATGAACTCCGCATGCCTCTCGAGATGTCAGCGCGATGTGAGGCATTCCATCAAAATGAGGCAGGGACCTAGGGCTTTCTCTAAGGTCTCCACAGGGGATTGAGACATCCCTTCATGTTGTGAGATGAAAGACGAGCCTGTATTCAAGCCACTGCAAGGAAATCCGGCCTCCTTTCAAGTTAGGGCTTCTCGCTGTATATTCCCCTTGAGGCAGCAAACTCGGGGTCCCTCCCACATACCTATTGCTGAGAGAAGCCTCCTCCTGAGGTGCTTCTGGAAAGTTGGCATACGTCTTGAGCCTAAGCCAGGGAATCAGCTCTCATCTCGAGACGATTTGGGGTACACGGAGCATTCCTCGAGTTGCTGTGCTGAAGTTGGTGTTCCTCTAGACTTGGGCCAGTGTTCTAGGGGCATCTCTGGAGTTGCCTGAAGGAAGTCGAGCCACCGGTCGTGTTGAATGGGGAACAGGGAATGGCTCTGGCGTCAATGCAGGGGAATCGGGCCTCATCTCGAGTTGATTTGGGGCACATGGAGCTGCTTTGCGTTGCTGGGGTGACCTCAGGGTCCGTCTAGACTGGTGACAGTGTTCTTGGGGACTGTCTCGAGATCCATTAAGCAAGTCGAAGCTCCTGACTTGTTTGAATGGGATCACGGAATAGCTCTCCATGCACTGCAGGGGAATGGGGCCTCATCTCGCCTCTAGGGGGAAGTCTCATGGTTTTTCTCGAGTTGCGGCGGGGATCTGGGGTATGTTCTCGACTTACGGCGGGGATGGCCCTTCAAAACACGAGTTTCTTCAGTGACGTCAGGACTCCTGTCTAGTAACGAGGGACAACTCAGGAATATCTTCGAGGCTTGGCAGGGCAAAAGGGACGCTTCTCGAGGTGAGGCAGGGCACCCAAGGACCCTTTCCAGTAGCCACAGGGATTTGGGGATTCCTATCAGTATTCAAGAGGAGTCAGGCATCGTCACCTTTTGAAGCAATGAACTCCGCGTGCCTCTCGAGGTGTCAGCGGGATGTGAGGCATTCCGTCAAAATGAGGCAGTGACCTAGGTCTTTCTCTAAGGTCTCCACAGGGGATTGAGACATCCCTTCATGTTGTGAGAAGAAAGACGAGCCTGTATTCAAGCCACTGCAAGGAAATCCGGCCTCCTTTCAAGTTAGGGCTTCTCGCTGTATATTCCCCTTGAGGCAGCACACTCGGGGTCCCTCCCACATAACAATTGCTGAGAGAAGCCTCCTCCTGAGGTGCTTCTGGAAAGTTGGCATACGTCTTGTGCCTAAGCCAGGGAATCAGCTCTCATCTCGAGACGATTTGGGGTACACGGAGCATTCCTCGAGTTGCTGTGCTGAAGTTGGTTTTCCTCTAGACTTGGGAGAGTGTTCTCAGGGCATTTCTGGAGTTGCCTGAAGGAAGTCGAGCCACCGGTCGTGTTGAATGGGGAACGGGGAATGGCTCTGGAGTCAATGCAGGGGAATCGGGCCTCATCTCGAGTTGATTTGGGGCACATGGAGCTGCTTTGCGTTGCTAGCGTATCCTCAGGGTCCGTCTAGACTGGTGACAGTGTTCTTGGGGACTGTCTCGAGATCCATTAAGCAAGTCGAAGCTCCTGACTTGTTTGAATGGGATCACGGAATAGCTCTGCATGCACTGCAGGGGAATGGGGCCTCATCTCGCCTCTAGGGGGAAGTCTCATGGTTTTTCTCGAGTTGCGGCGGGGACCTGGGGTATGTTCTCTACTTACGGCGGGGATGGCCCTTCAAAACACGAGTTTTTTCAGTGACGTCAGGACTCCTGTCTAGTAACGAGGGACACCTCAGGAATCTCTTCGAGGCTTGGCAGGGCAAAAGGGACGCTTCTCGAGGTGAGGCAGGACACCCAAGGACCCTTTCCAGTAGCCACAGGGATTTTGGGATTCCTATCAGTATTCAAGAGGAGTCAGGCATCGTCACCTTTTGAAGCAATGAACTCCGCGTGCCTCTCGAGGTGTCAGCGGGATGTGAGGCATTCCGTCAAAATGAGGCAGGGACCTAGGGCTTTCTCTAAGGTCTCCACAGGGGATTGAGACATCCCTTCATGTTGTGAGATGAAAGACGAGCCTGTATTCAAGCCACTGCAAGGAAATCAGGCCTCCTTTCAAGTTAGGGCTTCTCGCTGTATATTCCCCTTGAGGCAGCACACTCAGGGTCCCTCCCACATACCAATTGCTGAGAGAAGCCTCCTCCTGAGGTGCTTCTGGAAAGTTGGCATACGTCTTGTGCCTAAGCCAGGGAATCAGCTCTCATCTCGAGACGATTTGTGGTACACGGAGCATTCCTCGAGTTGCTGTGCTGAAGTTGGTGTTCCTCTAGACTTGGGAGAGTGTTCTCTGGGCATTTCTGGAGTTGCCTGAAAGAAGTCGAGCCACCGGTCGTGTTGAATGGGGAACAGGGAATGGCTCTGGAGTCAATGCAGGGGAATCGGGCCTCATCTCGAGTTGATTTGGGGCACATGGAGCTGCTTTGGGTTGCTGAGGTGACCTCAGGGTCCGTCTAGACTGGTGACAGTGTTCTTGGGGACTGTCTCGAGATCCATTAAGCAAGTCGAAGCTCCTGACTTGTTTGTATGGGATCACGGAATAGCTCTGAATGCACTGCAGGGGAATGGGGCCTCATCTCTCCTCTAGGGGGAAGTCTCATGGTTTTCCTCGAGTTGCGACGGGGACCTGGGGTATGCTCTCGACTTACGGCAGGGATGGCCCTTCAAAACACGAGTTTCTTCAGTGACGTCAGGACTCCTGTCTAGTAATGAGGGACAACTCAGGAATATCTTCGAGGCTTGGCAGGGCAAAAGGGACGCTTGTCGAGGTGAGGCAGGGCACCCAAGACACTTTCCAGTAGCCACAGGGATTTTGGGATTGCTGTCAGTATTCAACAGGAGTCAGGCATCGTCACGTTTTGAAGCAATGAACTCCGCGTGCCTCTCGAGATGTCAGCGCGATGTGAGGCATTCCGTCAAAATGAGGCAGGGACCTAGGGCTTTCTCTAAGGTCTCCACAGGGGATTCAGACATCCCTTCATGTTGTGAGATGAAAGACGAGCCTGTATTCAAGCCACTGCAAGGAAATCCGGCCTCCTTTCAAGTTAGGGCTTCTCGCTGTATATTCCCCTTGAGGCAGCAAACTCGGGGTCCCTCCCACATACCTATTGCTGAGAGAAGCATCCTCCTGAGGTGCTTCTGGAAAGTTGGCATACGTCTTGAGCCTAAGCCAGGGAATCAGCTCTCATCTCGAGACGATTTGGGGTACACGGAGCATTCCTCGAGTTTCTGTGCTGAAGTTGGTGTTCCTCTAGACTTGGGCCAGTGTTCTAGGGGCATCTCTGGAGTTGCCTGAAGGAAGTCGAGCCACCGGTCTTGTTGAATGGGGAACAGGGAATGGCTCTGGAGTCAATGCAGGGGAATGGGGCCTCATCTCGAGTTGATTTGGGGCACATGCAGCTGCTTTGCGTTGCTGGGGTGACCTCAGGGTCCGTCTAGACTGGTGACAGTGTTCTTGGGGACTGTCTCGAGATCCATTAAGCAAGTCGAAGCTCCTGACTTGTTTGAATGGGATCACGGAATAGCTCTGCATGCATTGCAGGGGAATGGGGCCTCATCTCGCCTCTAGGGGGAAGTCTCATGGTTTTTCTCGAGTTGCGGCGGGGATCTGGGGTATGTTCTCGACTTACGGCGGGGATGGCCCTTCAAAACACGAGTTTCTTCAGTGACATCAGGACTCCTGTCTAGTAACGAGGGACAACTCAGGAATATCTTCGAGGCTTGGCAGGGCAAAAGGGACGCTTCTCGAGGTGAGGCAGGGCACCCAAGGACCCTTTCCAGTAGCCACAGGGATTTGGGGATTCCTATCAGTATTCAAGAGGAGTCAGGCATCGTCACCTTTTGAAGCAATGAACTCCGCGTGCCTCTCGAGGTGTCAGCTGGATGTGAGGCATTCCGTCAAAATGAGGCAGTGACCTAGGTCTTTCTCTAAGGTCTCCACAGGGGATTCAGACATCCCTTCATATTGTGAGATGAAAGACGAGCCTGTATTCAAGGCACTGCAAGGAAATCCGGTCTCCTTTCAAGTTAGGGCTTCTCGCTGTATATTCCCCTTGAGGCAGCACACTCGGGGTCCCTCCCATATACCAATTGCTGAGAGAAGCCTCCTCCTGAGGTGCTTCTGGAAAGTTGGCATACGTCTTGTGCCAAAGCCAGGGAATCAGCTCTCATCTCGAGAAGATTTGGGGTACACGGAGCATTCCTCGAGTTGCTGTGCTGAAGTTGGTGTTCCTCTAGCCTTGGGAGAGTGTTCTCGGGGCATTTCTGGAGTTGCCTGAAGGAAGTCGAGCAACCGGTCGTGTTGAATGCGGAACTGGGAATGGCTCTGGAGTCAATGCAGGGGAATCGGGCCTCATCTCGAGTTGATTTGGGGCACATGGAGCTGCTTTGCGTTGCTGGGGTTACCTCAGTGTCCGTCTAGACTGGTGACAGTGTTCTTGGGGACTGTCTCGAGATCCATTAAGCAAGTCGAAGCTCCTGACTTGTTTGTATGGGATCACGGAATAGCTCTGAATGCACTGCAGGGGAATGGGGTCTCATCTCGCCTCTAGGGGGAAGTCTCATGGTTTTCCTCGAGTTGCGACGGGGACCTGGGGTATGTTCTCGACTTACGGCGGGGATGGCCCTTCAAAACACGAGTTTCTTCAGTGACGTCAGGACTCCTGTCTAGTAACGAGGGACAACTCAGGAATATCTTCGAGGCTTGGCAGGGCAAAAGGGACGCTTCTCGAGGTGAGGCAGGGCACCCAAGACACTTTCCAGTAGCCACAGGGATTTTGGGATTCCTGTCAGTATTCAACAGGAGTCAGGCATCGTCACGTTTTGAAGCAATGAACTCCGCGTGCCTCTCGAGATGTCAGCGCGATGTGAGGCATTCCGTCACAATGAGGCAGGGACCTAGGGCTTTCTCTAAGGTCTCCACAGGGGATTCAGACATCCCTTCATGTTGTGAGATGAAACATGAGCCTGTATTCAAGCCACTGCAAGGAAACCCGGCCTCCTTTCAAGTTAGGGCTTCTCGCTGTATATTCCCCTTGAGGCAGCACACTCGGGGTCCCTCCCACATACCAATTGCTGAGAGAAGCCTCCTCCTGAGGTGCTTCTGGCAAGTTGCCATACGTCTTCTGCCTAAGCCAGGGATTCAGCTCTCATCTCGAGACGATTTGGGGTACACGGGGCATTCCTCGAGTTGCTGTGCTGAAGTTGGTGTTCCTCTAGACTTGGGACAGTGTTCTCGGGGCATTTCTGGAGTTGCCGGATGGAAGTCGAGCCACCGGTCGTGTTGAATGGGGAACGGGGAATGGCTCTGGAGTCAATGCAGGGGAATTGGGCCTCATCTCGAGTTGATTTGGGGCACATGGAGCTGCTTTGCGTTGCTAGCGTATCCTCAGGGTCCGTCTAGACTGGTGACAGTGTTCTTGGGGACTGTCTCGAGATCCATTAAGCAAGTCGAAGCTCCTGACTTGTTTGAATGGGATCACGGAATAGCTCTGCATGCACTGCAGGGGAATGGGGCCTCATCTCGCCTCTAGGGGGAAGTCTCATGGTTTTTCTCGAGTTGCGGCGGGGAACTGGGGTATGTTCTCTACTTACGGCGGGGATGGCCCTTCAAAACATGAGTTTCTTCAGTGACGTCAGGACTCCTGTCTAGTAACGAGGGACACCTCAGGAATCACTTCGAGGCTTGGCAGGGCAAAAGGGACGCTTCTCGAGGTGAGGCAGGACACCCAAGGACCCTTTCCAGTAGCCACAGGGATTTTGGGATTCCTATCAGTATTCAAGAGGAGTCAGGCATCGTCACCTTTTGAAGCAATGAACTCCGCGTGCCTCTCGAGGTGTCAGCGGGATGTGAGGCATTCCGTCAAAATGAGGCAGGGACCTAGGGCTTTCTCTAAGGTCTCCACAGGGGATTGAGACATCCCTTCATGTTGTGAGATGAAAGACGAGCCTGTATTCAAGCCACTGCAAGGAAATCCGGCCTCCTTTCAAGTTAGGGCTTCTCGCTGTATATTCCCCTTGAGGCAGCACACTCGGGGTCCCTCCCACATACCAATTGCTGAGAGAAGCCTCCTCCTGAGGTGCTTCTGGAAAGTTGGCATACGTCTTGTGCCTAAGCCAGGGAATCAGCTCTCATCTCGAGACGATTTGGGGTACACGGAGCATTCCTCGAGTTGCTGTGCTGAAGTTGGTGTTCCTCTAGACTTGGGAGAGTGTTCTCTGGGCATTTCTGGAGTTGCCTGAAGGAAGTCGAGCCACCGGTCGTGTTGAATGGGGAACAGGGAATGGCTCTGGAGTCAATGCAGGGGAATCGGGCCTCATCTCGAGTTGATTTGGGGCACATGGAGCTGCTTTGGGTTGCTGGGGTGACCTCAGGGTCCGTCTAGACTGGTGACAGTGTTCTTGGGGACTGTCTCGAGATCCATTAAGCAAGTCGAAGCTCCTGACTTGTTTGTATGGGATCACGGAATAGCTCTGAATGCACTGCAGGGGAATGGGGCCTCATCTCTCCTCTAGGGGGAAGTCTCATGGTTTTCCTCGAGTTGCGACGGGGACCTGGGGTATGTTCTCGACTTACGGCGGGGATGGCCCTTCAAAACACGAGTTTCTTCAGTGACGTCAGGACTCCTGTCTAGTAATGAGGGACAACTCAGGAATATATTCGAGGCTTGGCAGGGCAAAAGGGACGCTTCTCGAGGTGAGGCAGGGCACCCAAGACACTTTCCAGTAGCCACAGGGATTTTGGGATTGCTGTCAGTATTCAACAGGAGTCAGGCATCGTCACGTTTTGAAGCAATGAACTCCGCGTGCCTCTCGAGATGTCAGCGGGATGTGAGGCATTCCGTCACAATGAGGCAGGGACCTAGGGCTTTCTCTAAGGTCTCCACAGGGGATTCAGACATCCCTTCATGTTGTGAGATGAAACATGAGCCTGTATTCAAGCCACTGCAAGGAAACCCGGCCTCCTTTCAAGTTAGGGCTTCTCGCTGTATATTCCCCTTGAGGCAGCACACTCGGGGTCCCTCCCACATACCAATTGCTGAGAGAAGCCTCCTCCTGAGGTGCTTCTGGCAAGTTGCCATACGTCTTGTGCCTAAGCCAGGGATTCAGCTCCCATCTCGAGACGACTTGGGGTACACGGGGCATTCCTCGAGTTGCTGTGCTGAAGTTGGTGTTCCTCTAGACTTGGGACAGTGTTCTCGGGGCATTTCTGGAGTTGCCGGATGGAAGTCGAGCCACCGGTCGTGTTGAATGGGGAACGGGGAATGGCTCTGGAGTCAATGCAGGGGAATTGGGCCTCATCTCGAGTTGATTTGGGGAACATGGAGCTGCTTTGCGTTGCTAGCGTATCCTCAGAGTCCGTCTAGACTGGTGACAGTGTTCTTGGGGACTGTCTCGAGATCCATTAAGCAAGTCGAAGCTCCTGACTTGTTTGAATGGGATCACGGAATAGCTCTGCATGCACTGCAGGGGAATGGGGCCTCATCTCACCTCTAGGGGGAAGTCTCATGGTTTTTCTCGAGTGCGGCGGCGACCTGGGGTATGTTCTCGACTTACGGCGGGGATGGCCCTTCAAAACAAGAGTTTCTTCAGTGACGTCAGGACTCCTGTCTAGTAACGAGGGACACCTCAGGAATCTCTTCGAGGCTTGGCAGGGCAAAAGGGACGCTTCTCGAGGTGAGGCAACACACCCAAGGACCCTTTCCAGTAGCCACAGGGATTTTGGGATTCCTATCAGTATTCAAGAGGAGTCAGGCATCGTCACCTTTTGAAGCAATGAACTCCGTGTGCCTCTCGAGGTGTCAGCGGGATGTGAGGCATTCCGTCAAAATGAGGCAGGGACCTAGGGCTTTCTCTAAGGTCTCCACAGGGGATTGAGACATCCCTTCATGTTGTGAGATGAAAGACGAGCCTGTATTCAAGCCACTGGAAGGAAATCCGGCCTCCTTTCAAGTTAGGACTTCTCGCTGTATATTCCCCTGAGGCAGCACACTCGGGGTCCCTCCCACATACCAATTGCTGAGAGAAGCCTCCTCCTGAGGTGCTTCTGGAAAGTTGGCATACGTCTTGTGCCTAAGCCAGGGAATCAGCTCTCATCTCGAGACGATTTGGGGTACACGGAGCATTCCTCGAGTTGCTGTGCTGAAGTTGGTGTTCCTCTAGACTTGGGCCAGTGTTCTAGGGGCATCTCTGGAGTTGCCTGAAGGAAGTCGAGCCACCGGTGGTGTTGAATGGGGAACAGGGAATGGCTCTGGAGTCAATGCAGGGGAATCGGGCCTCATCTCGAGTTGATTTGGGGCACATGGAGCTGCTTTACGTTGCTGGGGTGACCTCAGGGTCCGTCTAGACTGGTGACAGTGTTCTTGGGGACTGTCTCGAGATCCATTAAGCAAGTCGAAGCTCCTGACTTGTTTGAATGGGATCACGGAATAGCTCTGCATGCACTGCAGGGGAATGGGGCCTCATCTCGCCTCTAGGGGGAAGTCTCATGGTTTTTCTTGAGTTGCGGCGGGGATCTGGGGTATGTTCTCGACTTACGGCGGGGATGGCCCTTCAAAACACGAGTTTCTTCAGTGACATCAGGACTCCTGTCTAGTAACGAGGGACAACTCAGGAATATCTTCGAGGCTTGGCAGGGCAAAAGGGAAGCTTCTCGAGGTGAGGCAGGGCACCCAAGGACCCTTTCCAGTAGCCACAGGGATTTGGGGATTCCTATCAGTATTCAAGAGGAGTCAGGCATCGTCACCTTTTGAAGCAATGAACTCCGCGTGCCTCTCGAGGTGTCAGCGGGATGTGAGGCATTCCGTCAAAATGAGGCAGTGACCTAGGTCTTTCTCTAAGGTCTCCACAGGGGATTCAGACATCCCTTCATATTGTGAGATGAAAGACGAGCCTGTATTCAAGGCACTGCAAGGAAATCCGGTCTCCTTTCAAGTTAGGGCTTCTCGCTGTATATTCCCCTTGAGGCAGCACACTCGGGGTCCCTCCCATATACCAATTGCTGAGAGAAGCCTCCTCCTGAGGTGCTTCTGGAAAGTTGGCATACGTCTTGTGCCAAAGCCAGGGAATCAGCTCTCATCTCGAGAAGATTTGGGGTACATGGAGCATTCCTCGAGTTGCTGTGCTGAAGTTGGTGTTCCTCTAGCCTTCGGAGAGTGTTCTCGGGGCATTTCTGGAGTTGCCTGAAGGAAGTCGAGCCACCGGTCGTGTTGAATGCGGAACTGGGAATGGCTCTGGAGTCAATGCAGGGGAATCGGGCCTCATCTCGAGTTGATTTGGGGCACATGGAGCTGCTTTGCGTTGCTGGGGTTACCTCAGTGTCCGTCTAGACTGGTGACAGTGTTCTTGGGGACTGTCTGGAGATCCATTAAGCAAGTCGAAGCTCCTGACTTGTTTCTATGGGATCACGGAATAGCTCTGAATTCACTGCAGGGGAATGGGGTCTCATCTCGCCTCTAGGGGGAAGTCTCATGGTTTTCCTCGAGTTGCGACGGGGACCTGGGGTATGTTCTCGACTTAAGGCGGGGATGGCCCTTCAAAACACGAGTTTCTTCAGTGACGTCAGGACTCCTGTCTAGTAACGAGGGACAACTCAGGAATATCTTCGAGGCTTGGCAAGGCAAAAGGGACGCTTCTCGAGGTGAGGCAGGGCACCCAAGACACTTTCCAGTAGCCACAGGGATTTTGGGATTCCTGTCAGTATTCAACAGGAGTCAGGCATCGTCACGTTTTGAAGCAATGAACTCCGCGTGCCTCTCGAGATGTCAGCGCGATGTGAGGCATTCCGTCACAATGAGGCAGGGAACTAGGGCTTTCTCTAAGGTCTCCACAGGGGATTCAGACATCCCTTCTTGTTGTGAGATGAAACATGAGCCTGTATTCAAGCCACTGCAAGGAAACCCGGCCTCCTTTCAAGTTAGGGCTTCTCGCTGTATATTCCCCTTGAGGCAGCACACTCAGGGTCCCTCCCACATACCAATTGCTGAGAGAAGCCTCCTCCTGAGGTGCTTCTGGCAAGTTGCCATACGTCTTGTGCCTAAGCCAGGGATTCAGCTCTCATCTCGAGACGATTTGGGGTACACGGGGCATTCCTCGAGTTGCTGTGCTGAAGTTGGTGTTCCTCTAGACTTGGGACAGTGTTCTCGGGGCATTTCTGGAGTTGCCGGATAGAAGTCGAGCCACCGGTCGTGTTGAATGGGGAACGGGGAATGGCTCTGGCGTCAATGCAGGGGAATTGGGCCTCATCTCGAGTTGATTTGGGGCACATGGAGCTGCTTTGCATTGCTAGCGTATCCTCAGGGTCCGTCTAGACTGGTGACAGTGTTCTTGGGGACTGTCTCGAGATCCATTAAGCAAGTCGAAGCTCCTGACTTGTTTGAATGGGATCACGGAATAGCTGTGCATGCACTGCAGGGGAATGGGGCCTCATCTCGCCTCTAGGGGGAAGTCTCATGGTTTTTCTCGAGTGCGGCGGGGACCTGGGGTATGATCTCGACTTACGGCGGGGATGGCCCTTCAAAACAAGAGTTTCTTCAGTGACGTCAGGACTCCTGTCTAGTAACGAGGGACACCTCAGGAATCTCTTCGAGGCTTGGCAGGGCAAAAGGGACGCTTCTCGAGGTGAGGCAGGACACCCAAGGACCCTTTCCAGTAGCCACAGGGATTTTGGGATTCCTATCAGTATTCAAGAGGAGTCAGGCATCGTCACCTTTTGAAGCAATGAACTCCGCGTGCCTCTCGAGGTGTCAGCGGGATGTGAGGCATTCCGTCAAAATGAGGCAGGGACCTAGGGCTTTCTCTATGGTCTCCACAGGGGATTGAGACATCCCTTCATGTTGTGAGATGAAAGACGAGCCTGTATTCAAGCCACTGCAAGGAAATCCGGCCTCCTTTCAAGTTAGGGCTTCTCGCTGTATATTCCCCTTGAGGCAGCACACTCAGGGTCCCTCCCACATACCAATTGCTGAGAGAAGCCTCCTCCTGAGGTGCTTCTGGAAAGTTGGCATACGTCTTGTGCCTAAGCCAGGGAATCAGCTCTCATCTCGAGACGATTTGGGGTACACGGAGCATTCCTCGAGTTGCTGTGCTGAAGTTGGTGTTCCTCTAAACTTGGGAGAGTGTTCTCTGGGCATTTCTGGAGTTGCCTGAAGGAAGTCGAGCCACCGGTCGTTTTGAATGCGGAACGGGGAATGGCTCTGGAGTCAATGCAGGGGAATCGGGCCTCATCTCGAGTTGATTTGGGGCACATGGAGCTGCTTTGCGTTGCTGGGGTGACCTCAGTGTCCGTCTAGACTGGTGACAGTGTTCTTGGGGACTGTCTCGAGATCCATTAAGCAAGTCGAAGCTCCTGACTTGTTTGAATGGGATCACGGAATAGCTCTGCATGCACTGCAGGGGAATGGGGCCTCATCTCGCCTCTAGGGGGAAGTCTCATGGTTTTTCTCGAGTTGCGGCGGGGATCTGGGGTATGTTCTCGACTTACGGCGGGGATGGCCCTTCAAAACACGAGTTTCTTCAGTGACGTCAGGACTCCTGTCTAGTAACGAGGGACAACTCAGGAATATCTTCGAGGCTTGGCAGGCCAAAAGGGACGCTTCTCGAGGTGAGGCAGGGCACCCAAGGACCCTTTCCAGTAGCCACAGGGATTTTGGGATTCCTGTCAGTATTCAACAGGAGTCAGGCATCGTCACGTTTTGAAGCAATGAACTCCGCGTGCCTCTCGAGATGTCAGCGCGATGTGAGGCATTCCGTCAAAATGAGGCAGGGACCTAGGGCTTTCTCTAAGGTCTCCACAGGGGATTCAGACATCCCTTCATGTTGTGAGATGAAACATGAGCCTGTATTCAAGCCACTGCAAGGAAACCCGGCCTCCTTTCAAGTTAGGGCTTCTCGCTGTATATTCCCCTTGAGGCAGCACACTCGGGATCCCTCCCACATACCAATTGCTGAGAGAAGCCTCCTCCGGAGTTGTTTCTGGAAAGTTGCCATACGTCTTGTGTCTAAGCCAGGGATTCAGCTCTCATCTCGAGACGATTTGGGGTACACGGAGCATTCCTCGAGTTGCTGTGCTGAAGTTGGTGTTCCTCTAGACTTGGGACAGTGTTCTCGGGGCATTTCTGGAGTTGCCGGATGGAAGTCGAGCCACCGGTCGTGTTGAATGGGGAACGGGGAATGGCTCTGGAGTCAATGCAGGGGAATCGGGGCTCATCTCGAGTTGATTTGGGGCACATGGAGCTGCTTTGCGTTGCTGGGGTGACCTCAGGGTCCGTCTAGACTGGTGACAGTGTTCTTGGGGACTGTCTCGAGATCCATTAAGCAAGTCGAAGCTCCTGACTTGTTTGAATGGGATCACGGAATAGCTCTGCATGCACTGCAGGGGAATGGGGCCTCATCTCGCCTCTAGGGGGAAGTCTCATGGTTTTTCTCGAGTTGCGGCGGGGATCTGGGCTATGTTCTCGACTTACGGCGGGGATGGCCCTTCAAAACACGAGTTTCTTCAGTGACGTCAGGACTCCTGTCTAGTAACGAGGGACACCTCAGGAATCTCTTCGAGGCTTGGCAGGGCAAAAGGGACGCTTCTCGAGGTGAGGCAGGGCACCCAAGGTCCCTTTCCAGTAGCCACAGTGATTTGGGGATTCCTATCAGTATTCAAGAGGAGTCAGGCATCGTCACCTTTTGAAGCAATGAACTCCGCGTGCCTCTCGAGGTGTCAGCGGGATGTGAGGCATTCCGTCAAAATGAGGCAGTGACCTAGGTCTTTCTCTAAGGTCTCCACAGGGGATTCAGACATCCCTTCATATTGTGAGATGAAAGACGAGCCTGTATTCAAGGCACTGCAAGGAAATCCGGTCTCCTTTCAAGTTAGGGCTTCTCGCTGTATATTCCCCTTGAGGCAGCACACTCGGGGTCCCTCCCATATACCAATTGCTGAGAGAAGCCTCCTCCTGACGTGCTTCTGGAAAGTTGGCATACGTCTTGTGCCAAAGCCAGGGAATCAGCTCTCATCTCGAGAAGATTTGGGGTACACGGAGCATTCCTCGAGTTGCTGTGCTGAAGTTGGTGTTCCTCTAGCCTTGGGAGAGTGTTCTCGGGGCATTTCTGGAGTTGCCTGAAGGAAGTCGAGCCACCGGTCGTGTTGAATGCGGAACGGGGAATGGCTCTGGAGTCAATGCAGTGGAATCGGGCCTCATCTCGAGTTGATTTGGGGCACATGGAGCTGCTTTGCGTTGCTGGGGTGACCTCAGGGTCCGTCTAGACTGGTGACAGTGTTCTTGGGGACTGTCTCGAGATCCATTAAGCAAGTCGAAGCTCCTGACTTGTTTGAATGGGATCACGGAATAGCTCTGCATGCACTGCAGGGGAATGGGGCCTCATCTCGCCTCTAGGGGGAAGTCTCATGGTTTTTCTCGAGTTGCGGCGGGGATCTGGGGTATGTTCTCGACTTACGGCGGGGATGGCCCTTCAAAACACGAGTTTCTTCAGTGACGTCAGGACTCCTGTCTAGTAACGAGGGACAACTCAGGAATATCTTCGAGGCTTGGCAGGCCAAAAGGGACGCTTCTCGAGGTGAGGCAGGGCACCCAAGGACCCTTTCCAGTAGCCACAGGGATTTTGGGATTCCTGTCAGTATTCAACAGGAGTCAGGCATCGTCACGTTTTGAAGCAATGAACTCCGCGTGCCTCTCGAGATGTCAGCGCGATGTGAGGCATTCCGTCAAAATGAGGCAGGGACCTAGGGCTTTCTCTAAGTTCTCCACAGGGGATTCAGACATCCCTTCATGTTGTGAGATGAAACATGAGCCTGTATTCAAGCCACTGCAAGGAAACCCGGCCTCCTTTCAAGTTAGGGCTTCTCGCTGTATATTCCCCTTGAGGCAGCACACTCGGGATCCCTCCCACATACCAATTGCTGAGAGAAGCCTCCTCCGGAGTTGTTTCTGGAAAGTTGCCATACGTCTTGTGTCTAAGCCAGGGATTCAGCTCTCATCTCGAGACAATTTGGGGTACACGGAGCATTCCTCGAGTTGCTGTGCTGAAGTTGGTGTTCCTCTGGACATGGGACAGTGTTCTCGGGGCATTTCTGGAGTTGCCGGATGGAAGTCGAGCCACCGGTCGTGTTGAATGGGGAACGGGGAATGGCTCTGGAGTCAATGCAGGGGAATCGGGCCTCATCTCGAGTTGATTTGGGGCACATGGAGCTGCTTTGCGTTGCTAGGGTATCCTCAGGGTCCGTCTAGACTGGTGACAGTGTTCTTGGGGACTGTCTCGAGATCCATTAAGCAAGTCGAAGCTCCTGACTTGTTTGAATGGGATCACGGAATAGCTCTGCATGCACTGCAGGGGAATGGGGCCTCATCTCGCCTCTAGGGGGAAGTCTCATGGTTTTTCTCGAGTGTGGCGGGGACCTGGGGTATGTTCTCGACTTACGGCGGGGATGGCCCTTCAAAACAAGAGTTTCTTCAGTGACGTCAGGACTCCTGTCTAGTAACGAGGGACACCTCAGGAATCTCTTCGAGGCTTGGCAGGGCAAAAGGGACGCTTCTCGAGGTGAGGCAGGACACCCAAGGACCCTTTCCAGTAGCCACAGGGATTTTGGGATTCCTATCAGTATTCAAGAGGAGTCAGGCATCGTCACCTTTTGAAGCAATGAACTCCGCGTGCCTCTCGAGGTGTCAGCGGGATGTGAGGCATTCCGTCAAAATGAGGCAGGGACCTAGGGCTTTCTCTAAGGTCTCCACAGGGGATTGAGACATCCCTTCATGTTGTGAGATGAAAGACGAGCCTGTATTCAAGCCACTGCAAGGAAATCCGGCCTCCTTTCAAGTTAGGACTTCTCGCTGTATATTCCCCTGAGGCAGCACACTCGGGGTCCCTCCCACATACCAATTGCTGAGAGAAGCCTCCTCCTGAGGTGCTTCTGGAAAGTTGGCATACGTCTTGTGCCTAAGCCAGGGAATCAGCTCTCATCTCGAGACGATTTGGGGTACACGAAGCATTCCTCGAGTTGCTGTGCTGAAGTTGGTGTTCCTCTAGACTTGGGAGAGTGTTCTCTGGGCATTTCTGGAGTTGCCTGAAGGAAGTAGAGCCACCGGTCGTTTTGAATGCGGAACGGGGAATGGCTCTGGAGTCAATGCAGGGGAATCGGGCCTCATCTCGAGTTGATTTGGGGCACATGGAGCTGCTTTGCGTTGCTGGGGTGACCTCAGGGTCCGTCTAGACTGGTGACAGTGTTCTTGGGGACTGTCTCGAGATCCATTAAGCAAGTCGAAGCTCCTGACTTGTTTGAATGGGATCACGGAAGAGCTCTGCATGCACTGCAGGGGAATGGGGCCTCATCTCGCCTCTAGGGGGAAGTCTCATGGTTTTTCTCGAGTTGCGGCGGGGATCTGGGGTATGTTCTCGACTTACGGCGGGGATGGCCCTTCAAAACACGAGTTTCTTCAGTGACATCAGGACTCCTGTCTAGTAACGAGGGACAACTCAGGAATATCTTCGAGGCTTGGCAGGGCAAAAGGGAAGCTTCTCGAGGTGAGGCAGGGCACCCAAGGACCCTTTCCAGTAGCCACAGGGATTTGGGGATTCCTATCAGTATTCAAGAGGAGTCAGGCATCGTCACCTTTTGAAGCAATGAACTCCGCGTGCCTCTCGAGGTGTCAGCGGGATGTGAGGCATTCCGTCAAAATGAGGCAGTGACCTAGGTCTTTCTCTAAGGTCTCCACAGGGGATTCAGACATCCCTTCATATTGTGAGATGAAAGACGAGCCTGTATTCAAGGCACTGCAAGGAAATCCGGTCTCCTTTCAAGTTAGGGCTTCTCGCTGTATATTCCCCTTGAGGCAGCACACTCGGGGTCCCTCCCATATACCAATTGCTGAGAGAAGCCTCCTCCTGAGGTGCTTCTGGAAAGTTGGCATACGTCTTGTGCCAAAGCCAGGGAATCAGCTCTCATCTCGAGAAGATTTGGGGTACATGGAGCATTCCTCGAGTTGCTGTGCTGAAGTTGGTGTTCCTCTAGCCTTCGGAGAGTGTTCTCGGGGCATTTCTGGAGTTGCCTGAAGGAAGTCGAGCCACCGGTCGTGTTGAATGCGGAACTGGGAATGGCTCTGGAGTCAATGCAGGGGAATCGGGACTCATCTCGAGTTGATTTGGGGCACATGGAGCTGCTTTGCGTTGCTGGGGTTACCTCAGTGTCCGTCTAGACTGGTGACAGTGTTCTTGGGGACTGTCTGGAGATCCATTAAGCAAGTCGAAGCTCCTGACTTGTTTCTATGGGATCACGGAATAGCTCTGAATTCACTGCAGGGGAATGGGGTCTCATCTCGCCTCTAGGGGGAAGTCTCATGGTTTTCCTCGAGTTGCGACGGGGACCTGGGGTATGTTCTCGACTTAAGGCGGGGATGGCCCTTCAAAACACGAGTTTCTTCAGTGACGTCAGGACTCCTGTCTAGTAACGAGGGACAACTCAGGAATATCTTCGAGGCTTGGCAAGGCAAAAGGGACCCTTCTCGAGGTGAGGCAGGGCACCCAAGACACTTTCCAGTAGCCACAGGGATTTTGGGATTCCTGTCAGTATTCAACAGGAGTCAGGCATCGTCACGTTTTGAAGCAATGAACTCCGCGTGCCTCTCGAGATGTCAGCGCGATGTGAGGCATTCCGTCACAATGAGGCAGGGACCTAGGGCTTTCTCTAAGGTCTCCACAGGGGATTCAGACATCCCTTCTTGTTGTGAGATGAAACATGAGCCTGTATTCAAGCCACTGCAAGGAAACCCGGCCTCCTTTCAAGTTAGGGCTTCTCGCTGTATATTCCCCTTGAGGCAGCACACTCGGGGTCCCTCCCACATACCAATTGCTGAGAGAAGCCTCCTCCTGAGGTGCTTCTGGCAAGTTGCCATATGTCTTGTGCCTAAGCCAGGGATTCAGCTCTCATCTCGAGACGATTTGGGGTACACGGGGCATTCCTCGAGTTGCTGTGCTGAAGTTGGTGTTCCTCTAGACTTGGGACAGTGTTCTCGGGGCATTTCTGGAGTTGCCGGATAGAAGTCGAGCCACCGGTCGTGTTGAATGGGGAACGGGGAATGGCTCTGGCGTCAATGCAGGGGAATTGGGCCTCATCTCGAGTTGATTTGGGGCACATGGAGCTGCTTTGCATTGCTAGCGTATCCTCAGGGTCCGTCTAGACTGGTGACAGTGTTCTTGGGGACTGTCTCGAGATCCATTAAGCAAGTCGAAGCTCCTGACTTGTTTGAATGGGATCACGGAATAGCTGTGCATGCACTGCAGGGGAATGGGGCCTCATCTCGCCTCTAGGGGGAAGTCTCATGGTTTTTCTCGAGTGCGGCGGGGACCTGGGGTATGATCTCGACTTACGGCGGGGATGGCCCTTCAAAACAAGAGTTTCTTCAGTGACGTCAGGACTCCTGTCTAGTAACGAGGGACACCTCAGGAATCTCTTCGAGGCTTGGCAGGGCAAAAGGGACGCTTCTCGAGGTGAGGCAGGACACCCAAGGACCCTTTCCAGTAGCCACAGGGATTTTGGGATTCCTATCAGTATTCAAGAGGAGTCAGGCATCGTCACCTTTTGAAGCAATGAACTCCGCGTGCCTCTCGAGGTGTCAGCGGGATGTGAGGCATTCCGTCAAAATGAGGCAGGGACCTAGGGCTTTCTCTATGGTCTCCACAGGGGATTGAGACATCCCTTCATGTTGTGAGATGAAAGACGAGCCTGTATTCAAGCCACTGCAAGGAAATCCGGCCTCCTTTCAAGTTAGGGCTTCTCGCTGTATATTCCCCTTGAGGCAGCACACTCAGGGTCCCTCCCACATACCAATTGCTGAGAGAAGCCTCCTCCTGAGGTGCTTCTGGAAAGTTGGCATACGTCTTGTGCCTAAGCCAGGGAATCAGCTCTCATCTCGAGACGATTTGGGGTACACGGAGCATTCCTCGAGTTGCTGTGCTGAAGTTGGTGTTCCTCTAAACTTGGGAGAGTGTTCTCTGGGCATTTCTGGACTTGCCTGAAGGAAGTCGAGCCACCGGTCGTTTTGAATGCGGAACGGGGAATGGCTCTGGAGTCAATGCAGGGGAATCGGGCCTCATCTCGAGTTGATTTGGGGCACATGGAGCTGCTTTGCGTTGCTGGGGTGACCTCAGGGTCCGTCTAGACTGGTGACAGTGTTCTTGGGGACTGTCTCGAGATCCATTAAGCAAGTCGAAGCTCCTGACTTGTTTGAATGGGATCACGGAATAGCTCTGCATGCACTGCAGGGGAATGGGGCCTCATCTCGCCTCTAGGGGGAAGTCTCATGGTTTTTCTCGAGTTGCGGCGGGGATCTGGGGTATGTTCTCGACTTACGGCGGGGATGGCCCTTCAAAACACGAGTTTCTTCAGTGACGTCAGAACTCCTGTCTAGTAACGAGGGACAACTCAGGAATATCTTCGAGGCTTGGCAGGCCAAAAGGGACGCTTCTCGAGGTGAGGCAGGGCACCCAAGGACCCTTTCCAGTAGCCACAGGGATTTTGGGATTCCTGTCAGTATTCAACAGGAGTCAGGCATCGTCACGTTTTGAAGCAATGAACTCCGCGTGCCTCTCGAGATGTCAGCGCGATGTGAGGCATTCCGTCAAAATGAGGCAGGGACCTAGGGCTTTCTCTAAGGTCTCCACAGGGGATTCAGACATCCCTTCATGTTGTGAGATGAAACATGAGCCTGTATTCAAGCCACTGCAAGGAAATCCGGCCTCCTTTCAAGTTAGGGCTTCTCGCTGTATATTCCCCTTGAGGCAGCACACTCGGGGTCCCTCCCATATACCAATTGCTGAGAGAAGCCTCCTCCTGAGGTGCTTCTGGAAAGTTGGCATACGTCTTGTGCCAAAGCCAGGGAATCAGCTCTCATCTCGAGAAGATTTGGGGTACACGGAGCATTCCTCGAGTTGCTGTGCTGAAGTTGGTGTTCCTCTAGCCTTGGGAGAGTGTTCTCGGGGCATTTCCGGAGTTGCCTGAAGGAAGTCGAGCCACCGGTCGTGTTGAATGCGGAACGGGGAATGGCTCTGGAGTCAATGCAGGGGAATCGGGCCTCATCTCGAGTTGATTTGGGGCACATGGAGCTGCTTTGCGTTGCTGGGGTGACCTCAGGGTCCGTCTAGACTGGTGACAGTGTTCTTGGGGACTGTCTCGAGATCCATTAAGCAAGTCGAAGCTCCTGACTTGTTTGAATGGGATCACGGAATAGCTCTGCATGCACTGCAGGGGAATGGGGCCTCATCTCGCCTCTAGGGGGAAGTCTCATGGTTTTTCTCGAGTTGCGGCGGGGATCTGGGGTATGTTCTCGACTTACGGCGGGGATGGCCCTTCAAAACACGAGTTTCTTCAGTGAAGTCAGGACTCCTGTCTAGTAACGAGGGACAACTCAGGAATATCTTCGAGGCTTGGCAGGGCAAAAGGGACGCTTCTCGAGGTGAGGCAGGGCACCCAAGACACTTTCCAGTAACCAAAGGGATTTTGGGGTTCCTGTCAGTATTCAACAGGAGTCAGGCATCGTCACCTTTTGAAGCAATGAACTCCGCGTGCCTCTCGAGATGTCAGCGCGATGTGAGGCATTCCGTCAAAATGAGGCAGGGACCTAGGGCTTTCTCTAAGGTCTCCACAGGGGATTCAGACATCCCTTCATGTTGTGAGATGAAACATGAGCCTGTATTCAAGCCACTGCAAGGAAACCCGGCCTCCTTTCAAGTTAGGGCTTCTCGCTGTATATTCCCCTTGAGGCAGCACACTCGGGATTCCTCCCACATACCAATTGCTGAGAGAAGCCTCCTCCGGAGTTGTTTCTGGAAAGTTGCCATACGTCTTGTGTCTAAGCCAGGGATTCAGCTCTCATCTCGAGACGATTTGGGGTACACGGAGCATTCCTCGAGTTGCTGTGCTGAAGTTGGTGTTCCTCTAGACTTGGGACAGTGTTCTCGGGGCATTTCTGGAGTTGCCGGATGGAAGTCGAGCCACCGGTCGTGTTGAATGGGGAACGGGGAATGGCTCTGGAGTCAATGCAGGGGAATCGGGCCTCATCTCGAGTTGATTTGGGGCACATGGAGCTGCTTTGCGTTGCTAGGGTATCCTCAGGGTCCGTCTAGACTGGTAACAGTGTTCTTGGGGACTGTCTCGAGATCCATTAAGCAAGTCGAAGCTCCTGACTTGTTTGAATGGGATCACGGAATAGCTCTGCATGCACTGCAGGGGAATGGGGCCTCATCTCGCCTCTAGGGGGAAGTCTCATGGTTTTTCTCGAGTGTGGCGGGGACCTGGGGTATGTTCTCGACTTACGGCGGGGATGGCCCTTCAAAACACGAGTTTCTTCAGTGACGTCAGGACTCCTGTCTAGTAACGAGGGACACCTCAGGAATCTCTTCGAGGCTTGGCAGGGCCAAAGGGACGCTTCTCGAGGTGAGGCAGGACACCAAAGGACCCTTTCCAGTAGCCACAGGGATTTTGGGATTCCTACCAGTATTCAAGAGGAGTCAGGCATCGTCACCTTTTGAAGCAATGAACTCCGCGTGCCTCTCGAGGTGTCAGCGGGATGTGAGGCATTCCGTCAAAATGAGGCAGTGACCTAGGTCTTTCTCTAAGGTCTCCACAGGGGATTCAGACATCCCTTCATATTGTGAGATGAAAGACGAGCCTGTATTCAAGGCACTGCAACGAAATCCGGTCTCCTTTCAAGTTAGGGCTTCTCGCTGTATATTCCCCTTGAGGCAGCACACTCGGGGTCCCTCCCATATACCAATTGCTGAGAGAAGCCTCCTCCTGAGGTGCTTCTGGAAAGTTGGCATACGTCTTGTGCCAAAGCCAGGGAATCAGCTCTCATCTCGAGAAGATTTGGGGTACACGGAGCATTCCTCGAGTTGCTGTGCTGAAGTTGGTGTTCCTCTAGCCTTGGGAGAGTGTTCTCGGGGCATTTCCGGAGTTGCCTGAAGGAAGTCGAGCCACCGGTCGTGTTGAATGCGGAACGGGGAATGGCTCTGGAGTCAATGCAGGGGAATCGGGCCTCATCTCGAGTTGATTTGGGGCACATGGAGCTGCTTTGCGTTGCTGGGGTGACCTCAGGGTCCGTCTAGACTGGTGACAGTGTTCTTGGGGACTGTCTCGAGATCCATTAAGCAAGTCGAAGCTCCTGACTTGTTTGAATGGGATCACGGAATAGCTCTGCATGCACTGCAGGGGAATGGGGCCTCATCTCGCCTCTAGGGGGAAGTCTCATGGTTTTTCTCGAGTTGCGGCGGGGATCTGGGGTATGTTCTCGACTTACGGCGGGGATGGCCCTTCAAAACACGAGTTTCTTCAGTGACGTCAGGACTCCTGTCTAGTAAGGAGGGACAACTCAGGAATATCTTCGAGGCTTGGCAGGGCAAAAGTGACGCTTCTCGAGGTGAGGCAGGGCACCCAAGACACTTTCCAGTAGCCAAAGGGATTTTGGGGTTCCTGTCTGTATTCAAGATGAGTCAGGCATCGTCACCTTTTGAAGCAATGAACTCCGCGTGCCTCTCGAGATGTCAGCGCGATGTGAGGCATTCCGTCAAAATGAGGCAGGGACCTAGGGCTTTCTCTAAGGTCTCCGCAGGGGATTCAGACATCCCTTCATGTTGTGAGATGAAAGATGAGCCTGTATTCAAGCCACTGCAAGGAAACCCGGCCTCCTTTCAAGTTAGGGCTTCTTGCTGTATATTCCCCTTGAGGCAGCACACTCGGGGTCCCTCCCACATACCAATTGCTGAGAGAAGCCTCCTCCTGAGGTGCTTCTGGAAAGTTGCCATACGTCTTGAGCCTAAGCCAGGGAATCAGCTCTCATCTCGAGACGATTTGGGATACACGGAGGATTCCTCGAGTTGCTGTGCTGAAGTTGGTGTTCCTGTAGACTTGGGACAGTGTTCTCGGGGCATCTCTGGAGTTGCCTGAATGAAGTCGAGCCACTGGTCGTGTAGAATGGGGAACGGGGAATGGCTCTGGAGTCAATGCAGGGGAATCGGGCCTCATCTCGAGTTGATTTGGGGCACATGGAGCTGCTTTGGGTTGCTGGGGTGACCTCAGGGTCCGTCTAGACTGGTGACAGTGTTCTTGGGGACTGTCTCGAGATCCATTAAGCAAGTCGAAGCTCCTGACTTGTTTGAATGGGATCACGGAATAGCTCTGCATGCACTGCAGGGGAATGGGGCCTCATCTCGCCTCTAGGGGGAAGTCTCATGGTTTTTCTCGAGTGCGGCGGGGACCTGGGGTATGTTCTCGACTTACGGCGGGGATGGCCCTTCAAAACAAGAGTTTCTTCAGTGACGTCAGGACTCCTGTCTAGTAACGAGGGACACCTCAGGAATCTCTTCGAGGCTTGGCAGGGCAAAAGGGACGCTTCTCGAGGTGAGGCAGGACACCCAAGGACCCTTTCCAGTAGCCACAGGGATTTTGGGATTCCTATCAGTATTCAAGAGGAGTCAGGCATCGTCACCTTTTGAAGCAATGAACTCCGCGTGCCTCTCGAGGTGTCAGCGGGATGTGAGGCATTCCGTCAAAATGAGGCAGGGACCAAGGGCTTTCTCTAAGGTCTCCACAGTGGATTGAGACATCCCTTCACGTTGTGAGATGAAAGACGAGCCTGTATTCAAGCCACTGCAAGGAAATCCGGCCTCCTTTCAAGTTAGGGCTTCTCGCTGTATATTCCCCTTGAGGCAGCAAACTCGGGGTCCCTCCCACATACCTATTGCTGAGAGAAGCCTCCTCCTGAGGTGCTTCTGGAAAGTTGGCATACGTCTTGAGCCTAAGCCAGGGAGTCAGCTCTCATCTCGAGACGATTTGGGGTACACGGAGCATTCCTCGAGTTGCTGTGCTGAAGTTGGTGTTCCTCTAGACTTGGGCCAGTGTTCTAGGGGCATCTCTGGAGTTGCCTGAAGGAAGTCGAGCCACCGGTCGTGTTGAATGGGGAACGGGGAATGGCTCTGGAGTCAATGCAGGGGAATCGGGCCTCATCTCGAGTTGATTTGGGGCACATGGAGCTGCTTTGCGTTGCTGGGGTGACCTCAGGGTCCGTCTAGACTGGTGACAGTGTTCTTGAGGACTGTCTCGAGATCCATTAAGCAAGTCGAAGCTCCTGATTTGCTTGAATGGGATCACGGAAGAGCTCTGCATGCACTGCAGGGGAATGGGGCCTCATCTCGCCTCTAGGGGGAAGTCTCATGGTTTTTCTCGAGTTGCGGCGGGGATCTGGGGTATGTTCTCCACTTACGGCGGGGATGGACCTTCAAAACACGAGTTTCTTCAGTGACGTCAGGACTCCTGTCTAGTAACGAGGGACAACTCAGGAATATCTTCGAGGCTTGGCAGGGCAAAAGGGACGCTTCTCGAGGTGAGGCAGGGCACCCAAGGCCCCTTTCCAGTAGCCACAGGGATTTGGGGATTCCTATCAGTATTCAAGAGGAGTCAGGCATCGTCACCTTTTGAAGCAATGAACTCCGCGTGCCTCTCGAGGTGTCAGCGGGATGTGAGGCATTCCGTCAAAATGAGGCAGTGACCTAGGTCTTTCTCTAAGGTCTCCACAGGTGATTCAGACATCTCTTCATATTGTGAGATGAAAGACGAGCCTGTATTCAAGGCACTGCAAGGAAATCCGGTCTCCTTTCAAGTTAGGGCTTCTCGCTGTATATTCCCCTTGAGGCAGCACACTCGGGGTCCCTCCCATATACGAATTGCTGAGAGAAGCCTCCTCCTGAGGTGCTTCTGGAAAGTTGGCATACGTCTTGTGCCTAAGCCAGGGAATCAGCTCTCATCTCGAGACGATTTGGGGTACACGGAGCATTCCTCGAGTTGCTGTGCTGAAGTTGTTGTTCCTCTAGCCTTGGGAGAGTGTTCTCGGGGCATTTTTGGAGTTGCCTGAAGGAAGTCGAGCCACCGGTCGTGTTGAATGCGGAACGGGGAATGGCTCTGGAGTCAATGCAGGGGAATCGGGCCTCATCTCGAGTTGATTTGGGGCACATGGAGCTGCTTTGCGTTACTGGGGTTACCTCAGTGTCCGTCTAGACTGGTGACAGTGTTCTTGGGGACTGTCTCGAGATCCATTAAGCAAGTCGAAGCTCCTGACTTGTTTGTATGGGATCACGGAATAGCTCTGAATGCCCTGCAGGGGAATGGGGCCTCATCTCGCCTCTAGGGGGAAGTCTCATGGTTTTCCTCGAGTTGCGACGTAGACCTGGGGTATGTTCTCGACTTACGGCTGGGATGGCCCTTCAAAACACGAGTTTCTTCAGTGACGTCAGGACTCCTGTCTAGTAAGGAGGGACAACTCAGGAATATCTTCGAGGCTTGGCAGGGCAAAAGGGACGCTTCTCGAGGTGAGGCAGGGCACCCAAGACACTTTCCAGTAGCCAAAGGGATTTTGGGGTTCCTGTCAGTATTCAACAGGAGTCAGGCATCGTCACCTTTTGAAGCAATGAACTCCGCGTGCCTCTCGAGATGTCAGCGCGATGTGAGGCATTCCGTCAAAATGAGGCAGGGACCTAGGGCTTTCTCTAAGGTCTCCGCAGGGTATTCAGACATCCCTTCATGTTGTGAGATGAAAGATGAGCCTGTATTCAAGCCACTGCAAGGAAACCCGGCCTCCTTTCAAGTTAGGGCTTCTTGCTGTATATTCCCCTTGAGGCAGCACACTCGGGGTCCCTCCCACATACCAATTGCTGAGAGAAGCCTCCTCCTGAGGTGCTTCTGGAAAGTTGGCATACGTCTTGTGCCTAAGCCAGGGAATCAGCTCTCATCTCGAGACGATTTGGGATACACGGAGGATTCCTCGAGTTGCTGTGCTGAAGTTGGTGTTCCTCTAGCCTTGGGACGGAGTTCTCGGGGCATCTCTGGAGTTGCCTGAAGGAAGTCGAGCCACCGGTCGTATTGAATGGGGAACGGGGAATGGCTCTGGAGTCAATGCAGGGGAATCGGGCCTCATCTCGAGTTGATTTGGGTCACATGGAGCTGCTTTGCGTTGCTGGGGTGACCTCAGGGTCCGTCTAGACTGGTGACAGTGTTCTCGGGGACTGTCTCGAGATCCATTAAGCAAGTCGAAGATCATGACTTGTTTGAATGGGATCACGGAGTAGCTCTGCATGCACTGCAGGGGAATGGGGCCTCATCTCGCCTCTAGGGGGAAGTCTCATGGTTTTTCTCGAGTTGCGGCGGGGACCTGGGGTATGATCTCGACTTACGGCGGGGATGGCCCTTCAAAACACGAGTTTCTTCAAGGACGTCAGGACTCCTGTCTAGTAACGAGGGACACCTCAGGAATCTCTTCGAGGCTTGGCAGGGCAAAAGGGACGCTTCTCGAGGTGAGGCAGGGCACCCAAGAACCCTTTCCAGTAGCCACAGGGATTTTGGGATTCCTATCAGTATTCAAGATGAGTCAGGCATCGTCACCTTTTGAAGCAATGAACTCCGCGTGCCTCTCGAGGTGTCAGCGGGATGTGAGGCATTCCGTCAAAATGAGGCAGGGACCTAGGGCTTTCTCTAAGGTCTCCACAGGGGATTCAGACATCCCTTCATGTTGTGAGATGAAAGACGAGCCTGTATTCAAGCCACTGCAAGGAAATACGGCCTGCTTTCAAGTTAGGGCTTCTCGCTGTATACACCTTGAGGCAGCAAACTCGGGGTCCCTCCCACATACCTATTGCTGAGAGAAGCCTCCTCCTGAGGTGCTTCTGGAAAGTTGGCATACGTCTTGAGCCTAAGCCAGGGAATCAGCTCTCATCTCGAGACGATTTGGTGTACATGGAGCATTCCTCGAGTTGCTGTGCTGAAGTTGGTGTTCCTGTAGACTTGGGACAGTGTTCTCGGGGCATCTCTGGAGTTGCCTGAAGGAAGTCGAGCCACCGGTCGTGTTGAATGGGGAACGGCGAATGGCTCTGGAGTCAATGCAGGGGAATCGGGCCTCATCTCGAGTTGATTTGGGGCACATGGAGCTGCTTTGCGTTGTGGGGTGACCTCAGGGTCCGTCTAGACTGGTGACAGTGTTCTCGGGGACTGTCTCGAGATCCATTAAGCAAGTCGAAGCCCTGACTTGTTTGAATGGGATCAGGGAATAGCTCTGCATGCACTGCAGGGGAATGGGGCCTCATCTCGCCTCTAGGGGGAAGTCTCATGGTTTTTCTCGAGTGCGGCGGGGACCTGGGGTATGTTCTCGACTTACGGCTGGGATGGCCCTTCAAAACACGAGTTTCTTCAGTGACGTCAGGACTCCTCTCTAGTAACGAGGGACACCTCAGGAATCTCTTCGAGGCTTGGCAGGGCAAAAGGGACGCTTCTCGAGCTGAGGCAGGGCACCCAAGGACCCTTTCCAGTAGCCACAGGGATTTTGGGATTCCTATCAGTATTCAAGAGGAGTCAGACATCGTCACCTTTTGAAGCAATGAACTCCGCATGCCTCTCGAGGTGTCAGCGGGATGTGAGGCATTCCGTCAAAATGAGGCAGGGACCTAGGGCTTTCTCTAAGGTCTCCACAGGGGATTCAGACTTCCCTTCATGTTGTGAGATGAAAGACGAGCCTGTATTCAAGCCACTGCAAGGAAATCCGGCCTGTTTTCAAGTTAGGGCTTCTCGCTGTATACCCCTTGAGGCAGCAAACTCGGGGTCCCTCCCACATACCTATTGCTGAGAGAAGCCTCCTCCTGAGGTGCTTCTGGAAAGTTGGCATACGTCTTGAGCCTAAGCCAGGGAATCAGCTGTCACCTCGAGACGATTTGGTGTACATGGAGCATTCCTCGATTTGCTGTGCTGAAGTTGGTGTTCCTGTAGACTTGGGACAGTGTTCTCGGGGCATCTCTGGAGTTGCCTGAATGAAGTCGAGCCACTGGTCGTGTAGAATGGGGAACGGGGAATGGCTCTGGAGTCAATGCAGGGGAATCGGGCCTCATCTCGAGTTGATTTGGGGCACATGGAGCTGCTTTGGGTTGCTGGGGTGACCTCAGGGTCCGTCTAGACTGGTGACAGTGTTCTTGGGGACTGTCTCGAGATCCATTAAGCAAGTCGAAGCTCCTGACTTGTTTGAATGGGATCACGGAATAGTTCTGCATGCACTGCAGGGGAATGGGGCCGCATCTCGCCTCTAGGGGGAAGTCTCATGGTTTTTCTCGAGTGCGGCGGGGACCTGGGGTATGTTCTCGACCTACAGCGGGGATGGCCCTTCAAACAAGAGTTTCTTCAGTGACGTCAGGACTCCTGTCTAGTAACGAGGGACACCTCAGGAATCTCTTCGAGGCTTGGCAGGGCAAAAGGGACGCTTCTCGAGGTGAGGCAGGACACCCAAGGACCCTTTCCAGTAGCCACAGGGATTTTGGGATTCCTATCAGTATTCAAGAGGAGTCAGGCATCGTCACCTTTTGAAGCAATGAACTCCGCGTTCCTCTCTAGGTGTCAGCGGGATGTGAGGCATTCCGTCAAAATGAGGCAGGGACCTAGGGCTTTCTCTAAGGTCTCCACAGGGGATTCAGACATCCCTTCATGTTGTGAGATGAAAGACGAGCCTGTATTCAAGCCACTGCAAGGAAATCCGGCCTCCTTTCAAGTTAGGGCTTCTCGCTGTATAGTCCCCTTGAGGCAGCAAACTCGGGGTCCCTCCCACATACCTATTGCTGAGAGAAGAATCTTCCTGAGGTGCTTCTGGAAAGTTGGCATACGTCTTGAGCCTAAGCCAGGGAATCAGCTCTCATCTCGAGACGATTTGGGGTACACGGAGCATTCCTCGAGTTGCTGTGCTGAAGTTGGTGTTCCTCTAGACTTGGGCCAGTGTTCTAGGGGCATCTCTGGAGTTGCCTGAAGGAAGTCGAGCCACCGGTCGTGTTGAATGGGGAACAGGGAATGGCTCTGGAGTCAATGCAGGGGAATCGGGCCTCATCTCGAGTTGATTTGGGGCACATGGAGCTGCTTTGCGTTGCTGGGGTGACCTCAGGGTCCGTCTAGACTGGTGACAGTGTTCATGGGGACTGTCTCGAGATCCATTAAGCAAGTCGAAGCTCCTGACTTGTTTGAATGGGATCACGGAAGAACTCTGCATGCACTGCAGGGGAATGGGGCCTCATCTCGCCTCTAGGGGGAAGTCTCATGGTTTTTCTCGAGTTGCGGCGGGAATCTGGGGTATGTTCTCGACTTACGGCGGGGATGGCCCTTCAAAACACGAGTTTCTTCAGTGACGTCAGGACTCCTGTCTAGTAACGAGGGACAACTCAGGAATATCTTCGAGGCTTGGCAGGGCAAAAGGGACGCTTCTCGAGGTGAGGCAGGGCACCCAAGGACCCTTTCCAGTAGAATCAGGGATTTGGGGATTCCTATCAGTATTCAAGAGGAGTCAGGCATCGTCACCTTTTGAAGCAATGACCTCCGCGTGCCTCTAGAGGTGTCAGCGGGATGTGAGGCATTCCGTCAAAATGAGGCAGTGACCTAGGTCTTTCTCTAAGGTCTCCACAGGGGATTCAGACATCCCTTCATATTGTGAGATGAAAGACGAGCCTGTATTCAAGGCACTGCAAGGAAATCCGGTCTCCTTTCAAGTTAGGGCTTCTCGCTGTATATTCCCCTTGAGGCAGCACACTCGGGGTCCCTCCCATATACCAATTGCTGAGAGAAGCCTCCTCCTGAGGTGCTTCTGGAAAGTTGGCATACGTCTTTTGCCTAAGCCAGGGAATCAGCTCTCATCTCGAGATGATTTGGGGTACACGGAGCATTCCTCGAGTTGCTGTGCTGAAGTTGTTGTTCCTCTAGCCTTGGGAGAGTGTTCTCGGGGCATTTCTGGAGTTGACTGAAGGAAGTCGAGCCACCGGTCGTGTTGAATGCGGAACGGGGAATGGCTCTGGAGTCAATGCAGGGGAATCGGGCCTCATCTCGAGTTGATTTGGGGCACATGGAGCTGCTTTGCGTTGCTGGGGTTGCCTCAGTGTCCGTCTAGACTGGTGACAGTGTTCTTGGGGACTGTCTGGAGATCCATTAAGCAAGTCGAAGCTCCTGACTTGTTTGTATGGGATCACGGAATAGCTCTGAATGCACTGCAGGGGAATGGGGCCTCATCTCGCCTCTAGGGGGAAGTCTCATGGTTTTCCTCGAGTTGCGACGGGGACCTGGGGTATGTTCTCGACTTACGGCTGGGATGGCCCTTCAAAACACGAGTTTCTTCAGTGACGTCAGGACTCCTGTCTAGTAACGAGGGACAACTCAGGAATATCTTCGAGACTTGGCAGGGCAAAAGGGACGCTTCTCGAGGTGAGGCAGGGCACCCAAGACACTTTCCAGTAGCCAAAGGGATTTTGGGGTTCCTGTCAGTATTCAACAGGAGTCAGGCATCGTCACCTTTTGAAGCAATGAACTCCGCGTGCCTCTCGAGATGTCAGCGCGATATGAGGCATTCCGTCAAAATGAGGCAGGGACCTAGGGCTTTCTCTAAGGTCTCCACAGGGGATTCAGACATCCCTTCATGTTGTGAGATGAAAGATGAGCCTGTATTCAAGCCACTGCAAGGAAACCCGGCCTCCTTTCAAGTTAGGGCTTCTCGCTGTATATTCCCCTTGAGGCAGCACACTCGGGGTCCCTCCCACATACCAATTGCTGAGAGAAGCCTCCTCCTGAGGTGCTTCTGGAAAGTTGGCATACGTCTTGTGCCTAAGCCAGGGATTCAGCTCTCATCTCGAGACGATTTGGGGTACATGGAGCATTCCTCGAGTTGCTGTGCTGAAGTTTGTGTTCCTTTAGACTTGGGACAGTGTTCTCGGGGCATTTCTGGAGTTGCCGGAAGGAAGTCGAGCCACCGGTCGTGTTGAATGGGGAACGGCGAAAGGCTCTGGAGTCAATGCAGGGGAATCGGGCCTCATCTCGAGTTGATTTGGGGCACATGGAGCTGCTTTGCGTTGTGGGGTGACCTCAGGGTCCGTCTAGACTGGTGACAGTGTTCTCGGGGACTGTCTCGAGATCCATTAAGCAAGTCGAAGCCCTGACTTGTTTGAATGGGATCAGGGAATAGCTCTGCATGCACTGCAGGGGAATGGGGCCTCATCTCGCCTCTAGGGGGAAGTCTCATGGTTTTTCTCGAGTGCGGCGGGGACCTGGGGTATGTTCTCGACTTACGGCTGGGATGGCCCTTCAAAACACGAGTTTCTTCAGTGACGTCAGGACTCCTCTCTAGTAACGAGGGACACCTCAGGAATCTCTTCGAGGCTTGGCAGGGCAAAAGGGACGCTTCTCGAGCTGAGGCAGGGCACCCAAGGACCCTTTCCAGTAGCCACAGGGATTTTGGGATTCCTATCAGTATTCAAGAGGAGTCAGACATCGTCACCTTTTGAAGCAATGAACTCCGCATGCCTCTCGAGGTGTCAGCGGGATGTGAGGCATTCCGTCAAAATGAGGCAGGGACCTAGGGCTTTCTCTAAGGTCTCCACAGGGGATTCAGACTTCCCTTCATGTTGTGAGATGAAAGACGAGCCTGTATTCAAGCCACTGCAAGGAAATCCGGCCTGTTTTCAAGTTAGGGCTTCTCGCTGTATACCCCTTGAGGCAGCAAACTCGGGGTCCCTCCCACATACCTATTGCTGAGAGAAGCCTCCTCCTGAGGTGCTTCTGGAAAGTTGGCATACGTCTTGAGCCTAAGCCAGGGAATCAGCTCTCATCTCGAGACGATTTGGTGTACATGGAGCATTCCTCGAGTTGCTGTGCTGAAGTTGGTGTTCCTCTAGTCTTGGGACAGTGTTCTCGGGGCATCTCTGGAGTTGCCTGAATGAAGTCGAGCCACTGGTCGTGTAGAATGGGGAACGGGGAATGGCTCTGGAGTCAATGCAGGGGAATCGGGCCTCATCTCGAGTTGATTTGGGGCACATGGAGCTGCTTTGCGTTGTGGGGTGACCTAAGGGTCCGTCTAGACTGGTGACAGTGTTCTCGGGGACTGTCTCGAGATCCATTAAGCAAGTCGAAGCTCCTGACTTGTTTGAATGGGATCACGGAATAGCTCTGCATGCACTGCAGGGGAATGGGGCCTCATCTCGCCTCTAGGGGGAAGTCTCATGGTTTTTCTCCAGTGCGGCGGGGACCTGGGGTATGTTCTCGACTTACGGCGGGGATGGCCCTTCAAAAGAAGAGTTTCTTCAGTGACGTCAGGACTCTTGTCTAGTAACGAGGGACACCTCAGGAATCTCTTCGAGGCTTGGCAGGGCAAAAGGGACGCTTCTCGAGGTGAGGCAGGACACCCAAGGACCCTTTCCAGTAGCCACAGGGATTTTGGGATTCCTATCAGTATTCAAGAGGAGTCAGGCATCGTCACCTTTTGAAGCAATGAACTCCGCGTTCCTCTCGAGGTGTCAGCGGGATGTGAGGCATTCCGTCAAAATGAGGCAGGGACCTAGGGCTTTCTCTAAGGTCTCCACAGGGGATTCAGACATCCCTTCATGTTGTGAGATGAAAGACGAGGCTGTATTCAAGCCACTGCAAGGAAATCCGGCCTGCTTTCAAGTTAGGGCTTCTCGCTCTATACCCCTTGAGGCAGCAAACTCGGGGTCCCTCCCACATACCTATTGCTGAGAGAAGCCTCCTCCTGAGGTGCTTCTGGAAAGTTGGCATATGTCTTGAGCCTAAGCCAGGGAATCAGCTCTCATCTCGAGACGATTTGGGATACACGGAGCATTCCTCGAGTTGCTGTGCTGAAGTTGGTGTTCCTCTAACCTTGGGACAGTGTTCTCGGGGCATCTCTGGAGTTGCCTGAAGGAAGTCGAGCCACCAGTCGTGGTGCATGGGGAACGGGGAATGGCTCTGGAGTCAATGCAGGGGAATCGGGCCTCATCTCGAGTTGATTTGGGGCACATGGAGCTGCTTTGCGTTGTGGGTTGACCTCAGGGTCCGTCTAGACTGGTGACAGTGTTCTCGGGGACTGTCGCGAGATCCATTTAGCAAGTCGAAGCTCCTGACTTGTTTGAATGGGATCACGGAATAGCTCTGCATGCACTGCAGGGGAATGGGGCCTCATCTCGCCTCTAGGGGGAAGTCTCATGGTTTTTCTCGAGTGCGGCGGGGACCTGGGGTATGTTCTCGAGTTACGGCGGGGATGGCCCTTCAAAACAAGAGTTTCTTCAGTGACGTCAGGACTCTTGTCTAGTAACGAGGGACACTTCAGGAATCTCTTCGAGGCTTGGCAGGGCAAAAGGGACGCTTCTCGAGGTGAGGCAGGACACCCAAGGACCCTTTCCAGTAGCCACAGGGATTTTGGGATTCCTATCAGTATTCAAGAGGAGTCAGGCATCGTCACCTTTTGAAGCAATGAACTCCGCGTGCCTCTCGAGGTGTCAGAGGGATGTGAGGCATTCCGTCAAAATGAGGCAGGGACCTAGGGCTTTCTCTAAGGTCTCCACAGGGGATTCAGACATCCCTTCATGTTGTGAGATGAAAGACGAGCCTGTATTCAAGCCACTGCAAGGAAATCCGGCCTCCTTTCAAGTTAGGGCTTCTCGCTGTATATTCCCCTTGAGGCAGCAAACTCGAGGTCCCTCCCACATACCTATTGCTGAGAGAAGCCTCCTCCTGAGGTGCTTCTGGAAAGTTGGCATACGTCTTGAGCCTAAGCCAGGGAATCAGCTCTCATCTCGAGACGATTTGGGGTACACGGAGCATTCCTCGAGTTGCTGTGCTGAAGTTGGTGTTCCTCTAGACTTGGGCCAGTGTTCTAGGGGCATCTCTGGAGTTGCCTGAAGGAAGTCGAGCCACCGGTCGTGTTGAATGGGGAACACGGAATGGCTCTGGAGTCAATGCAGGGGAATCGGGCCTCATCTCGAGTTGATTTGGGGCACATGGAGCTGCTTTGCGTTGCTGGGGTGACCTCAGGGTCCGTCTAGACTGGTGACAGTGTTCTTGGGGACTGTCTGGAGATCCATTAAGCAAGTCGAAGCTCCTGACTTGTTTGAATGGGATCACGGAATAGCTCTGCATGCACTGCAGGGGAATGGGGCCTCATCTCGCCTCTAGGGGGAAGTCTCATGGTTTTTCTCGAGTTGCGGCGGGGACCTGGGGTATGTTCTCGACTTACGGCGGGGATGGCCCTTCAAAACACGAGTTTCTTCAGTGACGTCAGGACTCCTGTCTAGTAACGAGGGACACCTCAGGAATCTCTTCGAGGCTTGGCAGGGCAAAAGGGACGCTTCTCGAGGTGAGGCAGGGCACCCAAGGACCCTTTCCAGTAGCCACAGGGATTTTGGGATTCCTATCAGTATTCAAGAGAAGTCAGGCATCGTCACCTTTTGAAGCAATGAACTCCGCGTGCCTCTCGAGGTGTAAGCGGGATGTGAGGCATTCCGTCAAAATGAGGCAGGGAACTAGGTCTTTCTCTAAGGTCTCCACAGGGGATTCAGACATCCCTTCATATTGTGAGATGAAAGACGAGCCTGTATTCAAGGCACTGCAAGGAAATCCGGTCTCCTTTCAAGTTAGGGCTTCTCGCTGTATATTCCCCTTGAGGCAGCACACTCGGGGTCCCTCCCGCATACCAATTGCTGAGAGAAGCCTCCTCCTGAGGTGCTTCTGGCAAGTTGCCATACGTCTTGTGCCTAAGCCAGGGATTCAGCTCTCATCTCGAGACGATTTGGGGTACATGGAGCATTCCTCGAGTTGCTGTGCTGAAGTTGGTGTTCCTTTAGACTTGGGACAGTGTTCTCGGGGCATTTCTGGAGTTGCCGGAAGGAAGTCGAGCCACCGGTCGTGTTGAATGGGGAACGGCGAATGGCTCTGGAGTCAATGCAGGGGAATCGGGCCTCATCTCGAGTTGATTTGGGGCACATGGAGCTGCTTTGCGTTGTGGGGTGACCTCAGGGTCCGTCTAGACTGGTGACAGTGTTCTCGGGGACTGTCTCGAGATCCATTAAGCAAGTCGAAGCCCTGACTTGTTTGAATGGGATCAGGGAATAGCTCTGCATGCACTACAGGGGAATGGGGCCTCATCTCGCCTCTAGGGGGAAGTCTCATGGTTTTTCTCGAGTGCGGCGGGGACCTGGGGTATGTTCTCGACTTACGGCTGGGATGGCCCTTCAAAACACGAGTTTCTTCAGTGACGTCAGGACTCCTCTCTAGTAACGAGGGACACCTCAGGAATCTCTTCGAGGCTTGGCAGGGCAAAAGGGACGCTTCTCGAGCTGAGGCAGGGCACCCAAGGACCCTTTCCAGTAGCCACAGGGATTTTGGGATTCCTATCAGTATTCAAGAGGAGTCAGGCATCGTCACCTTTTGAAGCAATGAACTCCGCATGCCTCTCGAGGTGTCAGCGGGATGTGAGGCATTCCGTCAAAATGAGGCAGGGAACTAGGTCTTTCTCTAAGGTCTCCACAGGGGATTCAGACATCCCTTCATATTGTGAGATGAAAGACGAGCCTGTATTCAAGGCACTGCAAGGAAATCCGGTCTCCTTTCAAGTTAGGGCTTCTCGCTGTATATTCCCCTTGAGGCAGCACACTCGGGGTCCCTCCCGCATACCAATTGCTGAGAGAAGCCTCCTCCTGAGGTGCTTCTGGCAAGTTGCCATACGTCTTGTGCCTAAGCCAGGGATTCAGCTCTCATCTCGAGACGATTTGGGGTACATGGAGCATTCCTCGAGTTGCTGTGCTGTAGTTGGTGTTCCTTTAGACTTGGGACAGTGTTCTCGGGGCATTTCTGGAGTTGCCGGAAGGAAGTCGAGCCACCGGTCGTGTTGAATGGGGAACGGCGAATGGCTCTGGAGTCAATGCAGGGGAATCGGGCCTCATCTCGAGTTGATTTGGGGCACATGGAGCTGCTTTGCGTTGTGGGGTGACCTCAGGGTCCGTCTAGACTGGTGACAGTGTTCTCGGGGACTGTCTCGAGATCCATTAAGCAAGTCGAAGCCCTGACTTGTTTGAATGGGATCAGGGAATAGCTCTGCATGCACTACAGGGGAATGGGGCCTCATCTCGCCTCTAGGGGGAAGTCTCATGGTTTTTCTCGAGTGCGGCGGGGACCTGGGGTATGTTCTCGACTTACGGCTGGGATGGCCCTTCAAAACACGAGTTTCTTCAGTGACGTCAGGACTCCTCTCTAGTAACGAGGGACACCTCAGGAATCTCTTCGAGGCTTGGCAGGGCAAAAGGGACGCTTCTCGAGCTGAGGCAGGGCACCCAAGGACCCTTTCCAGTAGCCACAGGGATTTTGGGATTCCTATCAGTATTCAAGAGGAGTCAGGCATCGTCACCTTTTGAAGCAATGAACTCCGCATGCCTCTCGAGGTGTCAGCGGGATGTGAGGCATTCCGTCAAAATGAGGCAGGGACCTAGGGCTTTCTCTAAGGTCTCCACAGGGGATTCAGACTTCCCTTCATGTTGTGAGATGAAAGACGAGCCTGTATTCAAGCCACTGCAAGGAAATCCGGCCTGTTTTCAAGTTAGGGCTTCTCGCTGTATACCCCTTGAGGCAGCAAACTCGGGGTCCCTCCCACATACCTATTGCTGAGAGAAGCCTCCTCCTGAGGTGCTTCTGGAAAGTTGGCATACGTCTTGAGCCTAAGCCAGGGAATCAGCTCTCATCTCGAGACGATTTGGGGTACACGGAGCATTCCTCGAGTTGCTGTGCTGAAGTTGGTGTTCCTCTAGACTTGGGCCAGTGTTCTAAGGGCATCTCTGGAGTTGCCTGAAGGAAGTCGAGCCACCGGTCGTGTTGAATGGGGAACACGGAATGGCTCTGGAGTCAATGCAGGGGAATCGGGCCTCATCTCGAGTTGATTTGGGGCACATGGAGCTGCTTTGCGTTGCTGGGGTGACCTCAGGGTCCGTCTAGACTGGTGACAGTGTTCTTGGGGACTGTCTGGAGATCCATTAAGCAAGTCGAAGCTCCTGACTTGTTTGAATGGGATCACGGAATAGCTCTGCATGCACTGCAGGGGAATGGGGCCTCATCTCGCCTCTAGGGGGAAGTCTCATGGTTTTTCTCGAGTTGCGGCGGGGACCTGGGGTATGTTCTCGACTTACGGCGGGGATGGCCCTTCAAAACACGAGTTTCTTCAGTGACGTCAGGACTCCTGTCTAGTAACGAGGGACACCTCAGGAATCTCTTCGAGGCTTGGCAGGGCAAAAGGGACGCTTCTCGAGGTGAGGCAGGGCAGCCGAGGACCCTTTCCAGTAGCCAGAGGGATTTTGGGATTCCTATCAGTATTCAAGAGGAGTCAGGCATCGTCACCTTTTGAAGCAATGAACTCCGCATGCCTCTCGAGGTGTAAGCGGGATGTGAGGCATTCCGTCAAAATGAGGCAGGGAACTAGGTCTTTCTCTAAGGTCTCCACAGGGGATTCAGACATCCCTTCATATTGTGAGATGAAAGACGAGCCTGTATTCAAGGCACTGCAAGGAAATCCGGTCTCCTTTCAAGTTAGGGCTTCTCGCTGTATATTCCCCTTGAGGCAGCACACTCGGGGTCCCTCCCGCATACCAATTGCTGAGAGAAGCCTCCTCCTGAGGTGCTTCTGGAAAGTTGGCATACGTCTTGTGCCTAAGCCAGGGAATCAGCTCTCATCTCGAGACGATTTGGGGTACACGGATCATTCCTCGAGTTGCTGTGGTGAAGTTGGTGTTCCTCTAGACTTAGGAGTGTGTTCTCTGGGCATTTCTGGAGTTGCCTGAAGGAAGTCGAGCCACCGGTCATGTTGAATGCGGAACGGGGAATGGCTCTGGAGTCAATGCAGGGGAATCGGGCGTCATCTCAAGTTGATTTGGGGCACATGGAGCTGCTTTGCGTTGCTGGGGTTTCCTCAGGTTCCCTCTAGACTGGTGACAGTGTTCTTGGGGACTGTCTCGAGATCCATTAAGCAAGTCGAAGCTCCTGACTTGTTTGTATGGGATCACGGAATAGCTCTGAATGCACTGCAGGGGAATGGGGCCTCATCTCGCCTCTAGGGGGAAGTCTCATGGTTTTCCTCGAGTTGCGATGGGGACCTGGGGTATGTACTCGACTTACGGCGGGGATGGCCCTTCAAAACACGAGTTTCTTCAGTGACGTCAGGACTCCTGTCTAGTAACGAGGGACAACTCAGGAATATCTTCGAGGCTTGGCAGGGCAAAAGGGACGCTTCTCGAGGTGAGGCAGGGCACCCAAGACACTTTCCAGTAGCCACAGGGATTTTGGGATTCCTGTCAGTATTCAACAGGAGTCAGGCATCGTCACCTTTTGAAGCAATGAACTCCGCGTGCCTCTCGAGATGTCAGCGCGATGTGAGGCATTCCGTCAAAATGAGGCAGGGACCTAGGGCTTTCTCTAAGGTCTCCACAGGGGATTGAGACATCCCTTCATGTTGTGAGATGAAAGACGAGCCTGTATTCAAGCCACTGCAAGGAAACCCGGCCTCCTTTCAAGTTAGGGCTTCTCGCTGTATATTCCCCTTGAGGCAGCACACTCGGGGTCCCTCCCACATACCTATTGCTGAGAGAAGCCTCCTCCTGAGGTGCTTCTGGAAAGTTGCCATACGTCTTGTGCCTAAGCCAGAGATTCAGCTCTCATCTCGAGACGATTTGGGGTACATGGAGCATTCCTCGAGTTGCTGTGCTGAAGTTTTTGTTCCTCTAGACTTGGGAAAGTGTTCTCGGGGCATCTCTGGAGTTGCCTGAAGGAAGTCTAGCCACCGGTCGTGTTTAATGGGGAACGGCGAATGGCTCTGGAGTCAATGCAGGGGAATTGGGCCTCATCTCGAATTGATTTGGGGCACATGGAGCTGCTTTGCGTTGTGGGGTGACCTCAGGGTCCATCTAGACTGGTGACAGTGTTCTCAGGGACTGTCTCGAGATCCATTAAGCAAGTCGAAGCCCTGACTTGTTTGAATGGGATCACGGAATAGCTCTGCATGCACTGCAGGGGAATGGGGCCTCATCTCGCCTCTAGGGGGAAGTCTCATGGTTTTTCTCGAGTGCGGCGGGGACCTGGGGTATGTTCTCGACTTACGGCGGGGATGGCCCTTCAAAACACGAGTTTCTTCAGTGACGTCAGGACTCCTGTCTAGTAACGAGGGACACCTCAGGAATCTCTTCGAGGCTTGGCAGGGCAAAAGGGACGCTTCTCGAGCTGAGGCAGGGCACCCAAGGACCCTTTCCAGTAGCCACAGGGATTTTGGGATTCCTATCAGTATTCAAGAGGAGTCAGGCATCGTCACCTTTTGAAGCAATGAACTCCGCATGCCTCTCGAGGTGTCAGCGGGATGTGAGGCATTCCGTCAAAATGAGGCAGGGACCTAGGGCTTTCTCTAAGGTCTCCACAGGGGATTCAGACTTCCCTTCATGTTGTGAGATGAAAGACGAGCCTGTATTCAAGCCACTGCAAGGAAATCCGGCCTGTTTTCAAGTTAGGGCTTCTCGCTGTATACCCCTTGAGGCAGCAAACTCGGGGTCCCTCCCACATACCTATTGCTGAGAGAAGCCTCCTCCTGAGGTGCTTCTGGAAAGTTGGCATACGTCTTGAGCCTAAGCCAGGGAATCAGCTCTCATCTCGAGATGATTTGGTGTACATGGAGCATTCCTCGAGTTGCTGTGCTGAAGTTGGTGTTCCTCTAGTCTTGGGACAGTGTTCTCGGGGCATCTCTGGAGTTGCCTGAATGAAGTCGAGCCACTGGTCGTGTAGAATGGGGAACGGGGAATGGCTCTGGAGTCAATGCAGGGGAATCGGGCCTCATCTCGAGTTGATTTGGGGCACATTGAGCTGCTTTGCGTTGTGGGGTGACCTCAGGGTCCGTCTAGACTGGTGACAGTGTTCTCGGGGACTGTCGCGAGATCCATTAAGCAAGTCGAAGCTCCTGACTTGTTTGAATGGGATCACGGAATAGCTCTGCATGCACTGCAGGGGAATGGGGCCTCATCTCGCCTCTAGGGGGAAGTCTCATGGTTTTTCTCGAGTTGCGGCGGGGACCTGGGGTATGTTCTCGACTTACGGCGGGGATGGCCCTTCAAAACACGAGTTTCTTCAGTGACGTCAGGACTCCTGTCTAGTAACGAGGGACACCTCAGGAATCTCTTCGAGGCTTGGCAGGGAAAAGGGACGCTTCTCGAGGTGAGGCAGGGCACCCAAGGACCCTTTCCAGTAGCCACAGGGATTTTGGGATTCCTATCAGTATTCAAGAGGAGTCAGGCATCGTCACCTTTTGAAGCAATGAACTCCGCGTGCCTCTCGAGGTGTAAGCGGGATGTGAGGCATTCCGTCAAAATGAGGCAGGGAACTAGGTCTTTCTCTAAGGTCTCCACAGGGGATTCAGACATCCCTTCATATTGTGAGATGAAAGACGAGCCTGTATTCAAGGCACTGCAAGGAAATCCGGTCTCCTTTCAAGTTAGGGCTTCTCGCTGTATATTCCCCTTGAGGCAGCACACTCGGGGTCCCTCCCGCATACCAATTGCTGAGAGAAGCCTCCTCCTGAGGTGCTTCTGGCAAGTTGCCATACGTCTTGTGCCTAAGCCAGGGATTCAGCTCTCATCTCGAGACGATTTGGGGTACATGGAGCATTCCTCGAGTTGCTGTGCTGAAGTTGGTGTTCCTTTAGACTTGGGACAGTGTTCTCGGGGCATTTCTGGAGTTGCCGGAAGGAAGTCGAGCCACCGGTCGTGTTGAATGGGGAACGGCGAATGGCTCTGGAGTCAATGCAGGGGAATCGGGCCTCATCTCGAGTTGATTTGGGGCACATGGAGCTGCTTTGCGTTGTGGGGTGACCTCAGGGTCCGTCTAGACTGGTGACAGTGTTCTCGGGGACTGTCTCGAGATCCATTAAGCAAGTCGAAGCCCTGACTTGTTTGAATGGGATCAGGGAATAGCTCTGCATGCACTACAGGGGAATGGGGCCTCATCTCGCCTCTAGGGGGAAGTCTCATGGTTTTTCTCGAGTGCGGCGGGGACCTGGGGTATGTTCTCGACTTACGGCTGGGATGGCCCTTCAAAACACGAGTTTCTTCAGTGACGTCAGGACTCCTGTCTAGTAACGAGGGACACCTCAGGAATCTCTTCGAGGCTTGGCAGGGCAAAAGGGACGCTTCTCGAGCTGAGGCAGGGCACCCAAGGACCCTTTCCAGTAGCCACAGGGATTTTGGGATTCCTATCAGTATTCAAGAGGAGTCAGGCATCGTCACCTTTTGAAACAATGAACTCCGCATGCCTCTCGAGGTGTCAGCGGGATGTGAGGCATTCCGTCAAAATGAGGCAGGGTCCTAGGGCTTTCTCTAAGGTCTCCACAGGGGATTCAGACTTCCCTTCATGTTGTGAGATGAAAGACGAGCCTGTATTCAAGCCACTGCAAGGAAATCCGGCCTGTTTTCAAGTTAGGGCTTCTCGCTGTATACCCCTTGAGGCAGCAAACTCGGGGTCCCTCCCACATACCTATTGCTGAGAGAAGCCTCCTCCTGAGGTGCTTCTGGAAAGTTGGCATACGTCTTGAGCCTAAGCCAGGGAATCAGCTCTCATCTCGAGATGATTTGGTGTACATGGAGCATTCCTCGAGTTGCTGTGCTGAAGTTGGTGTTCCTCTAGTCTTGGGACAGTGTTCTCGGGGCATCTCTGGAGTTGCCTGAATGAAGTCGAGCCACTGGTCGTGTAGAATGGGGAACGGGGAATGGCTCTGGAGTCAATGCAGGGGAATCGGGCCTCATCTCGAGTTGATTTGGGGCACATGGAGCTGCTTTGCGTTGTGGGGTGACCTCAGGGTCCATCTAGACTGGTGACAGCGTTCTCGGGGACTGTCTAGAGATCCATTAAGCAAGTCGAAGCTCCTGACTTGTTTGAATGGGATCACGGAATAGCTCTGCATGCACTGCAGGGGAATGGGGCCTCATCTCGCCTCTAGGGGGAAGTCTCATGGTTTTTCTCGAGTGCGGCGGGGACCTGGGTTATGTTCTCGACTTACGGCGGGGATGGCCCTTCAAAACACGAGTTTCTTCAGTGACGTCAGGACTCCTGTCTAGTAACGAGGGACACCTCAGGAATCTCTTCGAGGCTTGGCAGGGCAAAAGGGACGCTTCTCGAGCTGAGGCAGGGCACCCAAGGACCCTTTCCAGTAGCCACAGGGATTTTGGGATTCCTATCAGTATTCAAGAGGAGTCAGGCATCGTCACCTTTTGAAGAAATGAACTCCACGTGCCTCTCGAGGTGTCAGCGGGATGTGAGGCATTCCGTCAAAATGAGGCAGGGACCTAGGGCTTTCTCTAAGGTCTCCACAGGGGATTCAGACATCCCTTCATGTTGTGAGATGAAAGACGAGCCTGTATTCAAGCCACTGCAAGGAAATACGGCCTGCTTTCAAGTTAGGGCTAATCGCTGTATACCCCTTGAGGCAGCAAACTCGGGGTCCCTCCCACATACCTATTGCTGAGAGAAGTCTAATCCTGAGGTGCTTCTGGAAAGTTGGCGTACGTCTTGATCCTAAGCCAGGGAATCAGCTCTCATCTCGAGACGATTTGGTGTACATGGAGCATTCCTCGAGTTGCTGTGCTGAAGTTGGTGTTCCTGTAGACTTGGGACAGTGTTCTCGGGGCATCTCTGGAGTTGCCTGAATGAAGTCGAGCCACTGGTCGTGTAGAATGGGGAACGGGGAATGGCTCTGGAGTCAATGCAGGGGAATCGGGCCTCATCTCGAGTTGATTTGGGGCACATGGAGCTGCTTTGGGTTGCTGGGGTGACCTCAGGGTCCGTCTAGACTGGTGACAGTGTTCTTGGGGACTGTCTCGAGATCCATTGAGCAAGTCGAAGCTCCTGACTTGTTTGAATGGGATCACGGAATAGATTCTGCATGCACTGCAGGGGAATGGGGCCTCATCTCGCCTCTAGGGGGAAGTCTCATGGTTTTTCTCGAGTGCGGTGGGGACCTGGGGTATGTTCTCGACTTACGGCGGGGATGGCCCTTCAAAACACGTGTTTCTTCAGTGACGTCAGGACTCCTGTCTAGTAACGAGGGACACCTCAGGAATCTCTTCGAGGCTTGGCAGGGCAAAAGGGACGCTTCTCGAGGTGAGGCAGGACACCCAAGGACCCTTTCCAGTAGCCACAGGGATTTTGGGATTCCTATCAGTATTCAAGAGGAGTCAGGCATCGTCACCTTTTGAAGCAATGAACTCCGCGTGCCTCTCGAGGTGTAAGCGGGATGTGAGGCATTCCGTCAAAATGAGGCAGGGACCTAGGGCTTTCTCTAAGGTCTCCACAGGGGATTGAGACATCCCTTCATGTTGTGAGATGAAAGACGAGCCTGTATTCAAACCACTGCAAGGAAACCCGGCCTCCTTTCAAGTTAGGGCTTCTCGCTGTATATTCCCCTTGAGGCAGCAAACTCGGGGTCCCTCCCACATACCTATTGCTGAGAGAAGCCTCCTCCTGAGGTGCTTCTGGAAAGTTGGCATACGACTTGAGCCTAAGCCAGGGAATCAGCTCTCATCTCGAGACGATTTGGGGTACACGGAGCATTCCTCGAGTTGCTGTGCTGAAGTTGGTGTTCCTCTAGACTTGGGCCAGTGTTCTAGGGGCATCTCTGGAGTTGCCTGAAGGAAGTCGAGCCACCGGTCGTGTTGAATGGGGAACAGGGAATGGCTCTGGAGTCAATGCAGGGGAATAGGGCCTCATCTCGAGTTGATTTTCAGGCACATGGAGCTGCTTTGCGTTGCTGGGGTGACCTCAGGGTCCGTCTAGACTGGTGACAGTGTTCTTGGGGACTGTCTCGAGATCCATTAAGCAAGTCGAAGCTCTTGACTTGTTTGAATGGGATCACGGAAGAGCTCTGCATGCACTGCAGGGGAATGGGGCCTCATCTCGCCTCTAGGGGGAAGTCTCATGGTTTTTCTCGAGTTGCGGCGGGGATCTGGGGTATGTTCTCGACTTACGGCGGGGATGGCCCTTCAAAACACGAGTTTCTTCAGTGACGTCAGGACTCCTGTCTAGTAACGAGGGACAACTCAGGAATATCTTCGAGGCTTGGCAGGGCAAAAGGGACGCTTCTCGAGGTGAGGCAGGGCACCCAAGGACCCTTTCCAGTAGCCACAGGGATTTGGGGATTCCTATCAGTATTCAAGAGGAGTCAGGCATCATCACCTTTTGAAGCAATGAACTCCGTGTGACTCTCGAGGTGTCAGCGGGATGTGAGGCATTCCGTCAAAATGAGGCAGTGACCTAGTTCTTTCTCTAAGGTCTCCACAGGGGATTCAGACATCCCTTCATATTGTGAGATGAAAGACGAGCCTGTATTCAAGGCACTGCAAGGAAATCTGGTCTCCTTTCAAGTTAGGGCTTCTCGCTGTATATTCCCCTTGAGGCAGCACACTCGGGGTCCCTCCCATATACCAATTGCTGAGAGAAGCCTCCTCCTGAGGTGCTTCTGGAAAGTTGGCATACGTCTTGTGCCTAAGCCAGGGAATCAGCTCTCATCTCGAGACGATTTGGGGTACACGGAGCATTCCTCGAGTTGCTGTGCTGAAGTTGTTGTTCCTCTAGCCTTGGGAGAGTGTTCTCGGGGCATTTCTGGAGTTGCCTGAAGGAAGTCGAGCCACCGGTCGTGTTGAATGCGGAACGGGGAATGGCTCTGGAGTCAATGCAGGGGAATCGGGCCTCATCTCGAGTTGATTTGGGGCACATGGAGCTGCTTTGCGTTGTTGGGGTTGCCTCAGTGTCCGTCTAGACTGGTGACAGTGTTCTTGGGGACTGTCTGGAGATCCTTTAAGCAAGTCGAAGCTCCTGACTTGTTTGTATGGGATCACGGAATAGCTCTGAATGCACTGCAGGGGAATGGGGCCTCATCTCGCCTCTAGGGGGAAGTCTCATGGTTTTCCTCGAGTTGCGACGGGGACCTGGGGTATGTTCTCGACTTACGGCTGGGATGGCCCTTCAAAACACGAGTTTCTTCAGTGACGTCAGGACTCCTGTCTAGTAACGAGGGACAACTCAGGAATATCTTCGAGACTTGGCAGGGCAAAAGGGACGCTTCTCGAGGTGAGGCAGGGCACCCAAGACACTTTCCAGTAGCCAAAGGGATTTTGGGTTCCTGTCAGTATTCAACAGGAGTCAGGCATCGTCACCTTTTGAAGCAATGAACTCCGCGTGCCTCTCGAGATGTTAGCGCGATGTGAGGCATTCCGTCAAAATGAGGCAGGGACCTAGGGCTTTCTCTAAGGTCTCCACAGAGGATTCAGACATCCCTTCATGTTGTGAGATGAAAGACGAGCCTGTATTCAAGCCACTGCAAGGAAATCCGGCCTGTTTTCAAGTTATGGCTTCTCGCTGTATACCCCTTGAGGCAGCAAACTCGGGGTGCCTCCCACATACCTATTGCTGAGAGAAGCCTCCTCCTGAGGTGCTTCTGGAAAGTTGGCATACGTCTTGAGCCTAAGCCAGGGAATCAGCTCTCATCTCGAGACGATTTGGTGTACATGGAGCATTCCTCGAGTTGCTCTGCTGAAGTTGGTGTTCCTCTAGACTTGGGACAGTGTTCTCGGGGCATCTCTGGAGTTGCCTGAATGAAGTCGAGCCACTGGTCGTGTAGAATGGGGAACGGGGAATGGCTCTGGAGTCAATGCAGGGGAATCGGGCCTCATCTCGAGTTGATTTGGGGCACATGGAGCTGCTTTGCGTTGTGGGGTGACCTCAGAGTCCGTCTAGACTGGTGACAGTGTTCTCGGGGACTGTCTCGAGATCCATTAAGCAAGTCGAAGCTCCTGACTTGTTTGAATGGGATCACGGAATAGCTCTGCATGCACTGCAGGGGAATGGGGCCTCATCTCGCCTCTAGGGGGAAGTCTCATGGTTTTTCTCGAGTGCGGCGGGGACCTGGGGTATGTTCTCGAGTTACGGCGGGGATGGCCCTTCAAAACAAGAGTTTCTTCAGTGACGTCAGGACTCTTGTCTAGTAACGAGGGACACCTCAGGAATCTCTTCGAGGCTTGGCAGGCCAAAAGGGACGCTTCTCGAGGTGAGGCAGGACACCCAAGGACCCTTTCCAGTAGCCACAGGGATTTTGGGATTCCTATCAGTATTCAAGAGGAGTCAGGCATCGTCACCTTTTGAAGCAATGAACTCCGCGTGCCTCTCGAGGTGTCAGCGGGATGTGAGGCATTCCGTCAAAATGAGGCAGGGACCTAGGGCTTTCTCTAAGGTCTCCACAGGGGATTCAGACATCCCTTCATGTTGTGAGATGAAAGACGAGCCTGTATTCAAGCCACTGCAAGGAAATCCGGCCTGCTTTCAAGTTAGGGCTTCTCGCTCTATACCCCTTGAGGCAGCAAACTCGGGGTCCCTCCCACATACCTATTGCTGAGAGAAGCCTCCTCCTGAGGTGCTTCTGGAAAGTTGGCATACGTCTTGAGCCTAAGCCAGGGAATCAGCTCTCATCTCGAGACGATTTGGGATACACGGAGCATTCCTCGAGTTGCTGTGCTGAAGTTGGTGTTCCTCTAACCTTGGGACAGTGTTCTCGGGGCATCTCTGGAGTTGCCTGAAGGAAGTCGAGCCACCAGTCGTGGTGCATGGGGAACGGGGAATGGCTCTGGAGTCAATGCAGGGGAATCGGGCCTCATCTCGAGTTGATTTGGGGCACATGGAGCTGCTTTGCGTTGTGGGGTGACCTCAGGGTCCGTCTAGACTGGTGACAGTGTTCTCGGGGACTGTCTCGAGATCCATTAAGCAAGTCGAAGCTCCTGACTTGTTTGAATGGGATCACGGAATAGCTCTGCATGCACTGCAGGGGAATGGGGCCTCATCTCGCCTCTAGGGGGAAGTCTCATGGTTTTTCTCGAGTGCGGCGGGGACCTGGGGTATGTTCTCGAGTTACGGCGGGGATGGCCCTTCAAAACAAGAGTTTCTTCAGTGACGTCAGGACTCTTGTCTAGTAACGAGGGACACCTCAGGAATCTCTTCGAGGCTTGGCAAGGCAAAAGGGACGCTTCTCGAGGTGAGGCAGGACACCCAAGGACCCTTTCCAGTAGCCACAGGGATTTTGGGATTCCTATCAGTATTCAAGAGGAGTCAGGCATCGTCACCTTTTGAAGCAATGAACTCCGCGTGCCTCTCGAGGTGTCAGCGGGATGTGAGGCATTCCGTCAAAATGAGGCAGGGACCTAGGGCTTTCTCTAAGGTCTCCACAGGGGATTCAGACATCCCTTCATGTTGTGAGATGAAAGACGAGCCTGTATTCAAGCCACTGCAAGGAAATCCGGCCTCCTTTCAAGTTAGGGCTTCTCGCTGTATATTCCCCTTGAGGCAGCAAACTCGAGGTCCCTCCCACATACCTATTGCTGAGAGAAGCCTCCTCCTGAGGTGCTTCTGGAAAGTTGGCATACGTCTTGAGCCTAAGCCAGGGAATCAGCTCTCATCTCGAGACGATTTGGGGTACACGGAGCATTCCTCGAGTTGCTGTGCTGAAGTTGGTGTTCCTCTAGACTTGGGCCAGTGTTCTAGGGGCATCTCTGGAGTTGCCTGAAGGAAGTCGAGCCACCGGTCGTGTTGAATGGGGAACACGGAATGGCTCTGGAGTCAATGCAGGGGAATCGGGCCTCATCTCGAGTTGATTTGGGGCACATGGAGCTGCTTTGCGTTGCTGGGGTGACCTCAGGGTCCGTCTAGACTGGTGACAGTGTTCTTGGGGACTGTCTGGAGATCCATTAAGCAAGTCGAAGCTCCTGACTTGTTTGAATGGGATCACGGAATAGCTCTGCATGCACTGCAGGGGAATGGGGCCTCATCTCGCCTCTAGGGGGAAGTCTCATGGGTTTTCTCGAGTTGCGGCGGGGACCTGGGGTATGTTCTCGACTTACGGCGGGGATGGCCCTTCAAAACACGAGTTTCTTCAGTGACGTCAGGACTCCTGTCTAGTAACGAGGGACACTTCAGGAATCTCTTCGAGGCTTGGCAGGGCAAAAGGGACGCTTCTCGAGGTGAGGCAGGGCACCCAAGGACCCTTTCCAGTAGCCACAGGGATTTTGGGATTCCTATCAGTATTCAAGAGGAGTCAGGCATCGTCACCTTTTGAAGCAATGAACTCTGCGTGCCTCTCGAGGTGTCAGCGGGATGTGAGGCATTCCGTCAAAATGAGGCAGGGAACTAGGTCTTTCTCTAAGGTCTCCACAGGGGATTCAGACATCCCTTCATATTGTGAGATGAAAGACGAGCCTGTATTCAAGGCACTGCAAGGAAATCCGGTCTCCTTTCATGTTAGGGCTTTTCGCTGTATATTCCCCTTGAGGCAGCACACTCGGGGTCCCTCCCTCATACCAATTGCTGAGAGAAGCCTCCTCTTGAGGTGCTTCTGGAAAGTTGGCATACGTCTTGAGCCTAAGCCAGGGAATCAGCTCTCATCTCGAGACGATTTGGGGTACACGGAGCATTCCTCGAGTTGCTGTGCTGAAGTTGGTGTTCCTCTAGACTTGGGACAGTGTTCTCGGGGCATCTCTGGTTTGCCTGAAGGAAGTCGAGTCACCGGTCATGTTGAATGGGGAACGGGGAATGGCTCTGGAGTCAATGCAGGGGAATCGGGCCTCATCTCGAGTTGATTTGGGGCACATGGACCTGCTTTTCGTTGCTGGGGTAACCTCAGGTTCCGTCTAGACTGGTGACAGTGTTCTTGGGGACTGTCTCGAGATCCATTAAGCAAGTCGAAGCTCCTGACTTGTTTGAATGGGATCACGGAATAGCTCTGCATGCACTGCAGGGGAATGGGGCCTCATCTCGCCTCTAGGGGGAAGTCTCATGGTTTTTCTCGAGTTGCGGCGGGGACCTGGGGTATGTTCTCGACTTACCGCAGGGATGGCCCTTCAAGACACGAGTTACCTCAGTGACGTCAGTACTCCTGTCTAGTAACGAGGGACACCTCAGGAATCTCTTCGAAGCTTGGCAGGGCAAAAGAGACGCTTCTCGAGGTGAGGCAGGGCACCCAAGGACCCTTTCCAGTAGCCACAGGGATTTTGGGATTCCTATCAATATTCAAGAGGAGTCAGGCATCGTCACCTTTTGAAGCAATGAACTCCGCGTGCCTTTCGAGGTGTCAGCGGGATGTGAGGCATTCCGTCAAAAGGAGGCAGGGACCTAGGGCTTTCTCTAAGGCCTCCACAGGGGATTCAGACATCCCTTCATGTTGTGAGATGAAAAATGAGCCTGTATTCAAGCCACTGCAAGGAAATCCGGCCTCCTTTCCAGTTAGGGCTTCTCGCTGTATATTCCCCTTGAGGCAGCAAACTCGGAGTCCCTCCCACATACCAATTGCTGAGAGAAGCCTCCTCCTGAGGTGCTTCTGGCAAGTTGCCATACGTCTTGAGCCTAAGCCAGGGAATCAGCTCTCATTTCGAGACGATTTGGGGTACACGGAGCATTCCTCGAGTTGCTGTGCTGAAGTTGGTGTTCCTCTAGACTTGGGACAGTGTTCTCGGGGCATTTCTGGAGTTGCCAGATGGAAGTCGAGCCACCGGTCGTGTTGAATGGGGAACGGGGAATGGCTCTGGAGTCAATGCAGGGGAATTGGGCCTCATCTCGAGTTGATTTGGGGCACATGGAGCTGCTTTGCGTTGCTAGCGTATCCTCAGGGTCCGTCTAGACTGGTGACAGTGTTCTTGGGGACTGTCTCGAGATCCATTAAGCAAGTCGAAGCTCCTGACTTGTTTGAATGGGATCACGGAATAGCTCTGCATGCACTGCAGGGGAATGGGGCCCCATCTCGCCTCTAGGGGGAAGTCTCATGGTTTTTCTCGAGTTGCGGCGGGGACCTGGGGTATGTTCTCGACTTACGGCGGGGATGGCCCTTGAAAACACGAGTTTCTTCAGTGACGTCAGGACTCCTGTCTAGTAACGAGGGACACCTCAGGAATCTCTTCGAGGCTTGGCAGGGCAAAAGGGACGCTTCTCGAGTTGAGGCAGGACACCCAAGGACCCTTTCCAGTAGCACAGGGATTTTGGGATTCCTATCAGTATTCAAGAGGAGTCAGGCATCGTCACCTTTTGAAGCAATGAACTCCGCGTGCCTCTCGAGGTGTCAGCGGGATGTGAGGCATTCCGTCAAAATGAGGCAGGGACCTAGGGCTTTCTCTAAGGTCTCCACAGGGGATTGAGACATCCCTTCATGTTGTGAGATGAAAGACGAGCCTGTATTCAAGCCACTGCAAGGAAATCCGGTCTCCTTTCAAGTTAGGGCTTCTCGCTGTATATTCTCCTTGAGGCAGCACACTCGGGGTCCCTCCCACATACCAATTGCTGAGAAAAGCCTCCTCCTGAGGTGCTTCTGGAAAGTTGGCATACGTCTTGTGCCTAAGCCAGGGAATCAGCTCTCATCTCGAGACGATTTGGGGTACACGGAGCATTCCTCGAGTTGCTGTGCTGAAGTTGGTGTTCCTCTAGACTTGGGAGAGTGTTCTCTGGGCATTTCTGGAGTGGCCTGAAGGAAGTCGAGCCACCGGTCGTTTTGAATGCGGAACGGGGAATGGCTCTGGAGTCAATGCAGGGGAATCGGGCCTCATCTCGAGTTGATTTGGGGCACATGTAGCTGCTTTGCGTTGCTGGGGTGACCTCAGGGACCGTCTAGACTGGTGACAGTGTTCTTGGGGACTGTCTCGAGATCCATTAAGCAAGTCGAAGCTCCTGACTTGTTTGTATGGGATCACGGAATAGCTCTGAATGCACTGCGGGGGAATGGGGCCTCATCTCTCCTCTAGGGGGAAGTCTCATGGTTTTCCTCGAGTTGCGACGGGGACCTGGGGTATGTTCTCGACTTACGGCGGGGATGGCCCTTCAAAACACGAGTTTCTTCAGTGACGTCAGGACTCCTGTCTAGTAATGAGGGACAACTCAGGAATATCTTCGAGGCTTGGCAGGGCAAAAGGGACGCTTCTCGAGGTGAGGCAGGGCACCCAAGACACTTTCCAGTAGCCACAGGGATTGGGGGATTCCTATCAGTATTCAAGAGGAGTCAGGCATCGTCACCTTTTGAAGCAATGAACTCCGCGTGCCTCTCGAGGTGTCAGCGGGATGTGAGGCATTCCGTCAAAAGTAGGCAGGGACCTAGGGCTTTCTCTAAGGTCTCCACAGGGGATTCAGACATCCCTTCATGTTGTGAGATGAAAAATGAGCCTGTATTCAAGCCACTGCAAGGAAATCCGGCCTCCTTTCCAGTTAGGGCTTCTCGCTGTATATTCCCCTTGAGGCAGCAAATTCGGAGTCCCTCCCACATACCAATTGCTGAGAGAAGCCTCCTCCTGAGGTGCTTCTGGCAAGTTGCCATACGTCTTGAGCCTAAGCCAGGGAATCAGCTCTCATCTCGAGACGATTTGGGGTACACGGAGCATTCCTCGAGTTGCTGTGCTGAAGTTGGTATTCCTCTAGACTTGGGACAGTGTTCTCGGGGCATTTCTTGAGTTGCCGGATGGAAGTCGAGCCACCGGTCGTGTTGAATGGGGAACGGGGAATGGCTCTGGAGTCAATGCAGGGGAATTGGGCCTCATCTCGAGTTGATTTGGGGCACATGGAGCTGCTTTGCGTTGCTAGCGTATCCTCAGGGTCCGTCTAGACTGGTGACAGTGTTCTTGGGGACTGTCTCGAGATCCATTAAGCAAGTCGAAGCTCCTGACTTGTTTGAATGGGATCACGGAATAGCTCTGCATGCACTGCAGGGGAATGGGGCCTCATCTCGCCTCTAGGGGGAAGTCTCATGGTTTTTCTCGAGTTGCGGCGGGGACCTGGGGTATGTTCTCGACTTACGGCGGGGATGGCCCTTCAAAACAAGAGTTTCTTCAGTGACGTCAGGACTCCTGTCTAGTAACGAGGGACACCTCAGGAATCTCTTCGAGGCTTGGCAGGGCAAAAGGGACGCTTCTCGAGGTGAGGCAGGACACCCAAGGACCCTTTCCAGTAGCCACAGGGATTTTGGGATTCCTATCAGTATTCAAGAGGAGTCAGGCATCGTCACCTTTTGAAGCAATGAACTCCGCGTGCCTCTCGAGGTTTCAGCGGGATATGAGGCATTCCGTCAAAATGAGGCAGGGACCTAGGGGTTTCTCTAAGGTCTCCACAGGGGATTGAGACATCCCTTCATGTTGTGAGATGAAAGACGAGCCTGTATTCAAGCCACTGCAAGGAAATCCGGTCTCCTTTCAAGTTAGGGCTTCTCGCTGTATATTCCCCTTGAGGCAGCACACTCGGGGTCCCTCCCACATACCAATTGCTGAGAGAAGCCTCCTCCTGAGGTGCTTCTGGAAAGTTGGCATACGTCTTGTGCCTAAGCCAGGGAATCAGCTCTCATCTCGAGACGATTTGGGGTACACGGAGCATTCCTCGAGTTGCTGTGCTGAAGTTGGTGTTCCTCTAGACTTGGGAGAGTGTTCTCTGGGCATTTCTGGAGTGGCCTGAAGGAAGTCGAGCCACCGGTCGTTTTGAATGCGGAACGGGGAATGGCTCTGGAGTCAATGCAGGGGAATCGGGCCTCATCTCGAGTTGATTTGGGGCACATGTAGCTGCTTTGCGTTGCTGGTGTGACCTCAGGGTCCGTCTAGACTGGTGACAGTGTTCTTGGGGACTGTCTCGAGATCCATTAAGCAAGTCGAAGCTCCTGACTTGTTTGTATGGGATCACGGAATAGCTCTGAATGCACTGCAGGGGAATGGGGCCTCATCTCTCCTCTAGGGGGAAGTCTCATGGTTTTCCTCGAGTTGCGACGGGGACCTGGGGTATGTTCTCGACTTACGGCGGGGATGGCCCTGCAAAACACGAGTTTCTTCAGTGACGTCAGGACTCCTGTCTAGTAATGAGGGACAACTCAGGAATATCTTCGAGGCTTGGCAGGGCAAAAGGGACGCTTCTCGAGGTGAGGCAGGGCACCCAAGACACTTTCCAGTAGCCACAGGGATTTTGGGATTGCTGTCAGTATTCAACAAGGGTCAGGCATCGTCACGTTTTGAAGCAATGAACTCCGCGTGCCTCTCGAGATGTCAGCGCGATGTGAGGCATTCCGTCACAATGAGGCAGGGACCTAGGGCTTTCTCTAAGGTCTCCACAGGGGATTCAGACATCCCTTCATGTTGTGAGATGAAACATGAGCCTGTATTCAAGCCACTGCAAGGAAACCCGGCCTCCTTTCAAGTTAGGGCTTCTCGCTGTATATTCCCCTTGAGGCAGCACACTCGGGGTCCCTCCCACATACCAATTGCTGAGAGAAGCCTCCTCCTGAGGTGCTTCTGGATAGTTGCCATACGTCTTGTGCCTAAGCCAGGGATTCAGCTCTCATCTCGAGACGATTTGGGGTACACGGAGCATTCCTCGAGTTGCTGTGCTGAAGTTGGTGTTCCTCTAGACTTCGGACAGTGTTCTCGGGGCATTTCTGGAGTTGCCTGAAGGAAGTCGAGCCACCGGTCGTGTTGAATGGGGAACGGGGAATGGCTCTGGAGTCAATGCAGGGGAATCGGGCCTCATCTCGAGTTGATTTGGGGCACATGGAGCTGCTTTGCGTTGCTAGGGTATCCTCAGGGTCCGTCTAGACTGGTGACAGTGTTCTTGGGGACTGTCTCGAGATCCATTAAGCAAGTCGAAGCTCCTGACTTGTTTGAATGGGATCACGGAATAGCTCTGCATGCACTGCAGGGGAATGGGGCCTCATCTCGCCTCTAGGGGGAAGTCTCATGGTTTTTCTCTAGTGCGGCGGGGACCTGGGGTATGTTCTCGACTTACGGCGGGGAAGGCCCTTCAAAACAAGAGTTTCTTCAGTGACGTCAGGACTCCTGTCTAGTAACGAGGGACACCTCAGGAATCTCTTCGAGGCTTGGCAGGGCAAAAGGGACGCTTCTCGAGGTGAGGCAGGACACCCAAGGACCCTTTCCAGTAGCCACAGGGATTTTGGGATTCCTATCAGTATTCAAGAGGAGTCAGGCATCGTCACCTTTTGAAGCAATGAACTCCGCGTGCCTCTCGAGGTGTCAGCGGGATGTGAGGCATTCCGTCAAAATGAGGCAGGGACCTAGGGCTTTCTCTAAGGTCTCCACAGGGGATTCAGACATCCCTTCATATTGTGAGATGAAAGACGAGCCTGTATTCAAGGCACTGCAAGGAAATCCGGTCTCCTTTCAAGTTAGGGCTTCTCGCTGTATACTCCCCTTGAGGCAGCACACTCGGGGTCCCTCCCATATACCAATTGCTGAGAGAAGCCTCCTCCTGAGGTGCTTCTGGAAAGTTGGCATACGTCTTGTGCCTAAGCCAGGGAATCAGCTCTCATCTCGAGAAGATTTGGGGTACACGGAGCATTCCTCGAGTTGCTGTGCTGAAGTTGGTGTTCCTCTAGCCTTGGGAGAGTGTTCTCGGGGCATTTCTGGAGTTGCCTGAAGGAAGTCGAGCCACCGGTCGTGTTGAATGCGGAACGGGGAATGGCTCTGGAGTCAATGCAGGGGAATCGGGCCTCATCTCGAGTTGATTTGGGGCACATGGAGCTGCTTTGCGTTGCTGGGGTTACCTCAGTGTCCGTCTAGACTGGTGACAGTGTTCTTGGGGACTGTCTGGAGATCCATTAAGCAAGTCGAAGCTCCTGACTTGTTTGTATGGGATCACAGAATAGCTCTGAATGCACTGCAGGGGAATGGGGCCTCATCTCGCCTCTAGGGGGAAGTCTCATGGTTTTCCTCGAGTTTCGACGGGGACCTGGGGTACGTTCTCGACTTACGGCTGGGATGGCCCTTCAAAACACGAGTTTCTTCAGTGACGTCAGGACTCCTGTCTAGTAACGAGGGACAACTCAGGAATATCTTCGAGGTTTGGCAGGGCAAAAGGGACGCTTCTCGAGGTGAGGCAGGGCACCCAAGACACTTTCCAGTAGCCACAGGGATTTTGGGATTCCTGTCAGTATTCAACAGGAGTCAGGCATCGTCACGTTTTGAAGCAATGAACTCCGCGTGCCTCTCGAGATGTCAGCGCGATGTGAGGCATTCCGTCAAAATGAGGCAGGGACCTAGGGCTTTCTCTAAGGTCTCCACAGGGGATTCAGACATCCCTTCATGTTGTGAGATGAAACATGAGCCTGTATTCAAGCCACTGCAAGGAAACCCGGCCTCCTTTCAAGTTAGGGCTTCTCGCTGTATATTCCCCTTGAGGCAGCACACTCGGGGTCCCGCCCACATACCAATTGCTGAGAGAAGCCTCCTCCTGAGGTGCTTGTGGAAAGTTGCCATACGTCTTGTGCCTAAGCCAGGGATTCAGCTCTCATCTCAAGACGATTTGGGGTACACGGAGCATTCCTCGAGTTGCTGTGCTGAAGTTGGTGTTCCTCTAGACTTGGGACAGTGTTCTCGGGGCATTTCTGGAGTTGCCTGAAGGAAGTCGAGCCACCGGTCGTGTTGAATGGGGAACGGGGAATGGCTCTGGAGTCAATGCAGGGGAATCGGGCCTCATCTCGAGTTGATTTGGGGCACATGGTGCTGCTTTGCGTTGCTAGGGTATCCTCAGGGTCCGTCTAGACTGGTGACAGTGTTCTTGGGGACTGTCTCGAGATCCATTAAGCAAGTCGAAGCTCCTGACTTGTTTGAATGGGATCACGGAATAGCTCTGCATGCACTGCAGGGGAATGGGGCCTCATCTCGCCTCTAGGGGGAAGTCTCATATTTTTTCTCTAGTGCGGCGGGGACCTGGAGTATGTTCTCGACTTACGGCGGGGAAGGCCCTTCAAAACAAGAGTTTCTTCAAGGACGTCAGGACTCCTGTCTAGTAACGAGGGACACCTCAGGAATCTCTTCGAGGCTTGGCAGGGCAAAAGGGACGCTTCTCGAGGTGAGGCAGGGCTCCCAAGAACCCTTTCCAGTAGCCACAGGTATTTTGGGATTCCTATCAGTATTCAAGATGAGTCAGGCATCGTCACCTTTTGAAGCAATGAACTCCGCATGCCTCTCGAGGTGTCAGCGGGATGTGAGGCATTCCGTTAAAATGAGGCAGGGACCTAGGGCTTTCTCTAAGGTCTCCACAGGGGATTCAGACATCCCTTCATGTTGTGAGATGAAAGACGAGCCTGTATTCAAGCCACTGCAAGGAAATACGGCCTGCTTTCAAGTTAGGGCTTCTCGCTGTATACCCCTTGAGGCAGCAAACTCGGGGTCCCTCCCACATACCTATTGCTGAGAGAAGCCTCCTCCTGAGGTGCTTCTGGAAAGTTGGCATACGTCTTGAGCCTAAGCCAGGGAATCAGCTCTCATCTCGAGACGATTTGGTGTACATGGAGCATTCCTCGAGTTGCTGTGCTGAAGTTGGTGTTCCTGTAGACTTGGGACAGTGTTCTCGGGGCATCTCTGGAGTTGCCTGAATGAAGTCGAGCCACTGGTCGTGTAGAATGGGGAACGGGGAATGGCTCTGGAGTCAATGCAGGGGAATCGGGCCTCATCTCGAGTTGATTTGGGGCACATGGAGCTGCTTTGCGTTGCTGGGGTGACCTCAGGGTCCGTCTAGACTGGTGACAGTGTTCTTGGGGACTGTCTCGAGATCCATTAAGCAAGTCGAAGCTCCTGACTTGTTTGAATGGGATCACGGAATAGCTCTGCATGCACTGCAGGGGAATGGGGCCTCATCTCGCCTCTAGTGGGAAGTCTCATGGTTTTTCTCGAGTTGCGGCGGGGACCTGGGGTATGTTCTCGACTTACGGCGGGGATGGCCCTTCAAAACACGAGTTTCTTCAGTGACGTCAGGACTCCTGTCTAGTAACGAGGGACAACTCAGGAATATCTTCGAGGCTTGGCAGGGCAAAAGGGACGCCTCTCGAGATGAGGCAGGGCACCCAAGGACCCTTTCCAGTAGCCACAGGGATTTGGGGATTCCTATCAGTATTCAAGAGGAGTCAGGCATTGTCACCTTTTGAAGCAATGAACTCCGCGTGCCTCTCGAGGTGTCAGCGGGATGTGAGGCATTCCGTCAAAATGAGGCAGTGACCTAGGTCTTTCTCTAAGGTCTCCACAGGGGATTCAGACATCCCTTCATATTGTGAGATGAAAGACGAGCCTGTATTCAAGGCACTGCAAGGAAATCCGGTCTCCTTTCAAGTTAGGGCTTCTCGCTGAATATTCCCCTTGAGGCAGCACACTCGGGGTCCCTCCCATATACCAATTGCTGAGAGAAGCCTCCTCCTGAGGTGCTTCTGGAAAGTTTGCATACGTCTTGTGCCTAAGCCAGGGAATCAGCTCTCATCTCGAGACGATTTGGGGTACACGGAGCATTCCTCGAGTTGCTGTGCTGAAGTTGTTGTTCCTCTAGCCTTGGGAGAGTGTTCTCGGGGCATTTCTGGACTTGCATGAAGGAAGTCGAGCCACCGGTCGTGTTGAATGCGGAACGGGGAATGGCTCTGGAGTCAATGCAGGGGAATCGGGCCTCATCTCGAGTTGATTTGGGGCACATGGAGCTGCTTTGCGTTACTGGGGTTACCTCAGTGTCCGTCTAGACTGGTGACAGTGTTCTTGGGGACTGTCTGGAGATCCATTAAGCAAGTCGAAGCTCCTGACTTGTTTGTATGGGATCACGGAATAGCTCTGAATGCCCTGCAGGGGAATGGGGCCTCATCTCGCCTCTAGGGGGAAGTCTCATGGTTTTTCTCGAGTTGCGGCGGGGACCTGGGGTATGATCTCGACTTACGGCGGGGATGGCCCTTCAAAACACGAGTTTCTTCAAGGACGTCAGGACTCCTGTCTAGTAACGAGGGACACCTCAGGAATCACTTCGAGGCTTGGCAGGACAAAAGGGACGCTTCTCGAGGTGAGGCAGGACACCCAAGAACCCTTTCCAGTAGCCACAGGGATTTTGGGATTCCTATCAGTATTCAAGATGAGTCAGGCATCTTCACCTTTTGAAGCAATGAACTCCGCATGCCTCTCGAGGTGTCAGCGAGATGTGAGGCATTCCGTCAAAATGAGGCAGGGACCTAGGGCTTTCTCTAAGGTCTCCACAGGGGATTCAGACATCCCTTCATGTTGTGAGATGAAAGACGAGCCTGTATTCAAGCCACTGCAAGGAAATACGGCCTGCTTTCAAGTTAGGGCTTCTCGCTGTATACCCCTTGAGGCAGCAAACTCGGGGTCCCTCCCACATACCTATTGCTGAGAGAAGCCTCCTATTGAGGTGCTTCTGGAAAGTTGGCATACGTCTTGAGCCTAAGCCAGGGAATCAGCTCTCATCTCGAGACGATTTGGTGTACACGGAGCATTCCTCGAGTTGCTGTGCTGAAGTTGGTGTTCCTGTAGACTTGGGACAGTGTTCTCGGGGCATCTCTGGAGTTGCCTGAATGAAGTCGAGCCACTGGTCGTGTAGAATGGGGAACGGGGAATGGCTCTGGAGTCAATGCAGGGGAATCGGGCCTCATCTCGAGTTGATTTGGGGCACATGGAGCTGCTTTGGGTTGCTGGGGTGACCTCAGGGTCCGTCTAGACTGGTGACAGTGTTCTTGGGGACTGTCTCGAGATCCATTAAGCAAGTCGAAGCTCCTGACTTGTTTGAATGGGATCACGGAATAGCTCTGCATGCACTGCAGGGGAATGGGGCCCCATCTCGCCTCTAGGGGGAAGTCTCATGGTTTTTCTCGAGTGCGGCGGGGACCTGGGGTATGTTCTCGAGTTACGGCGGGGATGGCCCTTCAAAACAAGAGTTTCTTCAGTGACGTCAGGACTCCTGTCTAGTAACGAGGGACACCTCAGGAATCTCTTCGAGGCTTGGCAGGGCAAAAGGGACGCTTCTCGAGGTGAGGCAGGACACCCAAGGACCCTTTCCAGGAGCCACAGGGATTTTGGGATTCCTATCAGTATTCAAGAGGAGTCAGGCATCGTCACCTTTTGAAGCAATGAACTCCGCGTGCCTCTCGAGGTGTCAGCGGGATGTGAGGCATTCCATCAAAATGAGGCAGGGACCTAGGGCTTTCTCTAAGGTCTCCACAGGGGATTCAGACATCCCTTCATATTGTGAGATGAAAGACGAGCCTGTATTCAAGCCACTGCAAGGAAATCCGGCCTCCTTTCAAGTTAGGGCTTCTCGCTGTATATTCCCCTTGAGGCAGCAAACTCGGGGTCCCTCCCACATACCTATTGCTGAGAGAAGCCTCCTCCTGAGGTGCTTCTGGAAAGTGGGCATACGTCTTGAGCCTAAGCCAGGGAATCAGCTCTCATCTCGAGACGATTTGGGGTACACGGAGCATTCCTCGAGTTGCTGTGCTGAAGTTGGTGTTCCTCTAGACTTGGGCCAGTGTTCTAGGGGCATCTCTGGAGTTGCCTGAAGGAAGTCGAGCCACCGGTCGTGTTGAATGGGAAACAGGGAATGGCTCTGGAGTCAATGCAGGGGAATCGGGCCTCATCTCGAGTTGATTTGGGGCACATGGAGCTGCTTTGCGTTGCTGGGGTGACCTCAGGGTCCGTCTAGACTGGTGACAGTGTTCTTGGGGACTGTCTCGAGATCCATTAAGCAAGTCGAAGCTCCTGACTTGTTTGAATGGGATCACGGAAGAGCTCTGCATGTACTGCAGGGGAATGGGGCCTCATCTCGCCTCTAGGGGGAAGTCTCATGGTTTTTCTCGAGTTGCGGTGGGGATCTGGGGTATGTTCTCGACTTACGGCGGGGATGGCCCTTCAAAACACGAGTTTCTTCCGTGACGTCAGGACTCCTGTCTAGTAACGAGGGACAACTCAGGAATCTCTTCGAGGCTTGGCAGGGCAAAAGTGACGCTTCTCGAGGTGAGGCAGGGCACCCAAGGACTCTTTCCAGTAGCCACAGGGATTTGGGGATTCCTATCAGTATTCAAGAGGAGTCAGGCATCGTCACCTTTTGAAGCAATGAACTCCGCGTGCCTCTCGAGGTGTCAGCGGGATGTGAGGCATTCCGTCAAAATGAGGCAGTGACCTAGGTCTTTCTCTAAGGTCTCCACAGGGGATTCAGACATCCCTTCATATTGTGAGATGAAAGACGAGCCTGTATTCAAGGCACTGCAAGGAAATCCGGTCTCCTTTCAAGTTAGGGCTTCTCGCTGTATATTCCCCTTGAGGCAGCACACTCGGGGTCCCTCCCATATACAAATTGCTGAGAGAAGCCTCCTCCTGAGGTGCTTCTGGAAAGTTGGCATACGTCTTGTGCCTAAGCCAGGGAATCAGCTCTCATCTCGAGACGATTTGGGGTACACGGAGCATTCCTCGAGTTGCTGTGCTGAAGTTGTTGTTCCTCTAGCCTTGGGAGAGTGTTCTCGGGGCATTTCTGAAGTTTCCTGAAGGAAGTCGAGCCACCGGTCGTGTTGAATGCGGAACGGGGAATGGCTCTGGAGTCAATGCAGGGGAATCGGGCCTCATCTCGAGTTGATTTGGGGCACATGCAGCTGCTTTGCGTTGCTGGGGTGACCTCAGGGTCCGTCTAGACTGGTGACAGTGTTCTTGGGGACTGTCTCGAGATCCATTAAGCAAGTCGAAGCTCCTGACTTGTTTGAATGGGATCACGGAAGAGCTCTGCATGTACTGCAGGGGAATGGGGCCTCATCTCGACTCTAGGGGGAAGTCTCATGGTTTTTCTCGAGTTGCGGCGGGGACCTGGGGTATGTTCTCGACTTACGGCTGGGATGGCCCTTCAAAACACGAGTTTCTTCAGTGACGTCAGGACTCCTGTCTAGTAACGAGGGACACCTCAGGAATCTCTTCGAGGCTTGGCAGGGCAAAAGGGACGCTTCTCGAGTTGAGCCAGGGCACCCAAGGACCCTTTCCAGTAGCCACAGGGATTTTGGGATTCCTATCAGTATTCAAGAGGAGTCAGGCATCGTCACCTTTTGAAGCAATGAACTCCGCATGCCTCTCGAGGTGTCAGCGGGATGTGAGGCATTCCGTCAAAATGAGGCAGGGACCTAGGGCTTTCTCTAAGGTCTCCACAGGGGATTCAGACTTCCCTTCATGTTGTGAGATGAAAGACGAGCCTGTATTCAAGCCACTGCAAGGAAATCTGGCCTGCTTTCAAGTTAGGGCTTCTCGCTGTATACCCCTTGAGGCAGCAAACTCGGGGTCCCTCCCACATACCTATTGCTGAGAGAAGCCTCCTCCTGAGGTGCTTCTGGAAAGTGGGCATACGTCTTGAGCCTAAGCCAGGGAATCAGCTCTCATCTCGAGACGATTTGGTGTACATGGAGCATTCCTCGAGTTGCTGTACTGAAGTTGGTGTTCCTCTAGACTTGGGACAGTGTTCTCAGGGCATCTCTGGAGTTGCCTGAATGAAGTCGAGCCACTGTTCGTGTAGAATGGGGAACGGGGAATGGCTCTGGAGTCAATGCAGGGGAATCGGGCCTCATCTCGAGTTGATTTGGGGCACATGGAGCTGCTTTGCGTTGTGGGGTGACCTCAGGGTCCGTCTAGACTGGTGACAGTGTTCTCGGGGACTGTCTCGAGATCCATTAAGCAAGTCGAAGCTCCTGACTTGTTTGAATGGGATCACGGAAGAGCTCTGCATGCACTGCAGGGGAATGGGGCCTCATCTCGCCTCTAGGGGGAAGTCTCATGGTTTTCCTCGAGTTGCGACGGGGACCTGGGGTATGTACTCGACTTACGGCGGGGATGGCCCTTCAAAACACGAGTTTCTTCAGTGACGTCAGGACTCCTGTCTTGTAACGAGGGACAACTCAGGAATATCTTCGAGACTTGGCAGGGCAAAAGGGACGCTTCTCGAGGTGAGGCAGGGCACCCAAGACACTTTCCAGTAGCCACAGGGATTTTCGGATTCCTGTCAGTATTCAACAGGAGTCAGGCATCGTCACCTTTTGAAGCAATGAACTCCGCGTGCCTCTCGAGATGTCAGCGCGATGTGAGGCATTCCGTCAAAATGAGGCAGGGACCTAGGGCTTTCTCTAAGGTCTCCACAGGGGATTCAGACATCCCTTCATGTTGTGAGATGAAAGATGAGCCTGTATTCAAGCCACTGCAAGGAAATACGGCCTGCTTTCAAGTTAGAGCTTCTCGCTGTATACCCCTTGAGGCAGCAAATTCGGGGTCCCTCCCACACACCTATTGCTGACAGAAGCCTACTCCTGAGGTGCTTCTGGAAATTTGGCATACGTCTTGAGCCTAAGCCAGGGAATCAGCTCTCATCTCGAGACGATTTGGGATACACGGAGGATTCCTCGAGTTACTGTGCTGAAGTTGGTGTTCCTCTAGCCTTGGGACAGAGTTCTCGGGGCATCTCTGGAGTTGCCTGAAGGAAGTCGAGCCACCGGTCGTGTTGAATGGGGAACGGGGAATGGCTCTGGAGTCAATGCAGGGGAATCGGGCCTCATCTCGAGTTGATTTGGGGCACACGGAGCTGCTTTGCGTTGTGGGGTGACCTCAGGGTCCATCTAGACTGGTGACAGTGTTCTCGGGGACTGTCTCGAGATCCATTAAGCAAGTCAAAGCCCTGACTTGTTTGAATGGGATCACGGAATAGCTCTGCATGCACTGCAGGGGAATGGGGCCTCATCTCGCCTCTAGGGGGAAGTCTCATGGTTTTTCTCGAGTTGCGGCGGGGACCTGGGGTATGTTCTCGACTTACGGCGGGGATGGCCCTTCAAAACACGAGTTTCTTCAGTGACGTCAGGACTCCTGTCTAGTAACGAGGGACACCTCAGGAATCTCTTCGAGGCTTGGTAGGGCAAAAGGGACGCTTCTCGAGCTGAGGCAGGGCACCCAAGAACCCTTTCCAGTAGCCACAGGGATTTTGGGATTCCTATCAGTATTCAAGAGGAGTCAGGCATCGTCACCTTTTGAAGCAATGAACTCCGCGTGCCTCTCGAGGTGTCAGCGGGATGTGAGGCATTCCGTCAAAATGAGGCAGGGACCTAGGGCTTTCTCTAAGGTTTCCACAGGGGATTCAGACATCCCTTCATGTTGTGAGATGAAAGACGAGCCTGTATTCAAGCCACTGCAAGGAAATCCGGCCTCCTTTCAAGTTAGGGCTTCTCGCTGTATATTCCCCTTGAGGCAGCACACTCGGGGTCCCTCCCATATACCAATTGCTGAGAGAAGCCTCCTCCTGAGGTGCTTCTGGAAAGTTTGCATACGTCTTGTGCCTAAGCCAGGGAATCAGCTCTCATCTCGAGACGATTTGGGGTACACGGAGCATTCCTCGAGTTGCTGTGCTGAAGTTGTTGTTCCTCTAGCCTTGGGAGAGTGTTCTCGGTGCATTTCTGGAGTTGCCTGAAGGAAGTCGAGCCACCGGTCGTGTGGAATGCGGAACGGGTAATGGCTCTGGAGTCAATGCAGGGGAATCGGGCCTCATCTCGAGTTGATTTGGGGCACATGGAGCTGCTTTGCGTTACTGGGGTTACCTCAGTGTCCGTCTAGACTGGTGACAGTGTTCTTGGGTACTGTCTGGAGATCCATTAAGCAAGTCGAAGCTCCTGACTTGTTTGTATGGGATCACGGAATAGCTCTGAATGCCCTGCAGGGGAATGGGGCCTCATCTCGCCTCTACGGGGAAGTCTCATGGTTTTCCTCGAGTTGCGACGGGGACCTGGGGTATGTTCTCGACTTACGGCTGGGATGGCCCTTCAAAACACGAGTTTCTTCAGTGACGTCAGGACTCCTGTCTAGTAACGAGGGACACCTCAGGAATCTCTTCGAGGCTTGGCAGGGCAAAAGGGACGCTTCTCGAGGTGAGGCAGGACACCCAAGGACCCTTTCCAGTAGCCACAAGGATTTTGGGATTCCTATCAGTATTCAAGAGGAGTCAGGCATCGTCACCTTTTGAAGCAATGAACTCCGCGTGCCTCTCGAGGTGTCAGCGGGATGTGAGGCATTCCGTCAAAATGAGGCAGGGACCTAGGGCTTTCTCTAAGGTCTCCACAGGGGATTGAGACATCCCTTCATGTTGTGAGATGAAAGACGAGCCTGTATTCAAGCCACTGCAAGGAAATCCGGCCTCCTTTCAAGTTAGGGCTTCTCGCTGTATATTCCCCTTGAGGCAGCAAACTCGGGGTCCCTCCCACATACCTATTGCTGAGAGAAGCCTCCTCCTGAGGTGCTTCTGGAAAGTTGGCATACGTCTTGAGCCTAAGCCAGGGAATCAGCTCTCATCTCGAGACGATTTGGGGTACACGGAGCATTCCTCGAGTTGCTGTGCTGAAGTTGGTGTTCCTCTAGACTTGGGCCAGTGTTCTAGGGGCATCTCTGGAGTTGCCTGAAGGAAGTCGAGCCACCGGTCGTGTTGAATGGGGAACAGGGAATGGCTCTGGAGTCAATGCAGGGGAATCGGGCCTCATCTCGAGTTGATTTGGGGCACATGGAGCTGCTTTGCGTTGCTGGGGTGACCTCAGGGTCCGTCTAGACTGGTGACAGTGTTCTTGGGGACTGTCTCGAGATCCATTAAGCAAGTCGAAGCTCCTGACTTGTTTGAATGGGATCACGGAAGAGCTCTGCATGCACTGCAGGGGAATGGGGCCTAATCTCGCCTCTAAGGGGAAGTCTCATGGTTTTTCTCGAGTTGCGGCGGGGATCTGGGGTATGTTCTCGACTTACGGCGGGGATGGCCCTTCAAAACACGAGTTACTTCAGTGACGTCACGACTTCTGTCTAGTAACGAGGGACACCTCAGGAATCTCTTCGAGGCTTGGCAGGGCAAAAGGGACGCTTCTCGAGGTGAGGCAGGGCACCCAAGGACCCTTTCCAGTAGCCACAGGGATTTTGGGATTCCTATCAGTATTCAAGAGGAGTCAGGCATCGTCACCTTTTGAAGCAATGAACTCTGCGTGCCTCTCGAGGTGTCAGCGGGATGTGAGGCATTCCTTCAAAATGAGGCAGGGACCTAGGGCTTTCTCTAATGTCTCCACAGGGGATTCAGACATCCCTTCATGTTTTGAGATGAAAGACGAGCCTGTATTCAAGCCACTGCCAAGAAATGCGGCCTCCTTTCAAGTTAGGGCTTCTCGCTGTAAATTCCCCGTGAGGCAGCAAATTCGGGGTCCTTCCCACATACCTATTGCTGAGAGAAGCCTCCTCCTGAGGTGCGTCTGGAAAGTTGGCATACGTCTTGAGCCTAAGCCAGGGAATCAGCTCTCACCTCGAGACGATTTGGGGTACACGGAGCATTCCTTGCGTTGCTGTGCTGAAGTTGGTGTTCCTCTAGACTTGGGACAGTGTTCTCGGGGCATTTCTGGAGTTGCCTGAAGGAAGTCGAGCCACCGGTCGAGTTGAATGGGGAACGGGGAATGGCTCTGGAGTCAATGCAGGGGAATCGGGCCTCATTTCGAGTTTATTTGGGGCACATGGAGCTGGTTTGCTTTGCTGGGGTGACCTCAGGGTCCGTCTAGACTGGTGACAGTGTTCTTGGGGACTGTCTCGAGACCCATTAAGCAAGTCGAAGCTCCTGAATTGTTTGAATGGGATCACTGAATAGCTCTGCATGCACTGCAGGGGAATGGGGCCTCATCTCGCCTCTAGGGGGAAGTCTCATGGTTTTTCTTGAGTTGCGGTGGGGACCTGGGGTATGTTCTCGACTTACGGCAGGGATGGCCTTTCAAAACACGAGTTTCTTCAGTGACGTCACGACTTCTGTCTAGTAACGAGGGACACCTCAGGAATCTCTGCGAGGCTTGGCAGGGCAAAAGGGATGCTTCTCGAGGTGAGGCAGGGCACCCAAGGACCCTTTCCAGTAGCCACAGGGATTTTGGGATTCCTATCAGTATTCAAGAGGAGTCAGGCATCGTCACCTTTTGAAGCAATGAACTCTGCGTGCCTCTCGAAGTGTCAGCGGGATGTGAGGCATTCCGTCAAAATGAGGCAGGGACCTAGGGATTTCTCTAAGGCCTCCACAGGGGATTCAGACATCCCTTCATGTTGTGAGATGAAATACGAGCCTGTATTCAAGCCACTGCCAAGAATTCCGGCCTCCTTTCAAGTTAGGGCTTCTCGCTGTATATTCCCCGTGAGGCAGCAAACTCGGGGTCCTTCCCACATACCTATTGCTGAGAGAAGCCTCCTCCTGAGGTGCGTCTGGAAAGTTGGCATACGTCTTGAGCCTAAGCCAGGGAATCAGCTCTCACCTCGAGACGATTTGGGGTACACGGAGCATTCCTCGCGTTGCTGTGCTGAAGTTGGTGTTCCTCTAGACTTGGGACAGTGTTCTCGGGGCATCTCTGGAGTTGCCTGAAGGAAGTCGAGCCACCGGTCGAGTTGAATGGGGAACGGGGAATGGCTCTAGAGTCAATGCAGGGGAATCGGGCCTCATCTCGAGTTGACTTGGGGCACATGGAGCTGGTTTGCTTTGCTGGGGTGACCTCAGGGTCCGTCTAGACTGGTGACAGTGTTCTTGGGGACTGTCTCGAGACCCATTAAGCAAGTCGAAGCTCCTGAATTGTTTGAATGGGATCACGGAATAGCTCTGCATGCACTGCAGGGGAATGGGGCCTCATCTCGCCTCTAGGGGGAATTCTCATGGTTTTTCTCGAGTTGCGGCGGGGACCTGGGGTATGTTCTCGACTTACGGCGGGGATGGCCCTTCAAAACACGAGTTTCTTCAGTGATGTCACGACTTCTGTCTAGTAACGAGGGACACCTCAGGAATCTCTTCGAGGCTTGGCAGGGCAAAAGGGACGCTTCTCGAGGTGAGGCAGGGCACCCAAGGACCCTTTCCAGTAGCCACAGTGATTTTGGGATTCCTATCAGTATTCAAGAGGAGTCAGGCATCGTCACCTTTTGAAGCAATGAACTCTGCCTGCCTCTCGAGGTGTCAGCGGGATGTGAGGCATTCCGTCAAAATGAGGCAGGGACCTAGGGCTTTCTCTAAGGTCTCCACAATGGATTGAGACATCCCTTCATGTTGTGAGATGAAAGACGAGCCTGTATTCAAGCCACTGCAAGGAAATCCGGTCTCCTTTCAAGTTAGGGCTTCTCGCTGTATATTCCCCTTGAGGCAGCACACTCGGGGTCCCTCCCACATACCAATTGCTGAGAGAAGCCTCCTCCTGAGGTGCTTCTGGAAAGTTGGCATACGTCTTGTGCCTAAGCCAGGGAATCAGCTCTCATCTCGAGACGATTTGGGGTACACGGAGCATTCCTCGAGTTGCTGTGCTGAAGTTGGTGTTCCTCTAGACTTGGGAGAGTGTTCTCTGGGCATTTCTGGAGTGGCCTGAAGGAAGTCGAGCCACCGGTCGTTTTGAATGCGGAACGGGGAATGGCTCTGGAGTCAATGCAGGGGAATCGGGCCTCATCTCGAGTTGATTTGGGGCACATGTAGCTGCTTTGCGTTGCTGGTGTGACCTCAGGGTCCGTCTAGACTGGTGACAGTGTTCTTGGGGACTGTCTCGAGATCCATTAAGCAAGTCGAAGCTCCTGACTTGTTTGTATGGGATCACGGAATAGCTCTGAATGCACTGCAGGGGAATGGGGCCTCATCTCTCCTCTAGGGGGAAGTCTCATGGTTTTCCTCGAGTTGCGACGGGGACCTGGGGTATGTTCTCGACTTACGGCGGGGATGGCCCTGCAAAACACGAGTTTCTTCAGTGACGTCAGGACTCCTGTCTAGTAATGAGGGACAACTCAGGAATATCTTCGAGGCTTGGCAGGGCAAAAGGGACGCTTCTCGAGGTGAGGCAGGGCACCCAAGACACTTTCCAGTAGCCACAGGGATTTTGGGATTGCTGTCAGTATTCAACAAGGGTCAGGCATCGTCACGTTTTGAAGCAATGAACTCCGCGTGCCTCTCGAGATGTCAGCGCGATGTGAGGCATTCCGTCACAATGAGGCAGGGACCTAGGGCTTTCTCTAAGGTCTCCACAGGGGATTCAGACATCCCTTCATGTTGTGAGATGAAACATGAGCCTGTATTCAAGCCACTGCAAGGAAACCCGGCCTCCTTTCAAGTTAGGGCTTCTCGCTGTATATTCCCCTTGAGGCAGCACACTCGGGGTCCCTCCCACATACCAATTGCTGAGAGAAGCCTCCTCCTGAGGTGCTTCTGGATAGTTGCCATACGTCTTGTGCCTAAGCCAGGGATTCAGCTCTCATCTCGAGACGATTTGGGGTACACGGAGCATTCCTCGAGTTGCTGTGCTGAAGTTGGTGTTCCTCTAGACTTCGGACAGTGTTCTCGGGGCATTTCTGGAGTTGCCTGAAGGAAGTCGAGCCACCGGTCGTGTTGAATGGGGAACGGGGAATGGCTCTGGAGTCAATGCAGGGGAATCGGGCCTCATCTCGAGTTGATTTGGGGCACATGGAGCTGCTTTGCGTTGCTAGGGTATCCTCAGGGTCCGTCTAGACTGGTGACAGTGTTCTTGGGGACTGTCTCGAGATCCATTAAGCAAGTCGAAGCTCCTGACTTGTTTGAATGGGATCACGGAATAGCTCTGCATGCACTGCAGGGGAATGGGGCCTCATCTCGCCTCTAGGGGGAAGTCTCATGGTTTTTCTCTAGTGCGGCGGGGACCTGGGGTATGTTCTCGACTTACGGCGGGGAAGGCCCTTCAAAACAAGAGTTTCTTCAGTGACGTCAGGACTCCTGTCTAGTAACGAGGGACACCTCAGGAATCTCTTCGAGGCTTGGCAGGGCAAAAGGGACGCTTCTCGAGGTGAGGCAGGACACCCAAGGACCCTTTCCAGTAGCCACAGGGATTTTGGGATTCCTATCAGTATTCAAGAGGAGTCAGGCATCGTCACCTTTTGAAGCAATGAACTCCGCGTGCCTCTCGAGGTGTCAGCGGGATGTGAGGCATTCCGTCAAAATGAGGCAGGGACCTAGGGCTTTCTCTAAGGTCTCCACAGGGGATTCAGACATCCCTTCATATTGTGAGATGAAAGACGAGCCTGTATTCAAGGCACTGCAAGGAAATCCGGTCTCCTTTCAAGTTAGGGCTTCTCGCTGTATACTCCCCTTGAGGCAGCACACTCGGGGTCCCTCCCATATACCAATTGCTGAGAGAAGCCTCCTCCTGAGGTGCTTCTGGAAAGTTGGCATACGTCTTGTGCCTAAGCCAGGGAATCAGCTCTCATCTCGAGAAGATTTGGGGTACACGGAGCATTCCTCGAGTTGCTGTGCTGAAGTTGGTGTTCCTCTAGCCTTGGGAGAGTGTTCTCGGGGCATTTCTGGAGTTGCCTGAAGGAAGTCGAGCCACCGGTCGTGTTGAATGCGGAACGGGGAATGGCTCTGGAGTCAATGCAGGGGAATCGGGCCTCATCTCGAGTTGATTTGGGGCACATGGAGCTGCTTTGCGTTGCTGGGGTTACCTCAGTGTCCGTCTAGACTGGTGACAGTGTTCTTGGGGACTGTCTGGAGATCCATTAAGCAAGTCGAAGCTCCTGACTTGTTTGTATGGGATCACAGAATAGCTCTGAATGCACTGCAGGGGAATGGGGCCTCATCTCGCCTCTAGGGGGAAGTCTCATGGTTTTCCTCGAGTTTCGACGGGGACCTGGGGTACGTTCTCGACTTACGGCTGGGATGGCCCTTCAAAACACGAGTTTCTTCAGTGACGTCAGGACTCCTGTCTAGTAACGAGGGACAACTCAGGAATATCTTCGAGGTTTGGCAGGGCAAAAGGGACGCTTCTCGAGGTGAGGCAGGGCACCCAAGACACTTTCCAGTAGCCACAGGGATTTTGGGATTCCTGTCAGTATTCAACAGGAGTCAGGCATCGTCACGTTTTGAAGCAATGAACTCCGCGTGCCTCTCGAGATGTCAGCGCGATGTGAGGCATTCCGTCAAAATGAGGCAGGGACCTAGGGCTTTCTCTAAGGTCTCCACAGGGGATTCAGACATCCCTTCATGTTGTGAGATGAAACATGAGCCTGTATTCAAGCCACTGCAAGGAAACCCGGCCTCCTTTCAAGTTAGGGCTTCTCGCTGTATATTCCCCTTGAGGCAGCACACTCGGGGTCCCGCCCACATACCAATTGCTGAGAGAAGCCTCCTCCTGAGGTGCTTGTGGAAAGTTGCCATACGTCTTGTGCCTAAGCCAGGGATTCAGCTCTCATCTCAAGACGATTTGGGGTACACGGAGCATTCCTCGAGTTGCTGTGCTGAAGTTGGTGTTCCTCTAGACTTGGGACAGTGTTCTCGGGGCATTTCTGGAGTTGCCTGAAGGAAGTCGAGCCACCGGTCGTGTTGAATGGGGAACGGGGAATGGCTCTGGAGTCAATGCAGGGGAATCGGGCCTCATCTCGAGTTGATTTGGGGCACATGGAGCTGCTTTGCGTTGCTAGGGTATCCTCAGGGTCCGTCTAGACTGGTGACAGTGTTCTTGGGGACTGTCTCGAGATCCATTAAGCAAGTCGAAGCTCCTGACTTGTTTGAATGGGATCACGGAATAGCTCTGCATGCACTGCAGGGGAATGGGGCCTCATCTCGCCTCTAGGGGGAAGTCTCATATTTTTTCTCTAGTGCGGCGGGGACCTGGAGTATGTTCTCGACTTACGGCGGGGAAGGCCCTTCAAAACAAGAGTTTCTTCAAGGACGTCAGGACTCCTGTCTAGTAACGAGGGACACCTCAGGAATCTCTTCGAGGCTTGGCAGGGCAAAAGGGACGCTTCTCGAGGTGAGGCAGGGCTCCCAAGAACCCTTTCCAGTAGCCACAGGTATTTTGGGATTCCTATCAGTATTCAAGATGAGTCAGGCATCGTCACCTTTTGAAGCAATGAACTCCGCATGCCTCTCGAGGTGTCAGCGGGATGTGAGGCATTCCGTTAAAATGAGGCAGGGACCTAGGGCTTTCTCTAAGGTCTCCACAGGGGATTCAGACATCCCTTCATGTTGTGAGATGAAAGACGAGCCTGTATTCAAGCCACTGCAAGGAAATACGGCCTGCTTTCAAGTTAGGGCTTCTCGCTGTATACCCCTTGAGGCAGCAAACTCGGGGTCCCTCCCACATACCTATTGCTGAGAGAAGCCTCCTCCTGAGGTGCTTCTGGAAAGTTGGCATACGTCTTGAGCCTAAGCCAGGGAATCAGCTCTCATCTCGAGACGATTTGGTGTACATGGAGCATTCCTCGAGTTGCTGTGCTGAAGTTGGTGTTCCTGTAGACTTGGGACAGTGTTCTCGGGGCATCTCTGGAGTTGCCTGAATGAAGTCGAGCCACTGGTCGTGTAGAATGGGGAACGGGGAATGGCTCTGGAGTCAATGCAGGGGAATCGGGCCTCATCTCGAGTTGATTTGGGGCACATGGAGCTGCTTTGCGTTGCTGGGGTGACCTCAGGGTCCGTCTAGACTGGTGACAGTGTTCTTGGGGACTGTCTCGAGATCCATTAAGCAAGTCGAAGCTCCTGACTTGTTTGAATGGGATCACGGAATAGCTCTGCATGCACTGCAGGGGAATGGGGCCTCATCTCGCCTCTAGGGGGAAGTCTCATGGTTTTTCTCGAGTTGCGGCGGGGACCTGGGGTATGTTCTCGACTTACGGCGGGGATGGCCCTTCAAAACACGAGTTTCTTCAGTGACGTCAGGACTCCTGTCTAGTAACGAGGGACAACTCAGGAATATCTTCGAGGCTTGGCAGGGCAAAAGGGACGCCTCTCGAGATGAGGCAGGGCACCCAAGGACCCTTTCCAGTAGCCACAGGGATTTGGGGATTCCTATCAGTATTCAAGAGGAGTCAGGCATTGTCACCTTTTGAAGCAATGAACTCCGCGTGCCTCTCGAGGTGTCAGCGGGATGTGAGGCATTCCGTCAAAATGAGGCAGTGACCTAGGTCTTTCTCTAAGGTCTCCACAGGGGATTCAGACATCCCTTCATATTGTGAGATGAAAGACGAGCCTGTATTCAAGGCACTGCAAGGAAATCCGGTCTCCTTTCAAGTTAGGGCTTCTCGCTGAATATTCCCCTTGAGGCAGCACACTCGGGGTCCCTCCCATATACCAATTGCTGAGAGAAGCCTCCTCCTGAGGTGCTTCTGGAAAGTTTGCATACGTCTTGTGCCTAAGCCAGGGAATCAGCTCTCATCTCGAGACGATTTGGGGTACACGGAGCATTCCTCGAGTTGCTGTGCTGAAGTTGTTGTTCCTCTAGCCTTGGGAGAGTGTTCTCGGGGCATTTCTGGACTTGCCTGAAGGAAGTCGAGCCACCGGTCGTGTTGAATGCGGAACGGGGAATGGCTCTGGAGTCAATGCAGGGGAATCGGGCCTCATCTCGAGTTGATTTGGGGCACATGGAGCTGCTTTGCGTTACTGGGGTTACCTCAGTGTCCGTCTAGACTGGTGACAGTGTTCTTGGGGACTGTCTGGAGATCCATTAAGCAAGTCGAAGCTCCTGACTTGTTTGTATGGGATCACGGAATAGCTCTGAATGCCCTGCAGGGGAATGGGGCCTCATCTCGCCTCTAGGGGGAAGTCTCATGGTTTTTCTCGAGTTGCGGCGGGGACCTGGGGTATGATCTCGACTTACGGCGGGGATGGCCCTTCAAAACACGAGTTTCTTCAAGGACGTCAGGACTCCTGTCTAGTAACGAGGGACACCTCAGGAATCACTTCGAGGCTTGGCAGGACAAAAGGGACGCTTCTCGAGGTGAGGCAGGACACCCAAGAACCCTTTCCAGTAGCCACAGGGATTTTGGGATTCCTATCAGTATTCAAGATGAGTCAGGCATCTTCACCTTTTGAAGCAATGAACTCCGCATGCCTCTCGAGGTGTCAGCGAGATGTGAGGCATTCCGTCAAAATGAGGCAGGGACCTAGGGCTTTCTCTAAGGTCTCCACAGGGGATTCAGACATCCCTTCATGTTGTGAGATGAAAGACGAGCCTGTATTCAAGCCACTGCAAGGAAATACGGCCTGCTTTCAAGTTAGGGCTTCTCGCTGTATACCCCTTGAGGCAGCAAACTCGGGGTCCCTCCCACATACCTATTGCTGAGAGAAGCCTCCTCCTGAGGTGCTTCTGGAAAGTTGGCATACGTCTTGAGCCTAAGCCAGGGAATCAGCTCTCATCTCGAGACGATTTGGTGTACACGGAGCATTCCTCGAGTTGCTGTGCTGAAGTTGGTGTTCCTGTAGACTTGGGACAGTGTTCTCGGGGCATCTCTGGAGTTGCCTGAATGAAGTCGAGCCACTGGTCGTGTAGAATGGGGAACGGGGAATGGCTCTGGAGTCAATGCAGGGGAATCGGGCCTCATCTCGAGTTGATTTGGGGCACATGGAGCTGCTTTGGGTTGCTGGGGTGACCTCAGGGTCCGTCTAGACTGGTGACAGTGTTCTTGGGGACTGTCTCGAGATCCATTAAGCAAGTCGAAGCTCCTGACTTGTTTGAATGGGATCACGGAATAGCTCTGCATGCACTGCAGGGGAATGGGGCCCCATCTCGCCTCTAGGGGGAAGTCTCATGGTTTTTCTCGAGTGCGGCGGGGACCTGGGGTATGTTCTCGAGTTACGGCGGGGATGGCCCTTCAAAACAAGAGTTTCTTCAGTGACGTCAGGACTCCTGTCTAGTAACGAGGGACACCTCAGGAATCTCTTCGAGGCTTGGCAGGGCAAAAGGGACGCTTCTCGAGGTGAGGCAGGACACCCAAGGACCCTTTCCAGGAGCCACAGGGATTTTGGGATTCCTATCAGTATTCAAGAGGAGTCAGGCATCGTCACCTTTTGAAGCAATGAACTCCGCGTGCCTCTCGAGGTGTCAGCGGGATGTGAGGCATTCCATCAAAATGAGGCAGGGACCTAGGGCTTTCTCTAAGGTCTCCACAGGGGATTCAGACATCCCTTCATGTTGTGAGATGAAAGACGAGCCTGTATTCAAGCCACTGCAAGGAAATCCGGCCTCCTTTCAAGTTAGGGCTTCTCGCTGTATATTCCCCTTGAGGCAGCAAACTCGGGGTCCCTCCCACATACCTATTGCTGAGAGAAGCCTCCTCCTGAGGTGCTTCTGGAAAGTGGGCATACGTCTTGAGCCTAAGCCAGGGAATCAGCTCTCATCTCGAGACGATTTGGGGTACACGGAGCATTCCTCGAGTTGCTGTGCTGAAGTTGGTGTTCCTCTAGACTTGGGCCAGTGTTCTAGGGGCATCTCTGGAGTTGCCTGAAGGAAGTCGAGCCACCGGTCGTGTTGAATGGGAAACAGGGAATGGCTCTGGAGTCAATGCAGGGGAATCGGGCCTCATCTCGAGTTGATTTGGGGCACATGGAGCTGCTTTGCGTTGCTGGGGTGACCTCAGGGTCCGTCTAGACTGGTGACAGTGTTCTTGGGGACTGTCTCGAGATCCATTAAGCAAGTCGAAGCTCCTGACTTGTTTGAATGGGATCACGGAAGAGCTCTGCATGTACTGCAGGGGAATGGGGCCTCATCTCGCCTCTAGGGGGAAGTCTCATGGTTTTTCTCGAGTTGCGGTGGGGATCTGGGGTATGTTCTCGACTTACGGCGGGGATGGCCCTTCAAAACACGAGTTTCTTCCGTGACGTCAGGACTCCTGTCTAGTAACGAGGGACAACTCAGGAATCTCTTCGAGGCTTGGCAGGGCAAAAGTGACGCTTCTCGAGGTGAGGCAGGGCACCCAAGGACTCTTTCCAGTAGCCACAGGGATTTGGGGATTCCTATCAGTATTCAAGAGGAGTCAGGCATCGTCACCTTTTGAAGCAATGAACTCCGCGTGCCTCTCGAGGTGTCAGCGGGATGTGAGGCATTCCGTCAAAATGAGGCAGTGACCTAGGTCTTTCTCTAAGGTCTCCACAGGGGATTCAGACATCCCTTCATATTGTGAGATGAAAGACGAGCCTGTATTCAAGGCACTGCAAGGAAATCCGGTCTCCTTTCAAGTTAGGGCTTCTCGCTGTATATTCCCCTTGAGGCAGCACACTCGGGGTCCCTCCCATATACAAATTGCTGAGAGAAGCCTCCTCCTGAGGTGCTTCTGGAAAGTTGGCATACGTCTTGTGCCTAAGCCAGGGAATCAGCTCTCATCTCGAGACGATTTGGGGTACACGGAGCATTCCTCGAGTTGCTGTGCTGAAGTTGTTGTTCCTCTAGCCTTGGGAGAGTGTTCTCGGGGCATTTCTGAAGTTTCCTGAAGGAAGTCGAGCCACCGGTCGTGTTGAATGCGGAACGGGGAATGGCTCTGGAGTCAATGCAGGGGAATCGGGCCTCATCTCGAGTTGATTTGGGGCACATGCAGCTGCTTTGCGTTGCTGGGGTGACCTCAGGGTCCGTCTAGACTGGTGACAGTGTTCTTGGGGACTGTCTCGAGATCCATTAAGCAAGTCGAAGCTCCTGACTTGTTTGAATGGGATCACGGAAGAGCTCTGCATGTACTGCAGGGGAATGGGGCCTCATCTCGACTCTAGGGGGAAGTCTCATGGTTTTTCTCGAGTTGGGGCGGGGACCTGGGGTATGTTCTCGACTTACGGCTGGGATGGCCCTTCAAAACACGAGTTTCTTCAGTGACGTCAGGACTCCTGTCTAGTAACGAGGGACACCTCAGGAATCTCTTCGAGGCTTGGCAGGGCAAAAGGGACGCTTCTCGAGTTGAGCCAGGGCACCCAAGGACCCTTTCCAGTAGCCACAGGGATTTTGGGATTCCTATCAGTATTCAAGAGGAGTCAGGCATCGTCACCTTTTGAAGCAATGAACTCCGCATGCCTCTCGAGGTGTCAGCGGGATGTGAGGCATTCCGTCAAAATGAGGCAGGGACCTAGGGCTTTCTCTAAGGTCTCCACAGGGGATTCAGACTTCCCTTCATGTTGTGAGATGAAAGACGAGCCTGTATTCAAGCCACTGCAAGGAAATCTGGCCTGCTTTCAAGTTAGGGCTTCTCGCTGTATACCCCTTGAGGCAGCAAACTCGGGGTCCCTCCCACATACCTATTGCTGAGAGAAGCCTCCTCCTGAGGTGCTTCTGGAAAGTGGGCATACGTCTTGAGCCTAAGCCAGGGAATCAGCTCTCATCTCGAGACGATTTGGTGTACATGGAGCATTCCTCGAGTTGCTGTACTGAAGTTGGTGTTCCTCTAGACTTGGGACAGTGTTCTCAGGGCATCTCTGGAGTTGCCTGAATGAAGTCGAGCCACTGTTCGTGTAGAATGGGGAACGGGGAATGGCTCTGGAGTCAATGCAGGGGAATCGGGCCTCATCTCGAGTTGATTTGGGGCACATGGAGCTGCTTTGCGTTGTGGGGTGACCTCAGGGTCCGTCTAGACTGGTGACAGTGTTCTCGGGGACTGTCTCGAGATCCATTAAGCAAGTCGAAGCTCCTGACTTGTTTGAATGGGATCACGGAAGAGCTCTGCATGCACTGCAGGGGAATGGGGCCTCATCTCGCCTCTAGGGGGAAGTCTCATGGTTTTCCTCGAGTTGCGACGGGGACCTGGGGTATGTACTCGACTTACGGCGGGGATGGCCCTTCAAAACACGAGTTTCTTCAGTGACGTCAGGACTCCTGTCTTGTAACGAGGGACAACTCAGGAATATCTTCGAGACTTGGCAGGGCAAAAGGGACGCTTCTCGAGGTGAGGCAGGGCACCCAAGACACTTTCCAGTAGCCACAGGGATTTTCGGATTCCTGTCAGTATTCAACAGGAGTCAGGCATCGTCACCTTTTGAAGCAATGAACTCCGCGTGCCTCTCGAGATGTCAGCGCGATGTGAGGCATTCCGTCAAAATGAGGCAGGGACCTAGGGCTTTCTCTAAGGTCTCCACAGGGGATTCAGACATCCCTTCATGTTGTGAGATGAAAGATGAGCCTGTATTCAAGCCACTGCAAGGAAATACGGCCTGCTTTCAAGTTAGAGCTTCTCGCTGTATACCCCTTGAGGCAGCAAATTCGGGGTCCCTCCCACACACCTATTGCTGACAGAAGCCTACTCCTGAGGTGCTTCTGGAAATTTGGCATACGTCTTGAGCCTAAGCCAGGGAATCAGCTCTCATCTCGAGACGATTTGGGATACACGGAGGATTCCTCGAGTTACTGTGCTGAAGTTGGTGTTCCTCTAGCCTTGGGACAGAGTTCTCGGGGCATCTCTGGAGTTGCCTGAAGGAAGTCGAGCCACCGGTCGTGTTGAATGGGGAACGGGGAATGGCTCTGGAGTCAATGCAGGGGAATCGGGCCTCATCTCGAGTTGATTTGGGGCACACGGAGCTGCTTTGCGTTGTGGGGTGACCTCAGGGTCCATCTAGACTGGTGACAGTGTTCTCGGGGACTGTCTCGAGATCCATTAAGCAAGTCAAAGCCCTGACTTGTTTGAATGGGATCACGGAATAGCTCTGCATGCACTGCAGGGGAATGGGGCCTCATCTCGCCTCTAGGGGGAAGTCTCATGGTTTTTCTCGAGTTGCGGCGGGGACCTGGGGTATGTTCTCGACTTACGGCGGGGATGGCCCTTCAAAACACGAGTTTCTTCAGTGACGTCAGGACTCCTGTCTAGTAACGAGGGACACCTCAGGAATCTCTTCGAGGCTTGGTAGGGCAAAAGGGACGCTTCTCGAGCTGAGGCAGGGCACCCAAGAACCCTTTCCAGTAGCCACAGGGATTTTGGGATTCCTATCAGTATTCAAGAGGAGTCAGGCATCGTCACCTTTTGAAGCAATGAACTCCGCGTGCCTCTCGAGGTGTCAGCGGGATGTGAGGCATTCCGTCAAAATGAGGCAGGGACCTAGGGCTTTCTCTAAGGTTTCCACAGGGGATTCAGACATCCCTTCATGTTGTGAGATGAAAGACGAGCCTGTATTCAAGCCACTGCAAGGAAATCCGGCCTCCTTTCAAGTTAGGGCTTCTCGCTGTATATTCCCCTTGAGGCAGCACACTCGGGGTCCCTCCCATATACCAATTGCTGAGAGAAGCCTCCTCCTGAGGTGCTTCTGGAAAGTTTGCATACGTCTTGTGCCTAAGCCAGGGAATCAGCTCTCATCTCGAGACGATTTGGGGTACACGGAGCATTCCTCGAGTTGCTGTGCTGAAGTTGTTGTTCCTCTAGCCTTGGGAGAGTGTTCTCGGTGCATTTCTGGAGTTGCCTGAAGGAAGTCGAGCCACCGGTCGTGTGGAATGCGGAACGGGTAATGGCTCTGGAGTCAATGCAGGGGAATCGGGCCTCATCTCGAGTTGATTTGGGGCACATGGAGCTGCTTTGCGTTACTGGGGTTACCTCAGTGTCCGTCTAGACTGGTGACAGTGTTCTTGGGTACTGTCTGGAGATCCATTAAGCAAGTCGAAGCTCCTGACTTGTTTGTATGGGATCACGGAATAGCTCTGAATGCCCTGCAGGGGAATGGGGCCTCATCTCGCCTCTACGGGGAAGTCTCATGGTTTTCCTCGAGTTGCGACGGGGACCTGGGGTATGTTCTCGACTTACGGCTGGGATGGCCCTTCAAAACACGAGTTTCTTCAGTGACGTCAGGACTCCTGTCTAGTAACGAGGGACACCTCAGGAATCTCTTCGAGGCTTGGCAGGGCAAAAGGGACGCTTCTCGAGGTGAGGCAGGACACCCAAGGACCCTTTCCAGTAGCCACAAGGATTTTGGGATTCCTATCAGTATTCAAGAGGAGTCAGGCATCGTCACCTTTTGAAGCAATGAACTCCGCGTGCCTCTCGAGGTGTCAGCGGGATGTGAGGCATTCCGTCAAAATGAGGCAGGGACCTAGGGCTTTCTCTAAGGTCTCCACAGGGGATTGAGACATCCCTTCATGTTGTGAGATGAAAGACGAGCCTGTATTCAAGCCACTGCAAGGAAATCCGGCCTCCTTTCAAGTTAGGGCTTCTCGCTGTATATTCCCCTTGAGGCAGCAAACTCGGGGTCCCTCCCACATACCTATTGCTGAGAGAAGCCTCCTCCTGAGGTGCTTCTGGAAAGTTGGCATACGTCTTGAGCCTAAGCCAGGGAATCAGCTCTCATCTCGAGACGATTTGGGGTACACGGAGCATTCCTCGAGTTGCTGTGCTGAAGTTGGTGTTCCTCTAGACTTGGGCCAGTGTTCTAGGGGCATCTCTGGAGTTGCCTGAAGGAAGTCGAGCCACCGGTCGTGTTGAATGGGGAACAGGGAATGGCTCTGGAGTCAATGCAGGGGAATCGGGCCTCATCTCGAGTTGATTTGGGGCACATGGAGCTGCTTTGCGTTGCTGGGGTGACCTCAGGGTCCGTCTAGACTGGTGACAGTGTTCTTGGGGACTGTCTCGAGATCCATTAAGCAAGTCGAAGCTCCTGACTTGTTTGAATGGGATCACGGAAGAGCTCTGCATGCACTGCAGGGGAATGGGGCCTAATCTCGCCTCTAAGGGGAAGTCTCATGGTTTTTCTCGAGTTGCGGCGGGGATCTGGGGTATGTTCTCGACTTACGGCGGGGATGGCCCTTCAAAACACGAGTTACTTCAGTGACGTCACGACTTCTGTCTAGTAACGAGGGACACCTCAGGAATCTCTTCGAGGCTTGGCAGGGCAAAAGGGACGCTTCTCGAGGTGAGGCAGGGCACCCAAGGACCCTTTCCAGTAGCCACAGGGATTTTGGGATTCCTATCAGTATTCAAGAGGAGTCAGGCATCGTCACCTTTTGAAGCAATGAACTCTGCGTGCCTCTCGAGGTGTCAGCGGGATGTGAGGCATTCCTTCAAAATGAGGCAGGGACCTAGGGCTTTCTCTAATGTCTCCACAGGGGATTCAGACATCCCTTCATGTTTTGAGATGAAAGACGAGCCTGTATTCAAGCCACTGCCAAGAAATGCGGCCTCCTTTCAAGTTAGGGCTTCTCGCTGTAAATTCCCCGTGAGGCAGCAAATTCGGGGTCCTTCCCACATACCTATTGCTGAGAGAAGCCTCCTCCTGAGGTGCGTCTGGAAAGTTGGCATACGTCTTGAGCCTAAGCCAGGGAATCAGCTCTCACCTCGAGACGATTTGGGGTACACGGAGCATTCCTCGCGTTGCTGTGCTGAAGTTGGTGTTCCTCTAGACTTGGGACAGTGTTCTCGGGGCATTTCTGGAGTTGCCTGAAGGAAGTCGAGCCACCGGTCGAGTTGAATGGGGAACGGGGAATGGCTCTGGAGTCAATGCAGGGGAATCGGGCCTCATTTCGAGTTTATTTGGGGCACATGGAGCTGGTTTGCTTTGCTGGGGTGACCTCAGGGTCCGTCTAGACTGGTGACAGTGTTCTTGGGGACTGTCTCGAGACCCATTAAGCAAGTCGAAGCTCCTGAATTGTTTGAATGGGATCACTGAATAGCTCTGCATGCACTGCAGGGGAATGGGGCCTCATCTCGCCTCTAGGGGGAAGTCTCATGGTTTTTCTTGAGTTGCGGTGGGGACCTGGGGTATGTTCTCGACTTACGGCAGGGATGGCCTTTCAAAACACGAGTTTCTTCAGTGACGTCACGACTTCTGTCTAGTAACGAGGGACACCTCAGGAATCTCTGCGAGGCTTGGCAGGGCAAAAGGGATGCTTCTCGAGGTGAGGCAGGGCACCCAAGGACCCTTTCCAGTAGCCACAGGGATTTTGGGATTCCTATCAGTATTCAAGAGGAGTCAGGCATCGTCACCTTTTGAAGCAATGAACTCTGCGTGCCTCTCGAAGTGTCAGCGGGATGTGAGGCATTCCGTCAAAATGAGGCAGGGACCTAGGGATTTCTCTAAGGCCTCCACAGGGGATTCAGACATCCCTTCATGTTGTGAGATGAAAGACGAGCCTGTATTCAAGCCACTGCAAGGAAATCCGGCCTCCTTTCAAGTTAGGGCTTCTCGCTGTATATTCCCCTTGAGGCAGCAAACTCGGGGTCCCTCCCACATACCTATTGCTGAGAGAAGCCTCCTCCTGAGGTGCTTCTGGAAAGTTGGCATACGTCTTGAGCCTAAGCCAGGGAATCAGCTCTCATCTCGAGACGATTTGGGGTACACGGAGCATTCCTCGAGTTGCTGTGCTGAAGTTGGTGTTCCTCTAGACTTGGGCCAGTGTTCTAGGGGCATCTCTGGAGTTGCCTGAAGGAAGTCGAGCCACCGGTCGTGTTGAATGGGGAACAGGGAATGGCTCTGGAGTCAATGCAGGGGAATCGGGCCTCATCTCGAGTTGATTTGGGGCACATGGAGCTGCTTTGCGTTGCTGGGGTGACCTCAGGGTCCGTCTAGACTGGTGACAGTGTTCTTGGGGACTGTCTCGAGATCCATTAAGCAAGTCGAAGCTCCTGACTTGTTTGAATGGGATCACGGAAGAGCTCTGCATGCACTGCAGGGGAATGGGGCCTAATCTCGCCTCTAGGGGGAAGTCTCATGGTTTTTCTCGAGTTGCGGCGGGGATCTGGGGTATGTTCTCGACTTACGGCGGGGATGGCCCTTCAAAACACGTGTTACTTCAGTGACTTCAGGACTCCTGTCTAGTAACGAGGGACAACTCAGGAATATCTTCGAGGCTTGGCAGGGCAAAAGGGACGCTTCTCGAGGTGAGGCAGGGCACCCAAGGACCCTTTCCAGTAGCCACAGGGATTTGGGGATTCCTATCAGTATTCAAGAGGAGTCAGGCATCGTCACCTTTTGAAGCAATGAACTCCGCGTGCCTCTCGAGGTGTCAGCGGGATGTGAGGCATTCCGTCAAAATGAGGCAGTGACCTAGGTCTTTCTCTAAGGTCTCCACAGGGGATTCAGACATCCCTTCATATTGTGAGATGAAAGACGAGCCTGTATTCAAGGCACTGCAAGGAAATCCGGTCTCCTTTCAAGTTAGGGCTTCTCGCTGTATATTCCCCTTGAGGCAGCACACTCGGGGTCCCTCCCATATACCAATTGCTGAGAGAAGCCTCCTCCTGAGGTGCTTCTGGAAAGTTGGCATACGTCTTGTGCCTAAGCCAGGGAATCAGCTCTCATCTCGAGACGATTTGGGGTACACGGAGCATTCCTCGAGTTGCTGTGCTGAAGTTGTTGTTCCTCTAGCCTTGGGAGAGTGTTCTCGGGGCATTTCTGGAGTTGCCTGAAGGAAGTCGAGCCACCGGTCGTGTTGAATGGGGAAAGGGGAATGGCTCTGGAGTCAATGCAGGGGAATCGGGCCTCATCTCGAGTTGATTTGGGGCACATGGAGCTGCTTTGCGTTGCTGGGGTTGCCTCAGTGTCCGTCTGGACTGGTGACAGTGTTCTTGGGGACTGTCTGGAGATCCTTTAAACAAGTCGAAGCTCCTGACTTGTTTGTATGGGATCACGGAATAGCTCTGAATGCATTGCAGGGGAATGGGGCCTCATCTCGCCTCTAGGGGGAAGTCTCATGGTTTTCCTCGAGTTGCGACGGGGACCTGGGGTATGTTCTCGACTTACGGCTGGGATGGCCCTTCAAAACACGAGTTTCTTCAGTGACGTCAGGACTCATGTCTAGTAACGAGGGACAACTCAGGAATATCTTCGAGACTTGGCAGGGCAAAAGGGACGCTTCTCGAGGTGAGGCAGGGCACCCAAGACACTTTCCAGTAGCCAAAGGGATTTTGGGGTTCCTGTCAGTGTTCAACAGGAGTCAGGCATCGTCACCTTTTGAAGCAATGAACTCCGCGTGCCTCTCGAGATGTCAGCGCGATGTGAGGCATTCCGTCAAAATGAGGCAGGGACCTAGGGCTTTCTCTAAGGTCTCCACAGGGGATTCAGACATCCCTTCATGTTGTGAGATGAAAGATGAGCCTGTATTCAAGCCACTGCAAGGAAACCCGGCCTCCTTTCAAGTTAGGGCTTCTCGCTGTATATTCCCCTTGAGGCAGCACACTCGGGTTCCCTCCCACATAACAATTGCTGAGAGAAGCCTCCTCCTGAGGTGCTTCTGGAAAGTTGCCATACGTCTTGTGCCTAAGCCAGGGAATCAGCTCTCATCTCGAGACGATTTGGGGTACATGGAGCATTCCTCGAGTTGCTGTGCTGAAGTTGGTGTTCCTTTAGACTTGGGACAGTGTTCTCGGGGCATTTCTGGAGTTGCCGGAAGGAAGTCGAGCCACCGGTCGTGTTGAATGGGGAACGGCGAATGGCTCTGGAGTCAATGCAGGGGAATCGGGCCTCATCTCGAGTTGATTTGGGGCACATGGAGCTGCTTTGCGTTGTGGGGTGACCTCAGGGTCCGTCTAGATTGGTGACAGTGTTCTCGGGGACTGTCTCGAGATCCATTAAGCAAGTCGAAGCCCTGACTTGTTTGAATGGGATCAGGGAATAGCTCTGCATGCACTGCAGGGGAATGGGGCCTCATCTCGCCTCTAGGGGGAAGTCTCATGGTTTTTCTAGAGTGCGGCGGGGACCTGGGGTATGTTCTCGACTTACGGCGGGGATGGCCCTTCAAAACACGAGTTTCTTCAGTGACGTCAGGACTCCTGTCTAGTAACGAGGGACACCTCAGGAATCTCTTCGAGGCTTGGCAGGGCAAAAGGGACGCTTCTCGAGCTGAGGCAGGGCACCCAAGGACCCTTTCCAGTAGCCACAGGGATTTTGGGATTCCTATCAGTATTCAAGAGGAGTCAGGCATCGTCACCTTTTGAAGCAATGAACTCCGCATGCCTCTCGAGGTGTCAGCGGGATGTGAGGCATTCCGTCAAAATGAGGCAGGGACCTAGGGCTTTCTCTAAGGTCTCCACAGGGGATTCAGACTTCCCTTCATGTTGTGAGATGAAAGACGAGCCTGTATTCAAGCCACTGCAAGGAAATCCGGCCTGCTTTCAAGTTAGGGCTTCTCGCTGTATACCCCTTGAGGCAGCATACTCGGGGTCCCTCCCACATACCTATTGCTGAGAGAAGCCTCCTCCTGAGGTGCTTCTGGAAAGTTGGCATACGTCTTGAGCCTAAGCCAGGGAATCAGCTCTCATCTCGAGACGATTTGGGATACACGGAGCATTCCTCGAGTTGCTGTGCTGAAGTTGGTGTTCCTCTAGCCTTGGGACAGTGTTCTCCGGGCATCTCTGGAGTTGCCTGAAGGAAGTCGAGCCACCAGTCGTGGTGCATGGGGAACGGGGAATGGCTCTGGAGTCAATGCAGGGGAATCGGGCCTCATCTCGAGTTGATTTGGGGCACATGGAGCTGCTTTGCGTTGTGGGGTGACCTCAGGGTCCGTCTAAACTGGTGACAGTGTTCTCGGGGACTGTCTCGAGATCCATTAAGCAAGTCGAAGCTCCTGACTTGTTTGAATGGGATCACGGAATAGCTCTGCATGCACTGCAGGGGAATGGGGCCTCATCTCGCCTCTAGGGGGTAGTCTCATGGTTTTTCTCGAGTTGCGGCGGGGACCTGGGGTATGTTCTCGAGTTACGGCGCGGATGGCCCTTCAAAACAAGAGTTTCTTCAGTGACGTCAGGACTCTTATCTAGTAACGAGGGACACCTCAGGAATCTCTTCGAGGCTTGGCAGGGCAAAAGGGACGCTTCTCGAGGTGAGGCAGGACACCCAAGGACCCTTTCCAGTAGCCACAGGGATTTTGGGATTCCTATCAGTATTCAAGAGGAGTCAGGCATCGTCACCTTTTGAAGCAATGAACTCCGCGTACCTCTCGAGGTGTCAGCGGGATGTGAGGCATTCCGTCAAAATGAGGCAGGGACCTAGGGCTTTCTCTAAGGTCTCCACAGGGGATTCAGACATCCCTTCATGTTGTGAGATGAAAGACGAGCCTGTATTCAAGCCACTGCAAGGAAATCCGGCCTCATTTCAAGTTAGGGCTTCTCGCTGTATATTCCCCTTGAGGTAGCAAACTCGAGGTCCCTCCACATACCAATTGCTGAGAGAAGCCTCCTCCTGAGGTGCTTCTGGAAAGTTGGCATACGTCTTGAGCCTAAGCCAGGGAATCAGCTCTCATCTCGAGACGATTTGGGGTACACGGAGCATTCCTCGAGTTGCTGTGCTGAAGTTGGTGTTCCTCTAGACTTAGGAGTGTGTTCTCTGGGCATTTCTGGAGTTGCCTGAAGGAAGTCGAGCCACCGGTCGTGTTGAATGCGGAACGGGGAATGGCTCTGGAGTCAATGCAGGGGAATCGGGCGTCATCTCAAGTTGATTTGGGGCACATGGAGCTGCTTTGCGTTGCTGGGGTTACTTCAGGTTCCGTCTAGACTGGTGACAGTGTTCTTGGGGACTGTCTCGAGATCCATTATGCAAGTCGAAGCTCCTGACTTGTTTGTATGGGATCACGGAATAGCTCTGAATGCACTGCAGGGGAATGGGGCCTCATCTCGCCTCTAGGGGGAAGTCTCATGGTTTTCCTCGAGTTGCGACGGGGACCTGGGGTATGTACTCGACTTACGGCGGGGATGGCCCTTCAAAACACGAGTTTCTTCAGTGACGTCAGGACTCCTGTCTAGTAACGAGGGACAACTCAGGAATATCTTCGAGGCTTGGCAGGGCAAAAGGGACGCTTCTCGAGGTGAGGCAGGGCACCCACGACACTTTCCAGTAGCCCCAAGGATTTTGGGATTCCTGTCAGTATTCAACAGGAGTCAGGCATCGTCACCTTTTGAAGCAATGAACTCCGCGTGCCTCTCGAGATGTCAGCGCGATGTGAGGCGTTCCGTCAAAATGAGGCAGGGACCTAGGGCTTTCTCTAAGGTCTGGACAGGGGATTCAGACATCCCTTCATGTTGTGAGATGAAAGATGAGCCTGTATTCAAGCCACTGCAAGGAAACCCGGCCTCCTTTCAAGTTAGGGCTTCTCGCTGTATATTCCCCTTGAGGCAGCACACTCGGGGTGCCTCCCACATACCAATTGCTGAGAGAAGCCTCTTCCTGAGGTGCTTCTGGAAAGTTGCCATACGTCTTGTGCCTAAGCCAGGGATTCAGCTCTCATCTCGAGACGATTTGGGGTACACGGAGCATTCCTCGAGTTGCTGTGCTGAAGTTTTTGTTCCTCTAGACTTGGGACAGTGTTCTCGGGGCATCTCTGGAGTTGCCTGAAGGAAGTCTAGCCACCGGTCGTGTTGAATGGGGAACGGCGAATGGCTCTGGAGTCAATGCAGGGGAATCGGGCCTCATCTCGAGTTGATTTGGGGCACATGGAGCTGCTTTGCGTTGTGGGGTGACCTCAGGGTCCATCTAGACTGGTGACAGTGTTCTCGGGGACTGTCTCGAGATCCATTAAGCAAGTCGAAGCCCTGACTTGTTTGAATGGGATCACGGAATAGCTCTGCATGCACTGCAGGGGAATGGGGCCTCATCTCGCCTCTAGGGGGAAGTCTCATGGTTTTTCTCGAGTGCGGCGGGGACCTGGGGTATGTTCTCGACTTACGGCGGGGATGGCCCTTCAAAACACGAGTTTCTTCAGTGACGTCAGGACTCCTGTCTAGTAACGAGGGACACCTCAGGAATCTCTTCGAGGCTTGGCAGGGCAAAAGGGACGCTTCTCGAGGTGAGGCAGGGCACCCAAGGACCCTTTCCAGTAGCCACAGGGATTTTGGGATTCCTATCAGTATTCAAGAGGAGTCAGGCATGGTCACCTTTGAAGCCATGAACTCCGCGTGCCTCTCGAGGTGTCAGCGGGATGTGAGGCATTCCGTCAAAATGAGGCAGGGACCTAGGGCTTTCTCTAAGGTCTCCACAGGGGATTCAGACATCCCTTCATGTTGTGAGATGAAAGACGAGCCTGTATTCAAGCCACTGCAAGGAAATCCGGTCTCCTTTCAAGTTAGGGCTTCTCCCTGTATATTCCCCTTGAGGCAGCACACTCCGGGTCCCTCCCACATACCAATTGCTGAGAGAAGCCTCCTCCTGAGGTGCTTCTGGAAAGTTGGCATACGTCTTGAACCTAAGCCAGGGAATCAGCTCTCATGTCGAGATGATTTGGGGTACACGGAGCATTCCTCGAGTTGCTGTGATGAAGTTGGTGTTCCTCTAGACTTGGGACAGTGTTCTCGGGGCATCTCTGGAGTTGCCTGAAGGAAGTCGAGCCACCGGTCGTGTGGAATGGGGAACGGGGAATGGCTCTGGAGTCAATGCAGGGGAATCGGGCATCATCTCGAGTTGATTTGGGGCACATGGAGCTGCTTTGCGTTGCTGGGGTGACTTCAGGGTCTGTCTAGACTGGTGACAGTGTTCTTGGGGACTGTCTCAAGATCCATTAAGCAAGTCGAAGCTCCTGACTTGTTTGAATGGGATCACGGAATTGCTCTGCATGCACTGCAGGGGAATGGGGCCTCATCTCGCCTCTAGAGGGAAGTCTCATGGTTTTTCTCGAGTTGCGGCGGGGACCTGGGGTATGTTCTCGACTTACGGCGGAGATGGCCCTTCAAAACACGAGTTTCTTCAGTGACGTCAGGACTCCTGTCTAGTAACGAGGGACACCTCAGGAATCTCTTCGAGGCTTGGCAGGGCAAAAGGGACGCTTCTCGAGGTGAGGCAGGGCACCCAAGGACTCTTTCCAGTAGCCACAGGGATTTGGGGATTACTGTCAGTGTTCAAGAGGAGTCAGGCATCGTCACCTTTTGAAGCAATGAACTCCGCGTGCCTCTCGAGGTGTCAGCGGGATGTGAGGCATTCCGTCAAAAGGAGGCAGGGACCTAGGGCTTTCTCTAAGGTCTCCACAGGGGATTCAGACATCCCTTCATGTTGTGAGATGAAAAATGAGCCTGTATTCAAGCCACTGCAAGGAAATCCGGCCTCCGTTCCAGTTAGGGCTTCTCGCTGTATATTCCCCTTGAGGCAGCAAACTCGGGGTCCCTCCCACATACCAATTGCTGAGAGAAGCCTCCTCCTGAGGTGCTTCTGGAAAGTTGGCATACGTCTTGAGCCTAAGCCAGGGAATCAGCTCTCATCTCGAGACGATTTGTGGTACACGGAGCATTCCTCGAGTTGCTGTGCTGAAGTTGGTGTTCCTCTAGACTTGGGACAGTGTTCTCGGGGCATCTCTGGAGTTTCCTGAAGGAAGTCGAGCCACTGGTCGTGTTGAATGGGGAACGGGGAATGGCTCTGGAGTCAATGCAGTGGAATCGGACCTCATCTCGAGTTGATTTGGGGCACATGGAGCTGCTTTGCGTTGCTGGGGTGACCTCAGGGTCCGCCTAGACTGGTGACAGTGTTCTTGGGGACTGTCTCGAGATCCATTAAGCAAGTCGAAGCTCCTGACTTGTTTGAATGGGATCACGGAATAGCTCTGCATGCACTGCAGGGGAATGGGGCCTCATCTCGCCTCTAGGGGGAAGGCTCATGGTTTTTCTCGAGTTGCGGCGGGGACCTGGGGTATGTTCTCGACTTACGGCAGGGATGGCCCTTCAAGACACGAGTTACCTCAGTGACGTCAGTACTCCTGTCTAGTAACGAGGGACACCTCAGGAATCTCTTCAAAGCTTGGCAGGGCAAAAGAGACGCTTCTCGAGGTGAGGCAGGGCACCCAAGGACCCTTTCCAGTAGCCACAGGGATTTTGGGATTCCTATCAGTATTCAAGAGGAGTCAGGCATCGTCACCTTTTGAAGCAATGAACTCCGCGTGCCTCTCGAGGTGTCAGCGGGATGTGAGGCATTCCGTCAAAATGAGGCAGGGACCTAGGGCTTTCTCTAAGGTCTCCACAGGGGATTCAGACATCCCTTCATGTTGTGAGATGAAAAATGAGCCTGTATTCAAGCCACTGCAAGGAAATCCGGCCTCCTTTCCAGTTAGGGCTTCTCGCAGTATATTCCCCGTGAGGCAGCAAACTCGGAGTCCCTCCCACATACCAATTGCTGAGAGAAGCCTCCTCCTGAGGTGCTTCTGGAAAGTTGGCATACGTCTTGAGCCTAAGCCAGGGAATCAGCTCTCATCTCGAGACGATTTGGGGTACACGGAGCATTCCTCGAGTTGCTGTGCTGAAGTTGGTGTTCCTCTAGACTTGCGACAGTGTTCTCGGGGCATCTCTGGAGTTGCCTGAAGGAAGTCGAGCCACCGGTCGTGTTGAATGGGGAACGGGGAATGGCTCTGGAGTCAATGCAGGGGAATCGGGCCTCATCTCGAGTTGATTTGGGGCACATGGAGCTGCTTTGCGTTGCTGGGGTGACCTCAGGGTCCATCTAGACTGGTGACAGTGTTCTTGGGGTCTGTCTCGAGATCCATTAAGCAAGTCGAAGCTCCTGACTTGTTTGAATGGGATCACGGAATAGCTCTGCATGCACTGCAGGGGAATGGGGCCTCATCTCGCCTCTAGGGGGAAGTCTCATGGTTTTTCTCGAGTTGCGGTGGGGACCAGGGGTATGTTCTCGACTTACGGCGGGGATGGCCCTTCAAAACACGAGTTTCTTCAGTGACGTCAGGACTCCTGTCTAGTAACGAGGGACACCTCAGGAATCTCTTCGAGGCTTGGCAGAGCAAAAGGGACGCTTCTCGAGGTGAGGCAGAGCACCCAAGGACCCTTTCCAGTAGCCACAGGGATTTTGGGATTCCTGTCAGTATTCAAGAGGAGTCAGGCGTCGTCACCTTTGAAGCAATGAACTCCGCGTGCCTCTCGAGGTGTCAGCGGGATGTGAGGCATTCCGTCAAAAGGAGGCAGGGACCTAGGGCTTTCTCTAAGGTCTCCACAGGGGATTCAGACATCCCTTCATGTTGTGAGATGAAAGAGGAGCCTATATTCAAGCCACTGCAAGGAAATCCGGCCTCCTTTCAAGTTAGGGCTTCTCGCTGTGTATTCCCCTTGAGGCAGCAAACTCGGGGTCCCTCCCACATACCTATTGCTGAGAGAAGCCTCCTCCTGAGGTGCTTCTGGAAAGTTGGCATACGTCTTGAGCCTAAGCCAGGGAATCAGCTCTCATCTCGAGACGATTTGAGGTACACGGAGCATTCCTCGAGTTGCTGTGCTGAAGTTGGTGTTCCTCTAGACTTGGGACAGTGTTCTCGGGGCATCTCTGGAGTTGCCTGAAGGAAGTCTAGCCACCGGTCGTGTTGAATGGGGAACGGGGAATGGCTCTGGAGTCAATGCAGGGGAATCGGGCCTCATCTCGAGTTGATTTGGGGCACATGGAGCTGCTTTGCGTTGCTGGGGTGACCTCAGGGTCCGCCTAGACTGGTGACAGTGTTCTTGGGGACTCTCTCGAGATCCATTAAGCAAGTCGAAGCTCCTGACTTGTTTGAATGGGATCACGGAATAGCTCTGCATGCACTGCAGGGGAATGGGGCCTCATCTCGCCTCTAGGGGGAAGTCTCATGGTTTTTCTCGAGTTGCGGCGGGGACCTGGGGTATGTTCTCGACTTACGGCGGGGATGGCCCTTCAAAACACGAGTTTCTTCAGTGACGTCAGGACTCCTGTCTAGTAACGAGGGACACCTCAGGAATCTCTTCGAGGCTTGGCAGGGCAAAAGGGACGCTTCTCGAGGTGAGGCAGGGCACCCAAGGACCCTTTCCAGTAGCCACAGGGATTTTGGGATTCCTGTCAGTATTCAAGAGGAGTCAGGCATCGTCACCTTTTGAAGCAATGAACTCCGCGTGACTCTCGAGGTGTCAGCGGGATGTGAGGCATTCCGTCAAAAGGAGGCAGGGACCTAGGGCTTTCTCTAAGGTCTCCACAGGGGATTCAGACATCCCTTCATGTTGTGAGATGAAAAATGAGCCTGTATTCAAGCCACTGCAAGGAAATCCGGCCTCCTTTCCAGTTAGGGCTTCTCGCTGTATATTCACCTTAAGGCAGCAAACTCGGTGTCCCTCCCACATACCAATTGCTGAGAGAAGTCTCCTCATGAGGTGCTTCTGGAAAGTTGGCATACGTCTTGAGCCTAAGCCAGGGAATCAGCTCTCATCTCGAGACGATTTGTGGTACACGGTGCATTCCTCGAGTTGCTGTGCTGAAGTTGGTGTTCCTCTAGACTTGGGACAGTGTTCTCGGGGCATCTCTGGAGTTGCCTGAAGGAAGTCGAGCCACCGGTCGTGTTGAATGGGGAACGGGGAATGGCTCTGGAGTCAATGAAGGGGAATCGGGCCTCATCTCGAGTTGATTTGGGCCACATGGAGCTGCTTTGCCTTGCTGGGGTGACCTCAGGGTCCGTCTAGACTGGTGACAGTGTTTTTGGGGTCTGTCTCGAGATCCATTATGCAAGTCGAAGCTCCTGACTAGTTTGTATGGGATCACGGAATAGCTCTGAATGCACTGCAGGGGAATGGGGCCTCATCTCGCCTCTAGGGGGAAGTCTCATGGTTTTCCTCGAGTTACGACGGGGACCTGGGGTATGTACTCGACTTACGGCGGGGATGGCCCTTCAAAACACGAGTTTCTTCAGTGACGTCAGGACTCCTGTCTAGTAACGAGGGACACCTCAGGAATATCTTCGAGGCTTGGCAGGGCAAAAGGGACGCTTCTCGAGGTGAGGCAGGGCACCCACGACACTTTCCAGTAGCCACAAGGATTTTGGGATTCCTGTCAGTATTCAACAGGAGTCAGGCATCGTCACCTTTTGAAGCAATGAACTCCGCGTGCCTCTCGAGATGTCAGCGCGATGTGAGGCATTCCGTCAAAATGAGGCAGGGACCTAGGGCTTTCTCTAAGGTCTCGACAGGGGATTCAGACATCCCTTCATGTTGTGAGATGAAAGATGAGCCTGTATTCAAGCCACTGCAAGGAAACCCGGCCTCCTTTCAAGTTAGGGCTTCTCGCTGTATATTCCCCTTGAGGCAGCACACTCGGGGTCCCTCCCACATACCAATTGCTGAGAGAAGCCTCTTCCTGAGGTGCTTCTGGAAAGTTGCCATACGTCTTGTGCCTAAGCCAGGGATTCAGCTCTCATCTCGAGACGATTTGGGGTACACGGAGCATTCCTCGAGTTGCTGTGCTGAAGTTTTTGTTCCTCTAGACGTGGGACAGTGTTCTCGGGGCATCTCTGGAGTTGCCTGAAGGAAGTCTAGCCACCGGTCGTGTTGAATGGGGAACGGCGAATGGCTCTGGAGTCAATGCAGGGGAATCGGGCCTCATCTCGAGTTGATTTGGGGCACATGGAGCTGCTTTGCGTTGTGGGGTGACCTCAGGGTCCATCTAGACTGGTGACAGTGTTCTCGGGGACTGTCTCGAGATCCATTAAGCAAGTCGAAGCCCTGACTTGTTTGAATGGGATCACGGAATAGCTCTGCATGCACTGCAGGGGAATGGGGCCTCATCTCGCCTCTAGAGGGAAGTCTCATGGTTTTTCTCGAGTTGCGGCGGGGACCTGGGGTATGTTCTCGACTTACGGCGGGGATGGCCCTTCAAAACACGAGTTTCTTCAGTGACGTCAGGACTCCTGTCTAGTAACGAGGGACACCTCAGGAATCTCTTCGAGGCTTGGCAGGGCAAAAGGGACGCTTCTCGAGGTGAGGCAGTGCACCCAAGGACTCTTTCCAGTAGCCACAGGGATTTGGGGATTCCTGTCAGTATTCAAGAGGAGTCAGGCATCGTCATCTTTTGAAGCAATGAACTCCGCGTGCCTCTCGAGGTGTCAGCGGGATGTGAGGCATTCCGTCAAAAGGAGGCAGGGACCTAGGGCTTTCTCTAAGGTCTCCACAGGGGATTCAGACATCCCTTCATGTTGTGAGATGAAAAATGAGCCTGTATTCAAGCCACTGCAAGGAAATCCGGCCTCCTTTCCAGTTAGGGCTTCTCGCTGTATATTCCCCTTGAGGCAGCAAACTCGGGGTCCCTCCCACATACCAATTGCTGAGAGAAGCCTCCTCCTGAGGTGCTTCTGGAAAGTTGGCATACGTCTTGAGCCTAAGCCAGGGAATCAGCTCTCATCTCGAGACGATTTGTGGTACACGGAGCATTCCTCGAGTTGCTGTGCTGAAGTTGGTGTTCCTCTAGACTTGGGACAGTGTTCTCGGGGCATCTCTGGAGTTTCCTGAAGGAAGTCGAGCCACTGGTCGTGTTGAATGGGGAACGGGGAATGGCTCTGGAGTCAATGCAGTGGAATCGGACCTCATCTCGAGTTGATTTGGGGCACATGGAGCTGCTTTGCGTTGCTGGGGTGACCTCAGGGTCCGCCTAGACTGGTGACAGTGTTCTTGGGGACTGTCTCGAGATCCATTAAGCAAGTCGAAGCTCCTGACTTGTTTGAATGGGATCACGGAATAGCTCTGCATGCACTGCAGGGGAATGGGGCCTCATCTCGCCTCTAGGGGGAAGGCTCATGGTTTTTCTCGAGTTGCGGCGGGGACCTGGGGTATGTTCTCGACTTACGGCAGGGATGGCCCTTCAAGACACGAGTTACCTCAGTGACGTCAGTACTCCTGTCTAGTAACGAGGGACACCTCAGGAATCTCTTCAAAGCTTGGCAGGGCAAAAGAGACGCTTCTCGAGGTGAGGCAGGGCACCCAAGGACCCTTTCCAGTAGCCACAGGGATTTTGGGATTCCTATCAGTATTCAAGAGGAGTCAGGCATCGTCACCTTTTGAAGCAATGAACTCCGCGTGCCTCTCGAGGTGTCAGCGGGATGTGAGGCATTCCGTCAAAATGAGGCAGGGACCTAGGGCTTTCTCTAAGGTCTCCACAGGGGATTCAGACATCCCTTCATGTTGTGAGATGAAAAATGAGCCTGTATTCAAGCCACTGCAAGGAAATCCGGCCTCCTTTCCAGTTAGGGCTTCTCGCTGTATATTCCCCGTGAGGCAGCAAACTCGGAGTCCCTCCCACATACCAATTGCTAAGAGAAGCCTCCTCCTGAGGTGCTTCTGGAAAGTTGGCATACGTCTTGAGCCTAAGCCAGGGAATCAACTCTCATCTCGAGACGATTTGGGGTACACGGAGCATTCCTCGAGTTGCTGTGCTGAAGTTGGTGTTCCTCTAGACTTGCGACAGTGTTCTCGGGGCATCTCTGGAGTTGCCTGAAGGAAGTCGAGCCACCGGTCGTGTTGAATGGGGAACGGGGAATGGCTCTGGAGTCAATGCAGGGGAATCGGGCCTCATCTCGAGTTGATTTGGGGCACATGGAGCTGCTTTGCGTTGCTGGGGTGACCTCAGGGTCCATCTAGACTGGTGACAGTGTTCTTGGGGTCTGTCTCGAGATCCATTAAGCAAGTCGAAGCTCCTGACTTGTTTGAATGGGATCACGGAATAGCTCTGCATGCACTGCAGGGGAAAGGGGCCTCATCTCGCCTCTAGGGGGAAGTCTCATGGTTTTTCTCGAGTTGCGGCGTGGACCAGTGGTATGTTCTCGACTTACGGCGGGGATGGCCCTTCAAAACACGAGTTTCTTCAGTGACGTCAGGACTCCTGTCTAGTAACGAGGGACACCTCAGGAATCTCTTCGAGGCTTGGCAGAGCAAAAGGGACGCTTCTCGAGGTGAGGCAGAGCACCCAAGGACCCTTTCCAGTAGCCACAGGGATTTTGGGATTCCTGTCAGTATTCAAGAGGAGTCAGGCGTCGTCACCTTTGAAGCAATGAACTCCGCGTGCCTCTCGAGGTGTCAGCGGGATGTGAGGCATTCCGTCAAAAGGAGGCAGGGACCTAGGGCTTTCTCTAAGGTCTCCACAGGGGATTCAGACATCCCTTCATGTTGTGAGATGAAAGAGGAACCTGTATTCAAGCCACTGCAAGGAAATCCGGCCTCCTTTCAAGTTAGGGCTTCTCGCTGTATATTCCCCTTGAGGCAGCAAACTCGGGGTCCGTCCCACATACCTATTGCTGAGAGAAGCCTCCTCCTGAGGTGCTTCTGGAAAGTTGGCATACGTCTTGAGCCGAAGCCAGGGAATCAGCTCTCATCTCGAGACGATTTGAGGTACACGGAGCATTCCTCGAGTTGCTGTGCTGAAGTTGGTGTTCCTCTAGATTTGGGACAGTGTTCTCGGGGCATCTCTGGAGTTGCCTGAAGGAAGTCGAGCCACCGGTCGAGTTGAATGGGGAACGGGGAATGGCTCTGGAGTCAATGCAGGGGAATCGGGCCTCATCTCGAGTTGATTTGGGGCACATGGAGCTGCTTTGCGTTGCTGGGGTGACCTCAGGGTCCGCCTAGACTGGTGACAGTGTTCTTGGGGACTGTCTCGAGATCCATTAAGCAAGTCGAAGCTCCTGACTTGTTTGAATGGGATCACGGAATAGCTCTGCATGCACTGCAGGGGAATGGGGCCTCATCTCGCCTCTAGGGGGAAGGCTCATGGTTTTTCTCGAGTTGCGGCGGGGACCTGGGGTATGTTCTAGACTTACGGCGGGGATGGCCCTTCAAAACACGAGTTTCTTCAGTGACGTCAGGACTCCTGTCTAGTAACGAGGGACACCTCAGGAATCTCTTCGAGGCTTGGCATTGCAAAAGGGACGCTTCTCGAGTTGAGGCAGGGCACCCAAGGACCCTTTCCAGTAGCCACAGGGATTTTGGGATTCCTGTCAGTATTCAAGAGGAGTCAGGCATCGTCACCTTTTGAAGCAATGAACTCCGCGTGCCTCTCTAGGTGTCAGCGGGATGTGAGGCATTCCGTCAAAAGGAGGCAGGGACCTAGGGCTTTCTCTAAGGTCTCCACAGGGGATTCAGACATCCCTTCATGTTGTGAGATGAAAGAGGAGCCTATATTCAAGCCACTGCAAGGAAATCCGGCCTCCTTTCAAGTTAGGGCTTCTCGCTGTGTATTCCCCTTGAGGCAGCAAACTCGGGGTCCCTCCCACATACCTATTGCTGAGAGAAGCCTCCTATTGAGGTGCTTCTGGAAAGTTGGCATACGTCTTGAGCCTAAGCCAGGGAATCAGCTCTCATCTCGAGACGATTTGAGGTACACGGAGCATTCCTCGAGTTGCTGTGCTGAAGTTGGTGTTCCTCTAGACTTGGGACAGTGTTCTCGGGGCATCTCTGGAGTTGCCTGAAGGAAGTCTAGCCACCGGTCGTGTTGAATGGGGAACGGGGAATGGCTCTGGAGTCAATGCAGGGGAATCGGGCCTCATCTCGAGTTGATTTGGGGCACATGGAGCTGCTTTGCATTGCTGGGGTTACCTCAGGGTCCGCCTACACTGGTGACAGTGTTCTTGGGGACTCTCTCGAGATCCATTAAGCAAGTCGAAGCTCCTGACTTGTTTGAATGGGATCACGGAATAGCTCTGCATGCACTGCAGGGGAATGGGGCCTCATCTCGCCTCTAGGGGGAAGTCTCATGGTTTTTCTCGAGTTGCGGCGGGGACCTGGGGTATGTTCTCGACTTACGGCGGGGATGGCCCTTCAAAACACGAGTTTCTTCAGTGACGTCAGGACTCCTGTCTAGTAACGAGGGACACCTCAGGAATCTCTTCGAGGCTTGGCAGTGCAAAAGGGACGCTTCTCGAGGTGAGGCAGGGCACCCAAGGACCCTTTCCAGTAGCCACAGGGATTTTGGGATTCCTGTCAGTATTCAAGAGGAGTCAGGCATCATCACCTTTTGAAGCAATGAACTCCGCGTGCCTCTCGAGGTGTCAGCGGGATGTGAGGCATTCCGTCAAAAGGAGGCAGGGACCTAGGGCTTTCTCTAAGGTCTCCACAGGGGATTCAGACATCCCTTCATGTTGTGAGATGAAAAATGAGCCTGTATTCAAGCCACTGCAAGGAAATCCGGCCTCCTTTCCAGTTAGGGCTTCTCGCTGTATATTCACCTTAAGGCAGCAAACTCGGTGTCCCTCCCACATACCAATTGCTGAGAGAAGTCTCCTCATGAGGTGCTTCTGGAAAGTTGGCATACGTCTTGAGCCTAAGCCAGGGAATCAGCTCTCATCTCGAGACGATTTGTGGTACACGGTGCATTCCTCGAGTTGCTGTGCTGAAGTTGGTGTTCCTCTAGACTTGGGACAGTGTTCTCGGGGCATCTCTGGAGTTGCCTGAAGGAAGTCGAGCCACCGGTCGTGTTGAATGGGGAACGGGGAATGGCTCTGGAGTCAATGCAGGGGAATCGGGCCTCATCTCGAGTTGATTTGGGCCACATGGAGCTGCTTTGCCTTGCTGGGGTGACCTCAGGGTCCGTCTAGACTGGTGACAGTGTTTTTGGGGTCTGTCTCGAGATCCATTAAGCAAGTCGAAGCTCCTGACTTGTTTGAATGGGATCACGGAATAGCTATGCATGCACTGCAGGGGAATGGGGCCTCATCTCGCCTCTAGGGGGAAGTTTTATGGTTTTTCTCGAGTTGCGGCGGGGACCTGGGGTATGTTCTCGACTTACGGCGGGGATGGCCCTTCAAAACACGTGTTTCTTCAGTGACGTCAGGACTCCTGTCTAGTAACGAGGGACACCTCAGGAATCTCTTCGAGGCTTGGCAGGGCAAAAGGGACACTTCTCGAGGTGAGGCAGGGCACCCAAGGACCCTTTCCAGTAGCCACAGGGATTTTGGTATTCCTATCAGTATTCAAGAGTAGTCAGGCATCGTCACCTTTTGAAGCAATGAACTCCGCGTGCCTCTCGAGGTGTCAGCGGGATGTGAGGCATTCCGTCAAAATGAGGCAGGGACCTAGGGCTTTCTCTAAAGTCTCCACAGGGGATTCAGTCATCCCTTCATGTTGTGAGATGAAAGACGAGCCTGTATTCAAGCCACTGCAAGGAAATCCGGCCTCCTTTCAAGTTAGGGCTTCTCGCTGTATATTCCCCTTGAGGCAACAAACTCGGGGTCCCTCCCACATACCAATTGCTGAGAGAAGCCTCCTCCTGAGGTGCTTCTGGAAAGTTGGCATACGTCTTGAGCCTAAGCCAGGGAATCAGCTCTCATCTCGAAACGATTTGGGGTACACGGAGCATTCCTCGAGTTGCTGTGCTGAAGTTGGTGTTCCTCTAGCCTTGGGACAGTGTTCTCGGGGCATCTCTGGTTTGCCTGAAGGAAGTCGAGTCACCGGTCATGTTGAATGGGGAACGGGGAATGGCTCTGGAGTCAAGGCAGGGGAATCGGGCCTCATCTCGAGTTGATTTGGGGCACATGGACCTGCTTTTCGTTGCTGGGGTGACCTCAGGGTCCGTCTAGACTGGTGACAGTGTTCTTGGGGACTGTCTCGAGATCCTTTAAGCAAGTCGAAGCTCCTGACTTGTTTGAATGGGATCACGGAATAGCTCTGCATGCACTGCAGGGGAATGGGGCCTCATCTCGCCTCTAGGGGGAAGTCTCATGGTTTTTCTCGAGTTGCGGCGGGGACCTGGGGTATGTTCTCGACTTACGGCAGGGATGGCCCTTCAAGACACGAGTTACCTCAGTGACGTCAGTACTCCTGTCTAGTAACGAGGGACACCTCAGGAATCTCTTCGAAGCTTGGCAGGGCAAAAGAGACACTTCTCGAGGTGAGGCAGGGCACCCAAGGACCCTTTCCAGTAGCCACAGGGATTTTGGGATTCCTATCAGTATTCAAGAGGAGTCAGGCATCGTCACCTTTTGAAGCAATGAACTCCGCGTGCCTCTCGAGGTGTCAGCGGGATGTGAGGAATTCCGTCAAAAGGAGGCAGGGACCTAGGGCTTTCTCTAAGGTCTCCACAGGGGATTCAGACATCCCTTCATGTTGTGAGATGAAAAATGAGCCGGTATTCAAGCCACTGCAAGGAAATCTGGCCTCCTTTCCAGTTAGGGCTTATCGCTGTATATTCCCCTTGAGGCAGCAAACTCGGAGTCCCTCCCACATACCAATTGCTGAGAGAAGCCTCCTCCTGAGGTGCTTCTGGAAAGTTGGCATACGTCTTGAGCCTAAGCCAGGGAATCAGCTCTCATCTCGAGACGATTTGTGGTAAACGGAGCATTCCTCGAGTTGCTGTGCTGAAGTTGGTGTTCCTCTAGACTTGGGACAGTGTTCTCGGGGCATCTCTGGAGTTGCCTGAAGGAAGTCGAGCCACCGGTCGTGTTGAATGGGGAACGGGGAATGGCTCTGGAGTCAATGCAGGGGAATCGGGCCTCATCTCGAGTTGATTTGGGGCACATGGAGCTGCTTTCCGTTGCTGGGGTGACCTCAGGGTCCATCTAGACTGGTGACAGTGTTCTTGGGGTCTGTCTCGAGATCCATTAAGCAAGTCGAAGCTCCTGACTTGTTTGAATGGGATCACGGAATAGCTCTGCATGCACTGCAGGGGAATGGGGCCTCATCTCGCCTCTAGGGGGAAGTCTCATGGTTTTTCTCGAGTTGCGGCGGGGACCTGGGGTATGTTCTCGACTTACGGCGGGGATGGCCCTTCAAAACACGAGTTTCTTCAGTGACGTCAGGACTCCTGTCTAGTAACGAGGGACACCTCAGGAATCTCTTCGAGGCTTGGCAGGGCAAAAGGGACACTTCTCGAGGTGAGGCAGGGCACCCAAGGACCCTTTCCAGTAGCCACAGGGATTTTGGGATTCCTGTCAGTATTCAAGAGGAGTCAGGCATCGTCACCTTTTGAAGCAATGAACTCCGCGTGCCTCTCGAGGTGTCAGCGGGATGTGAGGAATTCCGTCAAAAGGAGGCAGGGACCTAGGGCTTTCTCTAAGGTCTCCACAGGGGATTCAGACATCCCTTCATGTTGTGAGATGAAAGAGGAACCTGTATTCAAGCCACTGCAAGGAAATCCGGCCTCCTTTCAAGTTAGGGCTTCTCGCTGTATATTCCCCTTGAGGCAGCAAACTCGGGGTCCGTCCCACATACCTATTGCTGAGAGAAGCCTCCTCCTGAGGTGCTTCTGGAAAGTTGGCATACGTCTTGAGCCTAAGCCAGGGAATCAGCTCTCATCTCGAGACGATTTGAGGTACACGGAGCATTCCTCGAGTTGCTGTGCTGAAGTTGGTGTTCCTCTAGACTTGGGACAGTGTTCTCGGGGCATCTCTGGAGTTGCCTGAAGGAAGTCGAGCCACCGGTCCTGTTGAATGGGGAACGGGGAATGGCTCTGGAGTCAATGCAGGGGAATCGGGCCTCATCTCGAGTTGATTTGGGGCACATGGAGCTGCTTTGCGTTGCGGGGGTGACCTCAGGGTCCACCTAGACTGGTGACAGTGTTCTTGGGGACTGTCTCGAGATCCATTAAGCAAGTCGAAGCTCCTGACTTGTTTGAATGGGATCACGGAATAGCTCTGCATGCACTGCAGGGGAATGGGGCCTCATCTCGCCTCTAGGGGAAAGGCTCATGGTTTTTCTCGAGTTGCGGCGGGGACCTGGGGTATGTTCTCGACTTACGGCGGGGATGGCCCTTCAAAACACGAGTTTCTTCAGTGACGTCAGGACTCCTGTCTAGTAACGAGGGACACCTCAGGAATCTCTTCGAGGCTTGGCAGGGCAAAAGGGACGCTTCTCGAGGTGAGGCAGGGCACCCAAGGACCCTTTCCAGTAGCCACAGGGATTTTGGGATTCCTGTCAGTATTCAAGAGGAGTCAGGCATCGTCACCTTTTGAAGCAATGAACTCCGCGTGCCTCTCAAGGTGTCAGCGGGATATGAGGCATTCCGTCAAAAGGAGGCAGGGACCTAGGGCTTTCTCTAAGGTCTCCACAGGGGATTCAGACATCCCTTTATGTTGTGAGATGAAAGAGGAGCCTATATTCAAGCCACTGCAAGGAAATCCGGCCTCCTTTCAAGTTAGGGCTTCTCGCTGTGTATTCCCCTTGAGGCAGCAAACTCGGGGTCCCTCCCACATACCTATTGCTGAGAGAAGCCTCCTCCTGAGGTGCTTCTGGAAAGTTGGCATACGTCTTGAGCCTAAGCCAGGGAATCAGCTCTCATCTCGAGACGATTTGAGGTACACGGAGCATTCCTCGAGTTGCTGTGCTGAAGTTGGTGTTCCTCTAGACTTGGGACAGTGTTCTCGGGGCATCTCTGGAGTTGCCTGAAGGAAGTCGAGCCACCGGTCGTGTTGAATGGGGAACGGGGAATGGCTCTGGAGTCAATGCAGGGGAATCGGGCCTCATCTCGAGTTGATTTGGGGCACATGGAGCTGCTTTCCGTTGCTGGGGTGACCTCAGGGTCCATCTAGACTGGTGACAGTGTTCTTGGGGTCTGTCTCGAGATCCATTAAGCAAGTCGAAGCTCCTGACTTGTTTGAATGGGATCACGGAATAGCTCTGCATGCACTGCAGGGGAATGGGGCCTCATCTCGCCTCTAGGGGGAAGTCTCATGGTTTTTCTCGAGTTGCGGCGGGGACCTGGGGTATGTTCTCGACTTACGGCGGGGATGGCCCTTCAAAACACGAGTTTCTTCAGTGACGTCAGGACTCCTGTCTAGTAACGAGGGACACCTCAGGAATCTCTTCGAGGCTTGGCAGGGCAAAAGGGACGCTTCTCGAGGTGAGGCAGGGCACCCAAGGACCCTTTCCAGTAGCCACAGGGATTTTGGGATTCCTGTCAGTATTCAAGAGGAGTCAGGCATCGTCACCTTTTGAAGCAATGAACTCCGCGTGCCTCTCGAGGTGTCAGCGGGATGTGAGGAATTCCGTCAAAAGGAGGCAGGGACCTAGGGCTTTCTCTAAGGTCTCCACAGGGGATTCAGACATCCCTTCATGTTGTGAGATGAAAGAGGAACCTGTATTCAAGCCACTGCAAGGAAATCCGGCCTCCTTTCAAGTTAGGGCTTCTCGCTGTATATTCCCCTTGAGGCAGCAAACTCGGGGTCCGTCCCACATACCTATTGCTGAGAGAAGCCTCCTCCTGAGGTGCTTCTGGAAAGTTGGCATACGTCTTGAGCCTAAGCCAGGGAATCAGCTCTCATCTCGAGACGATTTGAGGTACACGGAGCATTCTTCGAGTTGCTGTGCTGAAGTTGGTGTTCCTCTAGACTTGGGACAGTGTTCTCGGGGCATCTCTGGAGTTGCCTGAAGGAAGTCGAGCCACCGGTCCTGTTGAATGGGGAACGGGGAATGGCTCTGGAGTCAATGCAGGGGAATCGGGCCTCATCTCGAGTTGATTTGGGGCACATGGAGCTGCTTTGCGTTGCGGGGGTGACCTCAGGGTCCACCTAGACTGGTGACAGTGTTCTTGGGGACTGTCTCGAGATCCATTAAGCAAGTCGAAGCTCCTGACTTGTTTGAATGGGATCACGGAATAGCTCTGCATGCACTGCAGGGGAATGGGGACTCATCTCGACTCTAGGGGAAAGGCTCATGGTTTTTCTCGAGTTGCGGCGGGGACCTGGGGTATGTTCTCGACTTACGGCGGGGATGGCCCTTCAAAACACGAGTTTCTTCAGTGACGTCAGGACTCCTGTCTAGTAACGAGGGACACCTCAGGAATCTCTTCGAGGCTTGGCAGGGCAAAAGGGACGCTTCTCGAGGTGAGGCAGGGCACCCAAGGACCCTTTCCAGTAGCCACAGGGATTTTGGGATTCCTGTCAGTATACAAGAGGAGTCAGGCATCGTCACCTTTTGAAGCAATGAACTCCGCGTGCCTCTCAAGGTGTCAGCGGGATATGAGGCATTCCGTCAAAAGGAGGCAGGGACCTAGGGCTTTCTCTAAGGTCTCCACAGGGGATTCAGACATCCCTTCATGTTGTGAGATGAAAGAGGAGCCTATATTCAAGCCACTGCAAGGAAATCCGGCCTCCTTTCAAGTTAGGGCTTCTCGCTGTGTATTCACCTTAAGGCAGCAAACTCGGGGTCCCTCCCACATACCAATTGCTGAGAGAAGTCTCCTCCTGAGGTGCTTCTGGAAAGTTGGCATACGTCTTGAGCCTAAGCCAGGGAATCAGCTCTCATCTCGAGACGATTTGTGGTACACGGTGCATTCCTCGAGTTGCTGTGCTGATGTTGGTGTTCCTCTAGACTTGGGACAGTGTTCTCGGGGCATCTCTGGAGTTGCCTGAAGGAAGTCGAGCCACCGGTCGTGTTGAATGGGGAACGGGGAATGGCTCTGGAGTCAATGCAGGGGAATCGGGCCTCATCTCGAGTTGATTTGGGCCACATGGAGCTGCTTTACGTTGCTGGGGTGACCTCAGGGTCCGTCTAGACTGGTGACAGTGTTTTTGGGGTCTGTCTCTAGATCCATTAAGCAAGTCGAAGCTCCTGACTTGTTTGAATGGGATCACGGAATAGCTATGCATGCACTGCAGGGGAAGGGGCCTCATCTCGCCTCTAGGGGGAAGTCTCATGGTTTTTCTCGAGTTGCGGCGGGGACCTGGGCTATGTTCTCGACTTACGGCGGGGATGGCCCTTCAAAACACGTGTTTCTTCAGTGACGTCAGGACTCCTGTCTAGTAACGAGGGACACCTCTGGAATCTCTTCGAGGCTTGGCAGGGCAAAAGGGACACTTCTCGAGGTGAGGCAGGGCACCCAAGGACCCTTTCCAGTAGCCACAGGGATTTTGGTATTCCTATCAGTATTCAAGAGGAGTCAGGCATCGTCACCTTTTGAAGCAATGAACTCCGCGTGCCTCTCGAGGTGTCAGCGGGTTGTGAGGCATTCCGTCAAAATGAGGCAGGGACCTAGGGCTTTCTCTAAGGTCTCCACAGGGGATTCAGTCATCCCTTCATGTTGTGAGATGAAAGACGAGCCTGTATTCAAGCCACTGCAAGGAAATCCGGCCTCCTTTCAAGTTAGGGCTTCTCGCTGTATATTCCCCTTGAGGCAGCAAACTCGGGGTCCCTCCCACATACCAATTGCTGAGAGAAGCCTCCTCCTGAGGTGCTTCTGGAAAGTTGGCATACGTCTTGAGCCTAATCCAGGGAATCAGCTCTCATCTCGAGACGATTTGGGGTACACGGAGCATTCCTCGAGTTGCTGTGCTGAAGTTGGGGTTCCTCTAGACTTGTGACAGTGTTCTCGGGGCATCTCTGGTTTGCCTGAAGGAAGTCGAGTCACCGGTCATGTTGAATGGGGAATGGGGAATGGCTGTGGAGTCAATGCAGGGGAATCGGGCCTCATCTCGAGTTGATTTGGGGCACATGGACCTGCTTTTCGTTGCTGGGGTGACCTCAGGGTCCGTCTAGACTGGTGACAGTGTTCTTGGGGACTGTCTCGAGATCCATTAAGCAAGTCGAAGCTCCTGACTTGTTGAATGGGATCACGGAATAGCTCTGCATGCACTGCAGGGGAATGGGGCCTCATCTCGCCTCTAGGGGGAAGTCTCATGGTTTTTCTCGAGTTGCGGCGGGTACCTGGGGTATGTTCTCGTCTTACGGCAGGGATGGCCCTTCAAGACACGAGTTACCTCAGTGACGTCAGTACTCCTGTCTAGTAACGAGGAACACCTCAGGAATCTCTTTGAAGCTTGGCAGGGCAAAAGAGACGCTTCTCGAGGTGAGGCAGGGCACCCAAGAACCCTTTCCAGTAGCCACAGGGATTTTGGGATTCCTATCAGAATTCAAGAGGAGTCAGGCATCGTCACCTTTTGAAGCAATGAACTCCGCGTGCCTCTCGAGGTGTCAGCGGGATGTGAGGCATTCCGTCAAAAGGAGGCAGGGACCTAGGTCTTTCTCTAAGGTCTCCACAGGGGATTCAGACATCCCTTCATGTTGTGAGATGAAAAATGAGCCTGTATTCAAGCCACTGCAAGGAAATCCGGCCTCCTTTCCAGTTAGGGCTTCTCGCTGTATATTCCCCTTGAGGCATCAAACTCGGAGTCCCTCCCACATACCAATTGCTGAGAGAACCCTCCTCCTGTGGTGCTTCTGGAAAGTTGGCATACGTCTTGAGCCTAAGCCAGGGAATCAGCTCTCATCTCGAGACGATTTGTGGTAAACGGAGCATTCCTCGAGTTGCTGTGCTGAAGTTGGTGTTCCTCTAGACTTGGGACAGTGTTCTCGGGGCATCTCTGGAGTTGCCTGAAGGAAGTCGAGCCACCGGTCGTGTTGAATGGGGAACGGGGAATGGCTCTGGAGTCAATGCAGGGGAATCGGGCCTCATCTCGAGTTGATTTGGGGCACATGGAGCTGCTTTGCGTTGCTGGGGTGACCTCAGGGTCCATCTAGACTGGTGACAGTGTTCTTGGGGTCTGTCTCGAGATCCATTAAGCAAGTCGAAGCTCCTGACTTGTTTGAATGGGATCACGGAATAGCTCTGCATGCACTGCAGGGGAATGGGGCCTCATCTCGCCTCTAGGGGGAAGTCTCAAGGTTTTTCTCGAGTTGCGGCGGGGACCTGGGGTATGTTATCGACTTACGGCGGGGATGGCCCTTCAAAACACGAGTTTCTTCAGTGACGTCAGGACTCCTGTCTAGTAACGAGGGACACCTCAGGAATCTCTTCGAGGCTTGGCAGAGCAAAAGGGACACTTCTCGAGGTGAGGCAGAGCACCCAAGGACCCTTTCCAGTAGCCACAGGGATTTTGGGATTCCTGTCAGTATTCAAGAGGAGTCAGGCGTCGTCACCTTTTGAAGCAATGAACTCCGCGTGCCTCTCGAGGTGTCAGCGGGATGTGAGGCATTCCGTCAAAAGGAGGCAGGGACCTAGGGCTTTCTCTAAGGTGTCCACAGGGGATTCAGACATCCCTTCATGTTGTGAGATGAAAGAGGAACCTGTATTCAAGCCACTGCAAGGAAATCCGGCCTCCTTTCAAGTTAGGGCTTCTCGCTGTATATTCCCCTTGAGGCAGCAAACTCGGGGTCCGTCCCACATACCTATTGCTGAGAGAAGCCTCCTCCTGAGGTGCTTCTGGAAAGTTGGCATACGTCTTGAGCATAAGCCAGGGAATCAGCTCTCATCTCGAGACGATTTGAGGTACACGGAGCATTCCTCGAGTTGCTGTGCTGAAGTTGGTGTTCCTCTAGACTTGGGACAGTGTTCTCGGGGCATCTCTGGAGTTACCTGAAGGAAGTCGAGCCACCGGTCGTGTTGAATGGGGAACGGGGAATGGCTCTGGAGTCAATGCAGGGGAATCGGGCCTCATCTCGAGTTGATTTGGGGCACATGGAGCTGCTTTGCGTTGCTGGGGTGACCTCAGGGTCCGCCTAGACTGGTGACAGTGTTCTTGGGGACTGTCTCGAGATCCATTAAGCAAGTCGAAGCTCCTGACTTGTTTGAATGGGATCACGGAATAGCTCTGCATGCACTGCAGGGGAATGGGGCCTCATCTCGCCTCTAGGGGGATGGCTCATGGTTTTTCTCGAGTTGCGGCGGGGACCTGGGGTATGTTCTCGACTTACGGCGGGGATGGCCCTTCAAAACACGAGTTTCTTCAGTGACGTCAGGACTCCTGTCTAGTAACGAGGGACACCTCAGGAATCTCTTCGAGGCTTGGCAGGGCTAAAGGGACGCTTCTCGAGGTGAGGCAGGGCACCCAAGGACCCTTTCCAGTAGCCACAGGGATTTTGGGATTCCTGTCAGTATTCAAGAGGAGTCAGGCATCGTCACCTTTTGAAGCAATGAACTCCGCGTGCCTCTCAAGGTGTCAGCGGGATATGAGGCATTCCGTCAAAAGGAGGCAGGGACCTAGGGCTTTCTCTAAGGTCTCCACAGGGGATTCAGACATCCCTTCATGTTGTGAGATGAAAGAGGAGCCTATATTCAAGCCACTGCAAGGAAATCCGGCCTCCTTTCAAGTTAGGGCTTCTCGCTGTGTATTCCCCTTGAGGCAGCAAACTCGGGGTCCCTCCCACATACCTATTGCTGAGAGAAGCCTCCTCCTGAGGTGCTTCTGGAAAGTTGGCATACGTCTTGAGCCTAAGCCAGGGAATCAGCTCTCATCTCGAGACGATTTGAGGTACACGGAGCATTCCTCGAGTTGCTGTGCTGAAGTTGGTGTTCCTCTAGACTTGGGACAGTGTTCTTGGGGCATCTCTGGAGTTGCCTGAAGGAAGTCTAGCCACCGGTCGTGTTGAATGGGGAACGGGGAATGGCTCTGGAGTCAATGCAGGGGAATCGGGCCTCATCTCGAGTTGATTTGGGGCACATGGAGCTGCTTTGCGTTGCTGGGGTGACCTCAGGGTCCGCCTAGACTGGTGACAGTGTTCTTGGGGACTCTCTCGAGATCCATTAAGCAAGTCGAAGCTCCTGACTTGTTTGAATGGGATCACGGAATAGCTCTGCATGCACTGCAGGGGAATGGGGCCTCATCTCGCCTCTAGGGGGAAGGCTCATGGTTTTTCTCGAGTTGCGGCGGGGACCTGGGGTATGTTCTCGACTTACGGCGGGGATGGCCCTTCAAAACACGAGTTTCTTCAGTGACGTCAGGACTCCTGTCTAGTAACGAGGGACACCTCAGGAATCTCTTCGAGGCTTGGCAGGGCAAAAGGGACGCTTCTCAAGGTGAGGCAGGGCACCCAAGGACCCTTTCCAGTAGCCACAGGGATTTTGGGATTCCTGTCAGTATTCAAGAGGAGTCAGGCATCGTCACCTTTTGAAGCAATGAACTCCGCGTGCCTCTCGCGGTGTCAGCGGGATGTGAGGCATTCCGTCAAAAGGAGGCAGGGACCTAGGGCTTTCTCTAAGGTCTCCACAGGGGATTCAGACATCCCTTCATGTTGTGAGATGAAAAATGAGCCTGTATTCAAGCCACTGCAAGGAAATCCGGCCTCCTTTCCAGTTAGGGCTTCTCTCTGTATATTCACCTTAAGGCAGCAAACTCGGGGTCCCTCCCACATACCAATTGCTGAGAGAAGTCTCCTCCTGAGGTGCTTCTGGAAAGTTGGCATACGTCTTGAGCCTAAGCCAGGGAATCAGCTCTCATCTCGAGACGATTTGTGGTACACGGTGCATTCCTCGAGTTGCTGTGCTGATGTTGGTGTTCCTCTAGACTTGTGACAGTGTTCTCGGGGCATCTCTGGTTTGCCTGAAGGAAGTCGAGTCACCGGTCATGTTGAATGGGGAATGGGGAATGGCTGTGGAGTCAATGCAGGGGAATCGGGCCTCATCTCGAGTTGATTTGGGGCACATGGACCTGCTTTTCGTTGCTGGGGTGACCTCAGGGTCCGTCTAGACTGGTGACAGTGTTCTTGGGGACTGTCTCGAGATCCATTAAGCAAGTCGAAGCTCCTGACTTGTTGAATGGGATCACGGAATAGCTCTGCATGCACTGCAGGGGAATGGGGCCTCATCTCGCCTCTAGGGGGAAGTCTCATGGTTTTTCTCGAGTTGCGGCGGGGACCTGGGGTATGTTCTCGTCTTACGGCAGGGATGGCCCTTCAAGACACGAGTTACCTCAGTGACGTCAGTACTCCTGTCTAGTAACGAGGAACACCTCAGGAATCTCTTTGAAGCTTGGCAGGGCAAAAGAGACGCTTCTCGAGGTGAGGCAGGGCACCCAAGGACCCTTTCCAGTAGCCACAGGGATTTTGGAATTCCTATCAGAATTCAAGAGGAGTCAGGCATCGTCACCTTTTGAAGCAATGAACTCCGCGTGCCTCTCGAGGTGTCAGCGGGATGTGAGGCATTCCGTCAAAAGGAGGCAGGGACCTAGGTCTTTCTCTAAGGTCTCCACAGGGGATTCAGACATCCCTTCATGTTGTGAGATGAAAAATGAGCCTGTATTCAAGCCACTGCAAGGAAATCCGGCCTCCTTTCCAGTTAGGGCTTCTCGCTGTATATTCGCCTTGAGGCATCAAACTCGGAGTCCCTCCCACATACCAATTGCTGAGAGAACCCTCCTCCTGAGGTGCTTCTGGAAAGTTGGCATACGTCTTGAGCCTAAGCCAGGGAATCAGCTCTCATCTCGAGACGATTTGTGGTAAACGGAGCATTCCTCGAGTTGCTGTGCTGAAGTTGGTGTTCCTCTAGACTTGGGACAGTGTTCTCGGGGCATCTCTGGAGTTGCCTGAAGGAAGTCGAGCCACCGGTCGTGTTGAATGGGGAACGGGGAATGGCTTTGGAGTCAATGCAGGGGAATCGGGCCTCATCTCGAGTTGATTTGGGGCACATGGAGCTGCTTTGCGTTGCTGGGGTGACCTCAGGGTCCGCCTAGACTGGTGACAGTGTTCTTGGGGACTGTCTCGAGATCCATTAAGCAAGTCGAAGCTCTTGACTTGTTTGAATGGGATCACGGAATAGCTCTGCATGCACTGCAGGGGAATGGGGCCTCATCTCGCCTCTAGGGGGAAGGCTCATGGTTTTTCTCGAGTTGCGGCGGGGACCTGGGGTATGTTGTCGACTTACGGCGGGGATGGCCCTTCAAAACACGAGTTTCTTCAGTGACGTCAGGACTCCTGTCTAGTAACGAGGGACACCTCAGGAATCTCTTCGAGGCTTGGCAGGGCAAAAGGGATGCTTCTCGAGGTGAGGCAGGGCACCCAAGGACCCTTTCCAGTAGCCACAGGGATTTTGGTATTCCTATCAGTATTCAAGAGGAGTCAGGCATCGTCACCTTTTGAAGCAATGAACTCCGCGTGCCTCTCGAGGTGTCAGCGGGATGTGAGGCATTCCGTCAAAATGAGGCAGGGACCTAGGGCTTTCTCTAAGGTCTCCACAGGGGATTCAGTCATCCCTTCATGTTGTGAGATGAAAGACGAGCCTGTATTCAAGCCACTAAAAGGAAATCCGGCCTCCTTTCCAGTTAGGGCTTCTCGCTGTATATTCACCTTAAGGCAGCAAACTCGGGGTCCCTCCCACATACCAATTGCTGAGAGAAGTCTCCTCCTGAGGTGCTTCTGGAAAGTTGGCATACGTCTTGAGCCTAAGCCAGGGAATCAGCTCTCATCTCGAGACGATTTGTGGTACACGGTGCATTCCTCGAGTTGCTGTGCTGAAGTTGGTGTTCCTCTAGACTTCGGACAGTGTTCTCGGGGCATCTCTGGAGTTGCCTGAAGGAAGTCGAGCCACAGGTCGTGTTGAATGGGGAACGGGGAATGGCTCTGGAGTCAATGCAGGGGAATCGGGCCTCATCTCGAGTTGATTTGGGGCACATGGAGCTGCTTTGCGTTGCTGGGGTGACCTCAGGGTCCGTCTAGACTGGTGACAGTGTTTTTGGGGTCTGTCTCGAGATCCATTAAGCAAGTCGAAGCTCCTGACTTGTTTGAATGGGATCACGGAATAGCTATGCATGCACTGCAGGGGAATGGGGCCTCATCTCGCCTCTAGGGGGAAGTCTCATGGTTTTTCTCGAGTTGCGGCGGGGACCTGGGGTATGTTCTCGACTTACGGCGGGGATGGCCCTTCAAAACACGTGTTTCTTCAATGACGTCAGGACTCCTGTCTAGTAACGAGGGACACCTCAGGAATCTCTTCGAGGCTTGGCAGGGCAAAAGGGACACTTCTCGAGGTGAGGCAGGGCACCCAAGGACCCTTTCCAGTAGCCACAGGGATTTTGGTATTCCTATCAGTATTCAAGAGGAGTCAGGCATCGTCACCTTTTGAAGCAATGAACTCCGCGTGCCTCTCGAGGTGTCAGCGGGATGTGAGGCATTCCGTCAAAATGAGGCAGGGACCTAGGGCTTTCTCTAAGGTCTCCACAGGGGATTCAGTCATCCCTTCATGTTGTGAGATGAAAGACGAGACTGTATTCAAGCCACTGCAAGGAAATCCGGCCTCCTTTCAAGTTAAGGCTTCTCGCTGTATATTCCCCTTGAGGCAGCAAACTCGGGGTCCCTCCCACATACCAATTGCTGAGAGAAGCCTCCTCCTGAGGTGCTTCTGGAAAGTTGGCATACGTCTTGAGCCTAAGCCAGGGAATCAGCTCTCATCTCGAGACGATTTGTGGTAAACGGAGCATTCCTCGAGTTGCTGTGCTGAAGTTGGTGTTCCTCTAGACTTGGGACAGTGTTCTCGGGGCATCTCTGGAGTTGCCTGAAGGAAGTCGAGCCACCGGTCGTGTTGAATGGGGAACGGGGAATGGCTCTGGAGTCAATGCAGGGGAATCGGGCTTCATCTCGAGTTGATTAGGGGCACATGGAGCTGCTTTGCGTTGCTGGGGTGACCTCAGGGTCCATCTAGACTGGTGACAGTGTTCTTGGGGACTGTCTCGAGATCCATTAAGCAAGTCGAAGCTCCTGACTTGTTTGAATGGGATCACAGAATAGCTCTGCATGCACTGCAGGGGAATGGGGCCTCATCTCGCCTCTAGGGGGAAGTCTCATGGTTTTTCTCGAGTTGCGGCGGGGACCTGGGGTATGTTGTCGACTTACGGCGGGGATGGCCCTTCAAAACACGAGTTTCTTCAGTGACGTCAGGACTCCTGTCTAGTAACGAGGGACACCTCAGGAATCTCTTCGAGGCTTGGCAGGGCAAAATGGACGCTTCTCGAGGTGAGGCAGGGCACCCAAGGACCCTTTCCAGTAGCCACAGGGATTTTGGTATTCCTATCAGTATTCAAGAGGAGTCAGGCATCGTCACCTTTTGAAGCAATGAACTCCGCGTGCCTCTCGAGGTGTCAGCGGGTTGTGAGGCATTCCGTCAAAATGAGGCAGGGACCTAGGGCTTTCTCTAAGGTCTCCACAGGGGATTCAGTCATCCCTTCATGTTGTGAGATGAAAGACGAGCCTGTATTCAAGCCACTGCCAAGAAATAAGGCCTCCTTTCAAGTTAGGGCTTCTCGCTGTATATTCCCCTTGAGGCAGCAAACTCGGGGTCCCTCCCACATACCAATTGCTAAGAGAAGCATCCTCCTGAGGTGCTTCTGGAAAGTTGGCATACGTCTTGAGCCTAAGCCAGGGAATCAGCTCTCAACTCGAGACGATTTGTCGTACAAGGTGCATTCCTCGAGTTGCTGTGCTGAAGTTGGTGTTCCTCTAGACTTGGGACAG